GACAGCCGCTTTATGTGCTAGGAATCAAAACGTTTCGTTGGTGTAACATCGACGAGAGCCTGGGATACATCCAGTACAATATCCTGGAGGCAACCCAGCGTCACACATTCCCGATGTTGCTTTTGCCTGGGTTTTTGGACTCCTGTGCCAGCACAACAGCTACGCAACATCCACGTTGTGCAAAAACCAAATTGCTTCCTGCGCAAAATTGCTGAACACCAAGGTGTACAAATTTGAGTTTGCATCTCCCCCGCCCACAGAGCCAAACAACTGGAGCACGCCTGGGGCCTGAGTGTTCGTCACGCAGCAATGGCTGGCCAGGACGTCCACTCCAGGTGTTGACCCTGCTGACCGCCATCGCCTCGATTTTGTGGCATATGGGGCCGCGGCGAAGCACTTTGCTGTGACGTGACACTTGTCCCCCCCCCCCCCCCCGATGCGGGATGGCTAACCCCAACCATCTTCTGCAACTCGCGACGGCGCAGCAATCGCGGTAGCTCAGAGGGTCAAGCGCGTTGCCATGCGTTGCCTACCCAGAACTGGCCCAGAACTCCGACACGAGCCTTATAGCGGCTTTGCGTCCTGGCCTGTAGAACAGGCTGGAATGCAGAGTCTCATCGCCAGAGGAAAGCTTGGGCAGCTGGTTCCATGGTCGGCAGCACCACACGCGGCCTCGGAATAGGAGTTGCGCGTGGTAAGCCGCAGGCCGGGTTAGTGCGGGCCGTACTCGTCAGACTTATCCCGCCGAGACAGCCAGCAGTTCCGGGACCTGCCGGGCCGCACTGGTGCCTGGCTGGACGGGGCAGCGCGTGATTGGAGCGGGACAACGCGTGCAGTGCCAGGTTGCAAGTCCGGCAGGGTGGGCAGTTCGCGGAGCAGCCGTTCGTTCAGGCACTCGCTCGCCCATGCTTGGACGTACGTCGGATGACTGATTGGCAGCGTCATGCTGACTTGTTCGGTGGCCAATGTGCCTGGCCGTTTGTTGTAGCATATAGAATATGTGCTGACCGTTACTGGTTGTCCAAACTCGCTAAACGACGTGGGATGTCTGAGATGCATATTTTTTGGATGAGTTCCTGGTGTCAGCGTGCCTTTAAGACCAGGACCTTGGACCTGGGCAACAAGCTGGACGGTGGGCGGCACGACTAATTTCAAAAAAAAACACTCTGGTCGTTTCGTTTTTGACCGCACCTTTTTGCTCCTGTAGAAGACGAGTCGTGGCCGCGGAGCCTACAGACCCAGCCGGCTGGGCACCAGCGCGCGCATTCTCCAGTCCGTGGGGGCTCGCTGGGCGTGAAAGTCCCAGGCGGGTCCTCATGCTGGAGCGTGGCCGAAGCCATCACTGGCGATGCAGATGTTTGGGGCCGACGCCTGCAGCTGGCCCTGCCGTTGGCCGCCAACATTTGCGGGGAGGGTCACACCGGGCAGGGGTCTCACGCGCGATGCCTTGGGCGACGACGCCGGATTAACCCAGTTGTTACACAAACTTTTGTAACTTGTATAAGTTTTCGTATTTATTGTGTGTCTATTAGTTTTTGAATACCTATTTAACTGGGAATGCTTAATGTATGAGATGCCATTTCTTGCTCTTCTGTTGTCCCTTCCTCCAATTTTTTTTTCTTATTAAGCGGGTCCTTGGTGGCTCTTTTTGCTGTGGTTGTGGTGGTTGCTGCGGCGGTGCACTTCCGCTTGAACTTGAAGATCCGCCTTCTTGAAACTTAGGTCGCGGTGGCTCGGGCGATGTTTTCGGCCATGGTCTCGGTCTGGGTTCGTCCCTTGGTTCTGGTGGTCGCTGTGGTATTGTTCGTGGTATTGGTGGTAGCTGTGGCAACTCTGATTTAAAGGTTGTTGAGTTGCTTCTACATTAGGTTGATGGGGTTGTAAAACAATTGAAGGTTGTAAGTATTGTATGTTTGGTACTGGCGTTGGATCGTATGTTGTAAATTGTCCAGCTCTTAGGTCTCCCGTAAAATCTAATAGAGGTCTTGGCGGTGGGTTTATTCTCTTCATAATTGCCTGGTTGAATTGAAGTATTGCTTCCTGTGACACACCTGCCAGAAGCGAACTTCCAAAATCCATGCCTGAAAACATGTTTCTGGCGACGTTGCCTCCTACTCTTAACGCTCCGCTTCCTAAACTTAATGCTCCGCCTGTTGTTGGTGTGCTTCATAAATTGCTTGTTGGTTGCTTTGTTGTGCTGTTGCTATGTTTCCCAATGTTTCATTGATTTGAAACAGTTGTCGTTCGGGCGGTGTGCCGAATTCTTCAATCGCAGACATACTTTCGGCGTCAGTTCCTATTGTACATTTCTGGAGATCTGGGTTGCCCTGGTTCTGGTCTGTTATGCTATCCGGTGCATATTCACGTAGCGTATGATCCCTAACAATTCGCTCGGCAATTTGTTTTTCTTGGGCTTTCAATTTATCCAAATGATCTTTGCCATCAAACTGACTTCCCCTGTTGCTTTGTTTTTAACACACAGCATCTCCATTAGGAAATGGTTTCAAGGCATCTTCGTTGTCATTGACCAGTTCCAAGATGTGGACTGAATGATACAAGCGCCGCCCTTATCGCCAAAAAGAGCCGAAAAGTCACGTTGAAGTTTAGCTGACTACTGCCGAGCTAGGGTAACTCAGCTGTTGCATCAAGTTTCAGTTTGGCTTTCCATCAATGCTTGTGTCACTACCCTTGTTCGATGTTTGACATGTGCGATACCTGCAATCTAGTTTTGTTTCAAGCAAAAGCCCAAGGCACTTAAACTTGCTTGCTGCTTCTGTAGGTACGCCTGGTGATCGCCATGTCGAGCCTCTTGGACAGCGAAGCTCACTTCGAGAAGCGTGCGCCCGAGATCGGATTGGATGATGCCCCCTTGCAGGCCCTGCAAACTCATGGAGTGGCAACGATGGGCAATCAAGATTGCTCACATCATCGGCAACGCCCGGCCAAGTGCTTAGTGAAGCAGATCTACAAATCTGGATGCGAACACATTTGCCTGCCGCCGCCCTCGGAAATCAGGCGACTCTTCGTCGGTTGGTCTGGGAAGGCGGGGCGTTGGCTACAGCACCAGCTCACCTGTCCGGATGGGTCTGCGCATAAGAATGTTCCAGAGGCGGAAAGGTCGCGCAGGCTTGCCCAGCTCAAGACTTCGCTCCCGGGTCTCGCTTTGGAAGGCCCACTCGAGCCTTCCTTCAATCTGTTGGAAAAGGCTGCCGCCATTGAGCGTCAGAATCAGCTGCGCTTTCTCAGCCCAGATATATATCTGCGTCAGCCGCGACTTTGAAGTAACGAACGCGAAGCCTCAAAGAAAATTCATCGAGCTTGATGATTCCAAGGCCTTGTCGGTGACAAGCCAAGCCGATGTCCCTGAAAACCCGCCATGCTCAGCTTTGCAGCTGCAAGAGACACTCCTCAGCGGGGTGTAGCGTTCGCTTTCGCCCAGATCATGTCATTCCCGGCTTATCAGTTTGTCAATCTCTTGTTCCAGAACTTGGCCGGGGACCCACCCCCTGACCATCAGCGTTGTTCTGTCCACCAGTTGGCCAAAGCAGGCCGCGTGGTCTTTGAGCGTCTGATTGCAGCGGATGTCAAGCCTCGACGTGACAGTTCCGAATTGTTCGTTTGGACACCAGGCTTGTCGTCGAGGCCCCTGATGCCCTTGGTCAGCGTGCGTCCTGATCAGGGGTCTGAAGTGTGGGCCTTCCTTGGTTCTGGCGGAATCTCGGGTCAGGGTCCGAAGAGGGCCAAAGGCTGCGGCAAGGGCAAGTTCAAGGCGTTGAGGCCCCGGCCGCCTGAGTCGCCGACTTGGGTGGGCGCTCAGGCAACGCCGAGGGCAAAGGGCAAAGATGTGTGCTACAACCACAGCCTGGATGGGTGCCCGAACCCGCGTTGCAAGCGGCTGTGTGTCTGTGCCAAATGCTTCAAGAGTGGTCACACCGTCAAGCAGTGCAACCGTTCCCTCCGACGCCGGGTTTGTTGCTGCTTTTTTCTATTGGTGAGGTGCCAACCTCGCGTTTTTCTTCGTTTGTTGCCGAAAATTTTGCGTCGGGGCGTTACTGAGGCTGACGTGTGCTCTTTGGTTCCACAGCTGAAGTCCGAACGACCTGTTCGGGGTCAAGGTCTCAGTTACGCGCTGCCTGTGTGACTTGATTTGGTCTCGCGTCGCACCACGGCGTTGGAATTCACGAGTGTAGCTCTTTTTCAAAATCTTTGTGCGCCTCCTCATCGTGACCTGAACAATTCGTCTGGCTTTCCGTCGTGCATCTTCCCATGTTCCAGCTTTCGGCGGGGTGAGTGTGGATCGAAGATGTCACAGGCTCGGCGCCGTGCCCTGACCCAACCAACGATTGACAAGACCGGACGTCTTTTGCAACTGACTGGCGCTACTCTCTCGACTGCGCCTTGGTCGGGAACCCGTGTGGTGCTTGCGGCCTTTGTCATTGCCCGGTTCGAGTTGCTCTCCAACGCCCATCGATTGACCCTTCAGGACCTCTGTTTTCGGCGCCCTGTCGCAGACCCACATGGACGGCGCTCGCCCATAACCATCCCTGCTTCGCTTCCTTCGCGCACATGTCCGGGCGAGAAGTGCTTCTCATCATTCGCCTTGGGGGCTCACGGCCCATGTTGTGTGATGCAGACATTTGTATATGACACGCGTTGTTTCACAGTTCTGACAGTGACCCACGGTCGTTTCTAAGCATTCCTCTCTGATAAATTCGATTGCAGAAGTTTTAGATTGGTTTGATTTCCACAATGCTGGGAAGCATCGCGCGCGACTGCAAACAAGCCAAGTCAAGCCAAGGCAAGTAGCAGCCCATTGAGGGTTCAGGATGGTGAACAGCGCCGACCAGTGATGCACTGGCACACGTCCACCATGTGGCAGCTATTTGCCGTTTTTTGCCAGATTGCTCGCAACGTGTTGGCCGGCTTGTAGCCGTGAGTGTGTTTTTCTTGTTGTTCTTTTGTTTTGCCTGCCAATTGTCAACGTCGGGTCCGCCACCGTAATGGGGCCATCAATGGCCCTTAATTACGAGTGGAGGCCTTTTATGGCCGCAGTGGCAGCACCAGATCCGACACCAGCTCCAACGCTGGCTCCTGTGTCACTGCCGCGGGTCGCCCGGCTGTTGAAAGCGCCGTTGCCGTCGCGCTGCGCAGCGCAGACGGGGCCCGCAGCCGATGTAGATTCGTGGCCCCGCGCTCCCGTGGCCCCCGACTTTGGCACCGAGGACCACAATGCGCTGCGGACTGGCCTGCTGCAGCTCAGAGTACGCGGCCAGTGCCCCGATTTGTTCGGCAGCTCGGCCTTGCGGCTGCCCGTCGTGGGACCGGTGCTCGAGATACCAGTGTCGCAGCGCAACGCAACGCACAGGGCTGACGCCGTAGAGGACCATGTCAAGGCGGCTGTCCTGCCGGGGCAGCAGTGCGTGTTAGGGTAGCCCCATGCGTGCTTTACGAGCTTTGTCCACATGGAGACAAGGACATGGAAAAACAATATCTACAAGAACTCAAGGACTGTCTAGGCAACATATATTCAGAAAATAGAAAAGCTTTAAAATATTTCAAGAAAAAACTAACCTTTATTGAAATATCAATTTTTTGTAGTTGCAAAAGTTTTAAAAAGTTTCTAAAAATAGAATATGCAGTATTATTCCCGAAAGCACCGCGAAGGGTTCTTCCGTGCGGAGCCCTCTGACCAACAACATAGAGTCAAGTACATGTGAAGTGCATAGAGTGAAGTGCATAGAGTGAAGCGCATAGAGTGAAGTGCATAAAGTGAAGCGCATAGAGTGAAGTGCATAGAGTGAAGTGCACAGAGTGAAGTGCATGGCGTGAAGTGCATAGAGTGAAGTGCATAGAGTGAAGTGCATAGAGTGAAGTGCATGGCGTGAAGTGCATAGAGTGAAGTGCATGGCGTGAAGTGCTTAGAGGGAAGTGCATAGAGTGAAGCGCATAGAGGGTAGTGCATAGAGTGAAGTGCATAGAGGGAAGTGCATAGTGTGAAGCGCATAGCCTGAAGTGCATAGAGTGAAGTGCATAGAGTGAAGTGCATAGAGTGAAGTGCATAGAGTGAAGTAGAAAGTAATAGAAATTGCGAGATTTACGTAGAATTTACTAGACCTTCGTACCCAGTCCTAGATTTCTAAAGTAAAATTACTCTTCCTAAGGCGGCGGGCTGGGTTGACATCGCCAATCGGGATTGCAACCCTCTGCGGGTTTCAGCGTGGTCGCGGTGTGCGGACAACCCTCTGCGGGTTTCAGCGTGGTCGCGGCGCGAAAACCGTTGTTTTCTTTACGTTTCTTGCTGTGCGCGGACAACCCTCTGCGGGTCCGTGCAAATCAAGAACGTCAAAAAAAGACGGTTTTAGCACCGCGACCGCGCTGAAACCCGCAGAGGGTTGCAATCCCGATTGGCGATGTCAACCCAGCCCGCCACCTTAGGAAGAGTAATTTAAATTCAGAAATCACTGAGTGCACTTGACTCTATGCGCTACACTCTATGCACTTTACTCTATGCACTTCACTCTATGCACTTCACTCTATGCACTTCACTCTATGCACTTGACTCTATGCACTTCACTTCACTCTGTGCATTGTGCTTCATGCACTTCACTCTATGCACTTCACTCTATGCGCTTCACTCTATGCACTTCACTCTATGCACTTCACTCTATGCACTTCACATGCACTTGACTCTATGTTGTTGGTCAGAGGGCTCCGCATGGAAGAACCCTTCCGCGACGCTTTCGGGAAAACATCCCCGTGTCTTCACGCGCGCGGAAGTCCGTTACCATGTTTGTTGCGGTGTTTTCAAGCGCCCAGATGTCCGTTACCTGCTACTTGCTGTGTTTTCATCGCCCAATCCGTTACCATGCTGTTTGCGGGCTTTCAAGCGCCCAGATGTCCGTTACCATGCTATTTGCGGTGTTTTCCAGATGTTCGTTGCCGTGCTATTTGCGCTGGTATTTGCAAGGTTTTGCATGTTCGGAATTCCGCTTCCATGCTATTTGCAAGGTTTTCAAGCATGTTCGGAATCCGCTTCCATGCGATTTGCAAGGTTGTCGCGCACGCGGAATGCGTACTACGTTTGTACTACAAAAGTCGACTTTCAAGCCACGGAAGCTCCGGGCGTCTCCAGCTACTACGTCTGTACTACAAAAGTCGACTTTCCAGCCACGGAAGCTTTGCGTGTCCCCAGCATACTACGTTTGTACTACAGAAATCCACTTTTCCGCCTCCGCAGCGACAGACTTTCCCAGCCATGGAAGCTCCGCGTGTCCCCAGCGTACTGCGTTTGTACTGCGTGCTACATTTGTACTACAAAAGTAGATTTCCAGCCACGGAAGCTCCGCGTGTTCCCAGCATACAACGTTTGTACTACAAAAGTCGACTTTCCCGCCACGAAAGCGTACTACTTTGTCTACTAAAGTCGACTTTCCAGCCACGGAAGTCCCCAGCGTACTGCGTCTGTACTGCAAAAGTCGACAAAGAACACAGAAACACTGCGGTTTTAGCACCCGCAGAGGGGTTACGTTTGCATGTCAAGAAACGCAAAAACACGACGGTTTTGGCACCGTGCCACGCGAGCAACCCGGCGATTACAACTCTCTGCGGGTTTCGGATGGTGCTAAAAACCGTGGTTTTTTTCACGTTTCTTTGTGTCCGCCGACACCCTCTGCGGGTTGCAGGTGCCCGCATAATGCCTTGTCGCCAGATGCTAAGCGTGCCGCTTTTCCGTTTCCAGGCTGGCTTCCAGGGGTCAGCGCCCTGCGCCAGGAGGCACCGTCAAGCAACTCGGGGTCTTCCAATTGCTTTGCTGGAATCGAGATTTTTTGCTTGCATGCGTGTCATGCTTGAGCACTGTGGACTTGTGCCCAGCGGTGATTCTCTCAATTGCTTTGCTTTTAGGAAATTCCGCAAAACCTCCGTCGCGCGCGGGCCATAAGTGCCTTCACTACAAATAAGCTGGAGCATGTCAGTTTAACAATGCGACAGCATGCAATCTCCACCACAGCTTGATGTTGCACTTCTTATGCAAAAGCAATGAGCAGGCTGTCACAATTCTCAAAAAAAAGCGTTGCAGGGCTTCGATTGCTGGCTCTCGTCCGACAGAACTCCGAATGGCACGCCCTGTCAAGCCTTAGACAACAAAGTTCCATGGGCGAAGCACTTGTTTGAAGTTAGCTTGCATGACCTTTTCCTTGGCCGCTTAAAAACCCGCAGCCAGGTTTCGAGTGACCACGAGTTGGCTGCTAGCTGTATTTTGTCCGGGCTGGCCTGTTTCCGGCAAGTCTCCGTGAGTGGAGTTGCCCTGCCCGCTTGCCTTGCGGTTGAGTGTTTCCTGCTTCTTGCTGTGCCTTATTTTGCTTTTAAGCGCCTGCGTCCTTCCAGCTCCGAAGTTGTGCTGTTTAGGAACGGAGAGCTTCAAAGTATGGTCGCCACAGAGCACGTGCCATGGTGCTTCTACAAAAAGATGCAGCACAAGTGCTGCCATCTTTGTTAGATGTGGCACTACGGGTGACCCATCAAAAGCTGCTTCAGCCTGGATTTTGCTTCCTGTTGCTTTGCAGCAAACACGGTGGGACTCGGGCCCAGCTGTGTGCGTGTTGTACTGTGTGTATGCTCATTCTGGCTTGCTGCTAAGTGATTGGTGCAGGTAGGTTCTTGTTGCATTGGTCTTACCACGGCCTGCGCTAGCGGTTGCTTCTTTGGCCCAGAGGCGTCGGTTCAAAAAAAAAAAAAAATGACACTGATGATCGAGAGCCTGCAGGCTTACATTTCTCGATATGCGTTTCCGCAGAAGCCAAAAAAGGAAAAACAATGAAGCTGCGCTGCCAGCAATGGTCTCTACATAGCTTGTTGATGACCTTCTGCGTCTGATTTTTGGTTGCGTGCAGTCCACCTGCATTCCAGCGCAAACACGCCACTGTGGCGTTCGAATGCAATGTGAGAAAAGTTTCAATCGCTAGTGAGTTCGCACACGGAGCTGCTTTCCACTTCTCTTCAAAATTCTTTTTGGCTGCATTGCAGCCTGCCAGTCTTTGATTTACGGGCTGCAGTAAGGCCCACCTTGGTGGCTGGGCATTGACTTTGCCTTCCACTGGCAAATCGCGCGCTCTTTGCATGGCTTGATGCACTTGCCTGCCACGCATTTTGCTTGCCGAAAGTTCTCTAACTTCGTCTTCTTGACGGACTTCCTTTTTTTGTTGCTGTTTGGTTGTTTTCACTGCTGACGTTGTTTGTGTTGCCGTTGCTTGTTTGCTCTAAGGCAACAACCAAAATGTTGGCGTGCGGAACTGCAGAGCAAGAAAGACAATCTGACTGCATGGAACGTACTTCGACTGACAGGTTAAAAACACGGCTGAGGACGAACGAAGGCTTCCAAGGTTTTCGAAGGTGAGGTTGAAGCTTCTTCGAAGGCTTCCAAGGTGAGAAAAAGGCGGCTTCGAAGGCTTCAAAGGCTTCGAAGGCGAGCTTCGAAGGCTTCGAAGGTGTGTGGGTGCCGTTCCGACTAATAGTAATCATAGTAGTAGTAGTAGTAGTAGTAGTAGTAGTAGTAGTAGTAGTAGTAGTAGTAGTAGTAGTAGTAGTAGTAGTAGTAGTAGTAGTAGTAGTAGTAGTAGTAGTAGTAGTAGTAGTAGTAGTAGTAGTAGTAGTAGTAGTAGTAGTAGTAGTAGTAGTAGTAGTAGTAGTAGTAGTAGTAGTAGTAGTAGTAGTAGTAGTAGTAGTAGTAGTAGTAGTAGGTAGTAGTAGTAGTAGTAGTAGTAGTAGTAGTAGTAGTAGTAGTAGTAGTAGTAGTAGTAGTAGTAGTAGTAGTAGTAGTAGTAGTAGTAGTAGTAGTATAGTAGTAGTAGTAGTAGTAGTAGTAGTAGTAGTAGTAGTAGTAGTAGTAGTAGTAGTAGTAGTAGTAGTAGTAGTAGTAGTAGTAGTAGTAGTAGTAGTAGTAGTAGTAGTAGTAGTAGTAGTAGTAGTAGTAGTAGTAGGTAGTAGTAGTAGTAGTAGTACGTAGTAGTAGTAGTAGTAACAGTAGTAGTAGTAGTAGTAGTAGTAGTAGTAGTAGTAGTAGTAGTAGTAGTAGTAGTAGTAGTAGGTAGTAATAGTAGTAGTACTAGTAATAATAACAGCAGTAGTAGTGGTAGTAGCAGTAGAAGAAGAAGAAGTAGTAGTAGTAGTAGTAGTACTAGTCGTCGTAGTAGTAGTAGTAGTAGTAGTAGTAGTAGTAGTAGTAGTAGTAGTAGTAGTAGTAGTAGTAGTAGTAGTAGTAGTAGTAGTAGTAATAGTAGTAATAGTAGTAATAGTAGTAATAGTAATAGCAGTAGTAGTAGTAGTGGGGCAAGTGGGGCAAGTGGGGCAATGTCGTTTTCCACACAGGGACCAGAGCAAGTGGGGCAAGCGGGGCAGAAAAAACACTTAGCGGCCCACATTTGCAAGCCCACTGAGAAAAGATGTGTTCTATTTCAATTTTACCAACCTCACCAAAAACATCAAACAGGCGGTTTTGTGCAAAGCAAAGCAAGAAGCACAATGCAGCGTTCGCTATGACAACAACCAGCGGCACCAACGGAAAAAAATTCCGCGTTGGACATTGATGCATGTGAGTCGTTGACTCCTAACAGCGAAAACAATCCTGAAAGATGAAAGCAAAAGGATGCAAGGGTCGAGATCAAGACGCAGGAAAAGAAGAACGTCGGTTAATGGATGAACGAGTGCATCTGATGTAAGAAAAAATGAAGGCGCAACAGAAAATTCAATGTTCCCCACATGCCCAACATGAACAACCCTGGCTCAAGCACTCGTCCGCTTGTGAGAAAGATGGGGAGTGCAGGTTTGTGAGAAGGATTTCGTTTGCCGTTTTGTTTTCACACCAATTTTGTTGTGATTACTCGAGCCACTCGAAAAAGCATGGAGCATGCAAGAGCGTGCCGCAAGCTGTGCCCACCAGCTGCCTTAACTTCTCGTCACAGCACGACTTCTGTGGGCACAACATCTCCTGCTTGACGGGGTTGATTGAAAAGTTTTCGCTGCCCGTTGTGGCTGACATGAAAGTTCGAATTTGTTCAAAATAGCCCTCAGAGCCATTAGTTCCAATTGGTTGATCGGACGTTGCTGTCCAGAAAGGGCTTTCGGGCAATATATGCTTGCGGCTCGGTTTGTACGTTGCACCGCTTTTGTGGCTTGCAAGGCTTCGTGATACAGGCTCACGTTTTGTGTGTTTGTTCCGGTTGGGCCATCTGATTTGAACTTCTAACAGGCGTTCCAAGACGGATCGCTTTGAAATAGCAGCGAGCATTGCAGTTTACGACAGTGAGTCTTGTTCCAGTCCTAGTGTTGTAATGTTGTAGGTGACACTTTCTTGTTTTGCTGGGTACGCTTACCTGAAAGCAAATGCATCGTTTTGGCCATGGTTGAAGTTTCCGTCAAGCTTCCAGCCGGGTCACGTGCAGCCAAGGCCAAAAATGCCGGGACCAACTTGGTTTGAAGTTTATGGTTTAGACGGGGTGTGGGTTTTTGTGTTGAACGCTCTGGTTCGTAGAAGGCCAGCACTGCCCCTGGCGCGCTTTGCTGAACCTTGGTCATGTTGTGTCCATTGTGATGTTTTTTGCGCATCACCGATTGTGGTTTAGGTAGCAAAGTATCAGTATCCGTGTGGAGGTGCTTTTTGAAAGGGCATTGCAGCAATCCGATGCTGTTGCAACGTGTTGCGCCCCATGTTCGAAACTCTTATATTCCTTGCCTATTTCACATTCCAAAGGCGTAGTTGGCAGCAGTTCTGCACTGGGAAGCTGGGACCCGAAGGCTTCCCCCAAGCTCCAGCAGCTGCCGTTGCCTTTGCGGTCATTAGCATTTTTCTTTCGTGCGTGTTGAGTAAATAGTATAATTCTTTTGTTGTGTGTTTTGTCAACCAGTGCAAGCTTCGACAGCCAAACGTGAGGAATGATGTATTGACATGGGAAGGCGTTGTGGATGGTGCCAAAGTGGCCGGCGAGGAGTTCAAATTTTGTATATGGAATGGACGAACCCATGAGTACGTATGGGAAGAACAGGGTCCCATGCATGCCATGCCCATGGTTGACTTCCGCTTCTCAGCTAGCGGTTCAGATTTCAGACTTACTCGTAGAAGTGGTGTTGGGTTTGTGTTGACATAGTTTCATACCAGCTAAGGATTGCAAGCTCTCTTCGAAGATGCATCCTCCGACACGACTTGCGCCAAGTGTGGTGCGGCCTCTGCGCCTGCCCCTTCGGATGGGTGTGTCCGCTGGCAGGTGGTGGGCGGCCATACGGGTGGAATTTTGGTGCGAGCAAGCCGAACTTTGACGTCAATGGAGCTGGGTCGACTGAGCGCGAATTCTCTGCTTGAGGAGTCTGATTTGCTGTATATTGCTGTATCTCCCAGTTTTCGTCGCTGTGCAAAGGCTGTCTTCTTAGCGAAAACATTGCAACAATATGTCGCAAGCATCTTGAGTTACCGTTGCAGGAGGTTGAGATCGTCAGTGACAGACTACACTACCGGAAGTTATCTGGAGACGGGCCGGTGCAAGGCTGGGTCAGTCTGCGATTGAAGGGCAAGGACCTCGTGAGAAAGGTAGCCCCAGACGAGCACAGTGACCTCCCACTAAGCAATGAATCGGGGAATTCAGCATTGAATACCCAGATCTCTTCTGGCGAAATGTCGAGTGGGAAGTTGATGATCCAGGTCAGAGTGGTCTCTTGAATGAAATCCATCCGCTGTACTTGTAGTTGATAGTAAGATGTCGGTGACTGAGCTCGTCTCGTCTCAGATCAGCTCCCAGCAAGGACCATGCTCGGTCGCCGAAAGCGGCCGAAACTGGCCAACTTGATGGTGCAGTTTGTTGCCTGGTTGGTGGTCTTCCCTCGTTGGGTTCGTGGGATCCCAAGTTGTCACCGAAGCTTGTGCAGCGCCGCCTGGATGGTGCTGCCACCGTCTGGGAAGGCTGTCTGGATGGCTTGGAGGACAGCACTTTAAAGACTTTGAAGGTCCCTGAAGCCCTTTCAATGAACACCCAGAGAGTTGTGAGGGATGCAAGTTCGAGAGCGTTGGAGGTTGGAGCCGGCGAGCAGTACAAGTACTGTATTCTCCATGCTGCCAAGAACCTCTACATCTGGGAGGAATCGGGCCCAATGCATCATTGGCCGAAATCTACAGCAGTGCATGATTTTGAGGCTGGAAAGGCCAGGCAGCACAAGTCACGTTCCCACTGCAATGCATGATTTCATGCTGTCATTTTTGCGGAACTTTCAGGGCACCGGTTTGCGCAGTGACGGTAGCAACGTTGGCAACAATAGCTGTTCTTTCAACGCGAGCCAAATGGGAAACAAATGGGGAACCAAATAGGTACCAAATGGGAACTAAGTAATGGGAACCATGAGTGGGGCCTGAGACGCTAAGATGCGTTCTTTCTGCCGTGTGTAGGATTGTTGGTTTGTTGGCTCATGTTGGCTCTCATGTGCCCTCACGTGGGCTCATGGCCATTTGATTCCGTGTTTGTCATTCATCTTGATGCGGCCTATTTTGGTGAGGCAGAGGTGACACCTCAAGGAGCATGGCCGCCCCCACAAGCTGTGCCGCGAAACGCTCCGGCAGCTGAGTTGGGTGCAGGCCCCAAGCCGAGCCAAGCCGAAAAGCCATGCGACAACTTGTCTTTCATCTCAGGTTCAGTTTCCAACCTATTTTGATGGCTCTGTACCTTTGCATATTTTGCTTTGCCAAGTCTCGCTTGCAGCCCAAAACGAACCTTTGAGCTGATTCCATGCCGCCCATGCCGCAGGCACCGAGCTTTGGATCCCGTGGAGCACCCACCAGCGCGCTGTGGAGGCTGGGCTGTTAGGTGATGTTTCCTGTATGTTCTACCTGCGAGCCTGCGAGCTGGGAATGCTGAAGTCCGTGCAACCCTTGTGAGGTGCCACACAGCGTGTTTCATGCCTTTCACTGGCCATTTGCATTGACCTGTGATCGCCTTCAGGACATAGGCGCACATTCACAAAGCAAGCAGAAGTACATGGTCTGCAATGGTCTGCATCAGCAGCACTGTCGATGTTGCGGTGCAGGTGAGTTGGGCTTTCAAGCTGTTCAAATCAGCCCAGCGCAAAAGTCCAAAGCTGGCGGCTCGGAGGAATGGCTAAAGTGGTTCAAGGATATTGAGGCTTTAAGGGCTTGGATTTACAGCCTTTGCCCGCTGGGTTGTAAGGCCAAGTCGCCAAGCTTGGTTGCAAAGTCAACACAGTGGCAGCCACTCCTGCAGCAACCTGTTGCCATGTGCAGCCACCGCCGATGCCGTAAATTGAAGCTTAGGTGGTGAGTGGTGGACACGCTATCAGCCCCAAGATTATCTGACCATTGATGGCTTGGGCTCTACGGGCGATCTGGAGAAGCTCACCCAAGATGCAAGCCGCAGAGGGCTTCTCATCATAGCCGATGTTGTCTTCAATCACATGGTGGTTGCTGCCTTACGTCGAGGGCTTTCCCAGGAACAGTGCTGCAACTGCTGGGTGTGTGTGTGTGTGTGTGTGTGTGTGTGTGTGTGTGTGTGTGTGTGTGTGTGTGGATGTTGGGTGCTTCCAATGGCATGTTGGGTTCTACCACGCTCAGGTTGTGGCAAGCTGCCAGGAGTGGAAGCATGCTCAAAAGTCCAAAGAGCTTCTGGCTGCCCTAAAACGACGTTTATCGGATGCAGTCGGTCCTGCCTTCGACGCTGAAGACTTCCAGTGGCCTTGGTTCGAGATGAGTGGCGAGCATTGGGACAATCACAATCGCTACGAGGAAACATGGAAACATCGTCTTGGGATTGTTTACTCTTGAATTGTGATCAATTGTGTTGACTTGCAGGCATCATGGTAGTCACATCTCAAACCCGTCAGCCTTGACAGGGATGGGGCAATGGCGAATGGTCTGAGTTGCGGCACTGTGAGAAGGTGGTCAAAGTTCAGCAGCAACACTTGCAGCTGCTCTTGGATGCAGGTTCGGAGCTTGAAATGACTTGCAGACGTCATGGGACGTATTGGGACGTGCTTCCAGTGCGCTCGCAAAGCTGCAAAGCTGCTGAGGTGTGCGTGGCTTCCGCTTCGATGCAGTCAAACACATGCGTCCAGCACATCTGGCGGAGCACATGGATTACCTTCGAAATTCTGGCAAACTTCTCTTTGCGTATGGTGAAATTCTGACACTTGGCTTGGGTGGCTAGAACATGAAAGGCTTTGTTTAACGTTGTTATCTAAACGTCTTGGCACGGGCAACCGAGTTGCACGCAGAAGAGCAGTGTTCGAGCAACAAGTTCTGTGGCTCAGGAGTGTGGATGCTCCCATGCACCATGAATATATGCAATCGCTTGCCATACCTTCGACGGACTTCCCCTTGACCGTGTACATGAATCGCGTGCTGATGAACGGTCCGGCAGCAGCTCAGGAAGGTGTAGCTGTGTCATGTGCAAAGGCAGCACACTCTGAAGGCCGGGGCCTGTCGGAGAAAGATAATTGTTAAAGTAACTGCTCTTTCTGGGGAAAGGAGCACCTTGGAACGGTCGTGCAGTATGCTATAGATCCTCGTGTGATTTGATGGGAAGGTCTCGACATAAGAAGTTCAGAGCTCCACATGCCTCCCGGCCTCTCTGGCGACTCTATTCGTTTTGCTCGGAACCATGACACGGTCTGAGCCTTAGTTCATCCTGCGACGGTAACGAACACTAAGCTTCAGAGTCACACATGTCTTCTGAGGGCCTTAGGACTTAGTTTCTACTATGTTGTATTCGGTTGTAAACTGGCTCCAAGCCTCCACTAGTTCCCTGTCCGAGGTTGCAGCAGTTTTGCAGCTTTTCAATGTTGGATAGAAAGAAGTTGAATGTCCAACGTCTTCCCCTTCATTGCCAGGTCATGAACCCTGGATCCTTTTACGGACTGTCTGGCTCGTGCCTGTCTGCCCGTGCCTGCTGGGCCTGGTTACTCTCTCTTCACGATGGCTCGGTCCTCGTTTACCCTGATGATCTGCAGAGTCAGGCACGGTCACAAAGTCACACATCGTTGCTAAAGCTGGTGACATACTAACTGCATTCCGAAGACTAGGACATGCTTCCGTGCCCTGACAGGAGAGTGGGCCTCTGATATGCAGAGCCCTTCGATACCGCGCGAAGTTAGCCAAAGTCGCAACTAGCTCTCAAGTAGGGCTTCTCTATCTAGAGGCAGGTGGCCCGCCTGGATTTCTTTTGGTTGCGCTGAGAAGCGCTGGAGGTCAGCTTTGTGGGCTGGCCTTGGTCAACTTGCAACGGACACCAGTGAAGGTGACTTCCTGCTCTTTGCTCAAGAACCTAGGGGATGGCGTGTTCCAGGATGAGCAGGGTTGCACAGTGCATTTGCGCGATGGCAGCCTAGAGAGCGAAGGTTCCGAGGGTGTCTCGATTCAAGCATTCGATGCTGCTTTCCTTGCGACCTGAGCACGGATGACAAAACGCCAGAGCATGAGTCCGGGGATGTAAGGACAATGTCATACAATGTCAGAACCTCTGTGCCCCCCTGTGTGACGATGATGGAAGTGTTGCACGGTCGCGCAGGGAAGCAGAACTAAACTTTCGGCTGCATGTTTTTCCTTCCACCCCGACTGTGAAGTAGTCTTTCTCGCTAGTGAATGAGTTTGTCGCCTTCACAGCAGGTACTTGTAGCTCCAGGAAGGCATAGGCATGAGGCCAACGAAGCACATGCATTTGGAAGCCTTTGCTACAACAGGCAGAAAGATCTGGGAGACAGTCGCATGAGAAGCCTTGGAAAATGAATCGCATCAATCTCACTCCTCAAAGCATTTGCTAGCATCGCTACGTCGCGACACAATCAAATCGTCCTCATGGCACCAAGCTGCTGGACTTCGAGTTTTGTGGTTGGCTTACAGTGCTGTGAGACGGCATGTAAACACAGATGTCTGGAGTGTCCAGCTTCGTGGCTTCGTTGTGTTGCATAGTGCTACTGTGCGCCAAAATACGAAGGACCAGGAAGGTCCAGGAATGATGCATCTTCACGCGAGCTTGTGTACATGAGGTGGCCAGTGTTCTTGTGCCGCAACTCTGGATCGTCCCGGCTGGTGGGGACATTCTGGATGACGAGCTCCGCTTTCATTTTGAGTAGTCCACCTAGAACGACGGGTAGAGTCCTTTGAACTTGGGCTTTGGAAGATTCATTCAGCAAAGCCTGCCCAGTTGCGCTGCTCGGTGTGCAATGATGACACCCTCCGACAGAGAAGTCATCAATACCATGTACAGGCAGCTGATGCACAGATATTGGTGTCAGTCGTTATGTCACAACTATGTCCGACTTCATGTATGTTGCAGGGCAGCAGGATGTGACGTTGGTGCGCTTGCCTAAGCATGGTTTCGGGGCATGTGATCATGTTGCCGTGTTGCCCCACACCTGACTTTTCACGATTTTTCTACTGGCTACCAGGGACCAGGGGCACATCCAGTTTGTGCATCATCCATGGAACAGCGGGAGCCTCGGCACTTCCGACATCAACATGCCAAGTATTCTTTTGAAATTTGCAGCATCGACAAGCTGTCCCCATGAAATTCCTCTTGTCCGTGTCGAGCTTGAACTTTGGATCCTCTGCTTGCATCTGTTTGCCTTGTGCCGACAGGAGGTAGAACAGGGGAATGCGGCTTCCCACCCGCAACTCTGGTTTTGCATGGCCACTGACCAAAAAACAGCCGGTTGACATCGACCAATCTCCGTTCCTCCTTTGGTGACAGCGAAGGCCCGGGCCAACCAAGACATAGCACGGAAGCACGGAAGTGCTGTGTCTTGCTCGCGGTGCCCATCCTGAACTTCTGTCGCAGTCTGAAGCAAGGAATGTTGGGGCTGATAGTTATGTTCTGTCTGAATATCTGACTGTCACACAAAGCAAGGCAAAGCCTGTTCTGGCGAAGAACGCAAGTCACACTGCAAACGAGGCCCTGAAACACCAAAAAAAGATATATATTTCAGGCCTGCAGCTTCAGTTCCTGTGTCAGTGTTGGGCAATTCCGAGAGTCCTTCGGCTCCTGTAGTTGGGCAAGTGCGTGAGAGCCCTAAAGGCAACAAAGGTACCGCAACTTGCTGATCAGCATTGTCCAGCTCCCACCACGTCTGCCTTTGCGAAATTCGGATGGTTCCGAGGCAGTTCAACCACGGCAGAAAGTACCATGCACTATCATGCCATATACGATGCTTAGTAGTGCATATTATGTGCTGCCACGCAAGGTAGTTCCGACAGCTTAAACATCAATCAAGAGAAGCTGGCATATCGGACCATGCAGGTGTGCTTCCAAGCTCGGGTTATGAACAAATCTGCACCACACGGCTTCCGTCATCAGTTTGGTACTCCCCGAATTTTTTTGAGTACCTTCTCTCCCCGCCCCTAAAGTTTTCTCGCCGGACCATCACTCTGAAGCACCCGCATAGTAGGAGCCTGGCAAGATTTCGCGCTTGAACTGTGCATAGAAAATGCTGAACTAAGGTTGTGTGTTGGCAGCTGTGGTTCGGCACTCAGATCACAAAAAATGTACATTCGCAGCATTGTCCAGAACACACACTTGTATCGCTGTTGCCGCCGCCGCCGCTGCTGTTGTCGTTCTGTGAATACATTCGTTGGCGCGCAGGGTTGCCATGATTTTCTGGGAGTGTATTTCAGAAACTTCCGATGTACATCTCCAGACTCGGAACTATTTGGGCATTAAACAACAAACGGACTCACAAAGAAATTGTGGGCATCCCTTCTCAATCATGTAGATCTTGAGACAATCTCTGCCTAGTATTGTGTCCGCTGAGCCTAGGTTGGGAGGGCACTTCATTCCCAAACAGAGTGGGGATTGGGTGTAGGAGGTCCCGCGCGTACTCTGCGGGTTGCCGCGGTCTCGTGTTGGTCTTCGTTTCGAACATTTCCGAATGGTTCTTGGCGATGCGAGTATCCGGGACTAGAACAAAAGTGAGGTTGCCCCAGAAGAGAGGGTGTCGGCCAAGCTTATTTCGATGACTGTCATGGCTGTGCTGATGCATGAGCCTTGGGCCGTCATCAAGAGAAATCTAAGCTCTTCAGTTCAGAATCCCCCGCAACCCTTCGCCGCCTGTGCACACTCTTGACGAGAAGTGCCGAGCGTTTGCTGAACAGCTTTTGTCGAAAGCCCACACACTGAAACGAAACCGGCATTTCAACAAGACGGCTCCTGTTGCTAAACCCGTATCGGAGGGGCTTCTGCAGTAAGCTAGATTTCTCTTCGCCTTGGCCGGTTCGAGTTGTTGTTTTTGGTTGGGTGGGCAAGTGTGGAGTAGTGTGGAGTGGTGTGGAGTGGTGTGGAGTGGTGTGGAGTGATGTGGAGGGGCATGGAGTGGTGTGGAGTGTAGCTTGTGCTGCTCTGGCTTCAAATAACTTGGTCTCGCCAGGTGGGGGTCAACAGGACATGGTGGGAGACTCGGCAGCCTGACGGCTTGGCGGCTTGACGTCACAGTTCCGACACAACCTGCACGAGGCCACCTTCCTGCCCGGCGCATTTGGTGCAAAGACTGCACCCGCCATGCGCCCATGATATGGCGCCAGATGTATGGCGCCAGCTGACCCCAGCCTCATCCCGAACATCCCGAACTTTGATGAGTTTTTGCCTGGGCCGAGGCGCCAGCAGAGCAGTTCGCACCGGCCTTGCAGGCGGGCTCCTAGCGAGGCTCTTGTCGGCCAACGAGTGGTTAATGGCTATGGCCATGAACTGGCGAGGCGCACCACGATTGCGCGGATCGCTGCGTCTCTGAAGGTGCCTGACGCCCAGTGTCGGGCATCATTCTAGCAGCTACTCATTCATGTTGTGTGATCTTTTTGGACATGCGGCGTCGGCACGGCAGGCATCGCAGTTTCAGTGGCTGATGGTGCCAAGAAGGCTGTCGACACATTGCAAAGATGCGGCGTCGTGTCCCTCGGTGTTATAACCAGTACTGTAGGGCTTCACAGTCGTGGCAATTACGTGTTACATGTCATACCAATAGGAAGAACCAATCTAAGATGCCTAAGGCAGTTGCTGGGGGCTTATGACCTGAGCGAGCTTGATCAGTTCCAGAAGGCTACTTCATGCTGATTCCTGCTGATGCGGTTTTAGCAAAAATTTGTGATTCGGTGCATTGCAGCGCAGGCCTTTGACCAACTAAAGTCAAGAGAAAAAGCATACAAGAAGTTGCTCGACACCAAGCAGCTCCATGATGGTCGCTATCAGGCACAACCCAGCAATATGTTTTTGGAAGCCTTCTGAGATGAACCTTGGAGCGACTTTTCGGCAGTGTTTTTTGCCCACTCTTTGCCGAGCAGGTTTATCTGCCGTTTACAAAGCCGTTCTCTTCGCGCAAAACTCTTGGTGTCAGCGATTTGGTGCTAGAGGCCTGATGGCAGAAGGTTTCAGAAAGGCAATGAAGCACTTGCTGGAAGTGAATTCTGCAACCCGAGTCAACCATACCAATGATTCTACATGGCTTGCAGGTGCTTCGTTCCTACTTCCTGGCAAGCGGCGGCAGCTTTGGCATAGATCATGTCACTGTAGTGGGCCCAGTCAGCTGCTACAATGCAATGTGCGTGGCATGCTGCAGGGATCCTAGTTGCCCAGGTATTGACCTCTTCGAGTGGCAGCACGATGCTGAGCATGCTAAGCTAAGAGATTAAGTGCTTGCTGCAAGCCAATCATGCATTGCTAAGATGTACTTGCACGGAAGGTGCAAATCAGAGCTTACATCCGGACGTTCACTACTTCAAGGCATCTCGAACTAAGTTGGTTTCTTCATTGTTCGAGCATCTCATCTTGGCCAGCAGCAGGGCTTATCCGTCTCGGTGCACACGGCTTTGCAAGACGTGCCTGCGTCGATGGGGTGGGAGCCTTACACATCTTACACTACGGACAGGATCGCAGATGGTTTTTCCATTCACGTGGTCGTCTGTGGTTTATGTGTGTTCTCCGCCATGTCCTTCAATCCAGGCCGACGTTCTTCTGTCCGTGCACTGGCGAGTCCCTGACGCGGGAGGAGAGATTCTGCGCCTTGTTTTTTCGCTTGGTTGCCCAAAGTGTTTTGCGGGTGTTGGCGGGTTTCGTTGGCTTTTGTTCATCTGGCCATGTTGCCTTCCCGAGCCAGCTGACACTTGGGCATGTCGGGACGTGTCGCAATTTCCGGCTTCTGTCTGCTTAGAATGTTAGAACTGATCCCATGGAGGATTGGCCACCCAGCGCGGCCATCAAAATGATCCTTGGCTGCAGCAAAAACTGCGGGTGCTGCATGGCAGGGCAGTGCCCTACGAAGCAATTGATAGAATCTCATAGGGTTGCCTTACTGACCTCCCTAGAGACTGCGGAATGGCAGACCAAGTTGTGCCAGACGCAGTCTGATGGCAAAGTCTCAATTCTGATACTAAGGACAATCTTGAAGCGAAAGGACTGCCCAGTCCTAAGATTCGACTGCATTGTCCCCTCAATGCCTCTGTCTTCTTTCCACCACGGAGGTTTGGCAGCTCAATTCGCGCCTTCCTTCACTGCCCGTGGCACAGCAGGGATCTGAGTTCTCTGACAGAGAGGGAGCACAAAGATAGTAAAGCTGCAGCAAAACTGCCTCAACTTTGTCTTGGCTGGGCACTCTCGAACCTCTACTGGCACGGCATGGGTCGCAAGGGTGCGCCAGGGATCGGTGCCCATTCAAATCAGGTATTTGGAGGGGGGGAGGGGGGGTGATGGCTTACTCACTCTGTATCTTATATCCAGCCTGCCAATTATTGCCAATATCATGGTAGACTCCTCAAGTTGTTGTTTGGCGATTGTTCTGTAAGGTCACCATCTACGATGGAGCGATGTTCCACAAGGTTAGGATTCGTGGCGAGCGGAGTCGAGCACATATTTCAACAGAAGCTGGTTAATTACTGATCCGCCTGGGCTCAAAGTTGATGTTTGCGATGGGACCCTTCTGCGCCGAACGGCCGCAGGAAGGTGGATGCCTTTGATACGTTAAATGCTCTGGAAGACGGGAGCCACTATAGTTTCATTATATTTCCACCGACTTGCACTTCAAGTTCATGGGCTGTCCAGTCGGTTCTGGCTCTCAGGGCATGGCACTTCGACCATATGGATCTGTCCGACGTGGTGCAAGCGAATCGCGCTTCTCGCATGCACCAGCGGATGCCAGCTCACAGGTGTTGTATAAATTCTGCTGTATCGAAGAGGTTGCTGTGGCTGAACCAAAATCCTTCTTGTGCATGAGGTGTTCCCTCAGTGAGGGGGAATGGAAGCCAGGTGCTTAGAAACATGCATGCGGGGTTTGATCATGCAGTCGTGCGCCGAGGCTATGAACCTGCCAGCTTTCCCGAGATGAGCGCTTTAGCTCCTTTTGGGGATGTTTTCGGAGGTCGTGACCCATTCAAGGAGAGCATATCGAGCATCCGTACGGGAGGTGTCACAATTTGAGTACAAGTGTGAGCTTCAGGACTTCAACAATGCTCCCTTCGGAGGAGGCTTGATGTCCAGGTTTGACCAAATTGCGGCCGCGCGCCCAGAACAATTGCTGTCCTCACGTCATTGCTGTCCTCGTCAGCGGGGGCGTGGCGGACCTTTGAAACATTCTGAGTCTGAGGGAGACATGTTCAAGGGCTTCCCGATGAACGACCTTCCGACAAGTACCGCCACTTCAGGACCGAATCTGCAAGCTTGGAAGCACGGCGGCGTATTCTTTGTCAGGAGCTGGGTGCTACTCTTGCCAGACATTTGCAATGTCCTCCGTTCGAGGTGCAGATGGAAAGGCCACTGCTGTGCAAATCTGGTCACATCTGTACACGTTTGGATGCTGATGCGTTCTCGCACAGTTTTTCTCATGTACGCAACCCACAAATCTAAGTTGACTGCAGCCCTGCACAGGTCCACACAGAGAGATATTCCTCGTCGGATGTCGGCAATGCCCAGCATGGAATCCGAGAGGCTCAGCATGCTTATTCCAACTCTTCCACCGGAGTGGAGACTTGGAAGCCAGATCAGATAAGTGGAAAGCATAGGCCAACTACGTCATTGACTGCTCCGCCATTATAACGCTAGTCTGACCTTGGCTTGCACATGTAAGCTTTGCTTAAGCTCTGCTAGCCGAAGATGAAAGTTGCTGAAGGACAAGATGGGCCTCGAACGACACTTGCGAGACAAAGCTCGGAAGATGGTCAAGGCTGGGGGGCCCATCTTCGCATGTTCAGAGTAGAGATTACCAAAGTTACCTGCTTTTGGACCTCCAAAGCATGTTTGGGGCAGGAGCGCAATCGTCTGACACAGGACATTGGCTGTCGTGTTGAGTTGGTTTTGTGACGTGAACGGCTTGCACGTCAGAGCTTTCCTTGGTTTCTCCTGACTCCAGGACGAAAGATGCCATGAAATGCTGCGAGGCTGATGCTCTTGTGTTGGCTTCTCTGGTTGCCCCTGATTGCTATTCCTTTCGGCTCCGTAGGAGACACCGTTGGGTATTAGGCACGATTGCGGTAAGTGTCAGGGACAAAAGACTCGGGAGGGAAGTCGCTGATTTTCGTCCGATCTGTGATGTTAAGACCAGCTCCATTGGGGCGCCATACTGCTGCTGTAGACACTGCGACAAATAAGTAGCATATTGTGCGCCTTTGCACTGGCAATGTTGGATGCTTCAGCAAGTTGCAGATGATTGCGCCCTGAGAGGCATGGACGAGAGCGGGCGGGAACAATTCGACAGAGATTTTTCAGGAGATTTGCGAACTGTGTTTTGCCATCGCATGAGGTGCAAGAAGGCAAAAGACGTCCATGAATGTGTTTATGGCTAGGGCATTGTCATTGTGTCACGAACCCCAGCAAACCTGCTGTACAATCCGACAGAAGTTGACCTTCAAGGGGAGCGCAACACCGAAAATCATTGTTCCACCGCATAGCCGATGCACCTATTGTGGACGAAAGTACTCCCTGAGCAACAGTCAGGGAAGGAGTTTGCAGCACCAGGCCACACAATTGTAGGGCCTTCGTGTCGAAACCAGCCGCTATCGCTAAGCCTGTATACTTCAAGGTCTTCTGAGCTTTTTTCAGGCCGTCAAATCGCAACACCGAAACCGAGGTTTTAGTGGTTTGCATATTGATACACGCAACTGTTCAGGCTCCGCAGACACAACGCATCCCTGCATTGCACTGCAGGGAAGAAGCATCTCTTTTGAGTACCCACCCTCCACTTCGAAGTACTCAAAGTGTCCGCAGACACACTCGCCGCAAGCACAGTTGGAGCGACTGACCGTATGAAGTTTGCAGAGTCTATCAAGTCTCATGGGGGTGTTAGAAGGCACTAGCAGTTCTTGCATGTCGGAGCACCACTTGTGAAAACAGCGCGATTGCTCTTGCACCTGTTAAGCTGCAGTGTTGTGGTCTAGGAGTTGAACCCAACTGCTCCGCCATAAGAGGACTGGCCAGGCACCTACCAGCCCATGGACGACCCAGTGTAGCGCTCCTGCAACATCCAGGTGTGCTTATGCCAAAGCTACAGAAGCTTTTGTCTTTCGACCATCTTTTGCCAGCTGTTTTGCACCCTGTCCATATCAGGACGTGCGGCGCTTCCCCCAAATCGTGCACTTTCTATGCCCAAGCGGCGATGAAGCCCAGCACAGTTCTGAGACATTCTGAGACCAAATGGCCGGAGCAGGCTTTGTACAGAAAGCACATCTGCACTCAAAGGCAGACAGACACTGAAGCAGCAGCATGCAGCTGTTGCTCTGTGGTTGAATGTTTGCCTGAGACCTCTCCTACTTCCACATGCATACTGTATGTCTTGAAAGCAAGTTGTGCCAACACAGCTTGCCCTTGATTCCTGTGTACTATACACATATATATATATATATTTACATATATGTATAGTTGTACCGTTTGGCAGAAAAGACTATTTAAGTCATGCAGGCAGGTTTTGTATGGAGATAGTTCGTGGGCACAAAGACGGATACGTTGGAGGGAACAGAACAGGAAGATGCTGGAAGTTCGCAGATAGCAACTTTCCAAGAGCTTCCAGTTGGACATGGGGATTCTTCAGGCAACGATCTTCCAGCTGATCACGAGTTTGAAGGTCTGCATCCATGTTGAAGTAGAAGGTCATCTCAAAGACATTGTGCTCAAAGAAACTCAGCGTGCATGACCCAGAGAAAAATGGTGCTGGATCAGCACATGTCTTGCCAGAGAGTACTCGGCGAATCTTCTCTCTCTACACTTGCATCTTGCGCGCCTCTGGTGCCAGCGCTAGCAGGGCCTGGAGAATGGTAGCGGTCGAGACAGGCCAGTTCTGAAACTGGAGGCACGAAGGATTCAACGCACATGTTACTGAATGCTACTGAGTTACTGAGTGTTTGTGTTTTCTTGTGTTGATTTGGTGTTGATGTTTTGTGCATTCTGGCAGCTTTGGCACCTTGTCTTTTTGGCACAGGTTGCTGCAGAAGAGTTTGCTGAGCGCCGAAACTACATCCAATTGGCAGCCAGCTGAGACAGATATCCATTGGATCCGGGGTCGTTGTACATGCGGTCCGGTTTTGTTCTTGTTGTAGCCTGACTCCAACAATTTTCGGGGGTTGCGTAGTCGTTCAGCTTTGGGCGTGTTCACGGGTACGTGACTATGCGGGGGTCCCGCGCTTGAGGGCACTGTGGGGTGCGAGCTTGGACATGCTCACAGGCATCCGCTGCCGCCAAAAAGCAAGTCCGTCGGTTTCGTGAAGCCATGGGCCAACGACCGAGTTTATGTTCAAGGATGTTCAAACACAGTGCTTAGCAGGCTCCCGTTCCATGCACTTCCCCGCTGTTTGCTGCTTCTGTGCTGTTCGAGGTCCTCCGTATTTTGGTGAAAGCCGCCGACAAGACTTGTAGGGCTGCTTGCTTCGTGCAAAAGTGCGTTGGAGACATGTGCGACCTTCACCTCCTTGCATGACAATGCGGCAGGATGAGGGTTGTAAGGTCGACGTTTAGTAATGAATTCAGTTGGTGTTCGCTGCATTTTGCTGCTGGGATGAGGGCAGGTGGAAATGGCCGCGTGCCAATATTAATTGCTTGTAACAGGGCCGCGGCCCACACACGCGACATACCGCGTTACAGAGGGTATGTATCAATGGCCGGAGTTTTGCGACAGACTTGTTTGTTGTTGTCTGCAGGTTCCAAGTCTTGCTTATCGGGGGGTAAGTGTTCGTGAGTTTCAAGAAGCAAATATATGTATCCCTGAATTTGAAACCCCCTTAAACTCTTAAAGGCTGAGTATGTGGAGTGGTTCCAAGTCTTGCTTATCGGGGGGTAAGTGCTCGTAAATTTCAAGAAGCTGTGAGGGTTCCAGGTCTTGCTTGTCGCGGCCAACCCCACTCTGTCCTCAACAGGGGGACTCTCTAGGCTTTAGGCAAGACACCCCCGAAGCCTGAAACCCGAAATTCCCCAAAATCTGTGTTCATGCCTCCCGGCGCGCGACATACCCCGTTACAAGTGGGTTACATACCCGCGACAGACCAAACACAGTCTATTGCGACATCTGCGTAAGCAACGTGCGCCCCAAATAGACGCATTTTCGTCCTACCCCAATGCACCCTGAGACCCGTTTGTAGTATATGTATATGTGTATATAATATAATATCATATCATGTAAAAAATATCATATACATGATACGAACGTGCGCGCGACAGAGGTCTGCAACAAGCCGGGCGTTACAGAGGTCTGTAACAGGTGGACGCGGGCGCTGGCCGCGACAACCGGGGGTTTTGGCACACGGCCAAATTTGTTGTGAGGCCATTTGAAATAAAGCATGTCAGTGCCATGTTGTCGCAGACCTTGCCCAATAACTTCTTTGATCCAATTGAGACCTCTCCCGACCTGCCCCCGAACATACTGTCTTCAGACAACGCGCGTACTGTACCGAAAGAGACAAAGCCATTGCAGAGACAGGACAACATGTGACAACATGTGACAACATGTGACAACATCATTGTGATCGCCACATCTTTGTGGTTGCCCATTGCTCGTCGCCGTTCGGCCTCACTAGAAGTCAAGGAGCTGCGAGTCGGCTAAAGTCTGCTGGTTCCAATGCATGAGGGTCCAGGAATGTTTCTAGAAGCTGGTGCAGAATGTGTTTGGGTTATTTCGGTTCGTAGATCACTTGCCACGACCTCCGCATGTACTGTGCTTCATGAGGGTTTCATGAGGACAGCTTGCAGCACTCAGATATGCCGCGTTCCAAGACATATTCGCATTATCCACTTGGCGCGGTTTGGGTGCCGCAAGAAGGCATCCCTGAGAAGCAGCCCCGTACCGCTCGGTCTTGATACCGTGGCAGCGACAGCCAGGTCGAAACCATCTGACTCTGTGGCCGTCGTTAAACGTGTTGTGTCAGCACCCCTAAGCAAGGTCCGCAGACCTTCCGACGTTTTGAAGGCATCTCTGTCAGAGGTTTCCATGGCAAGTCTGACCAGTGCCAAGAAAACATCGAACTCGTCGAACTCATTGAACTCATCAAACTCATCGAGCCTGGAACCACTTGTTGACTCCGAGGCCAAACTGCTAGATGAAGAGCAGCTGCCAGTGGCTGAAGCCCTGTCAGCTGAAGGGCTGCGACCGTTGAACTCCTCGCTCCGTCGACGTGCGTTGGCATTTCATAGCGCGGCCATGGCCGCGAGAAAATCAGAGCTGCTCGAAATGCACCCAGATCGGTTGGCCATCCAGCAGGACATCTTGAGAGCCAGAAGTGTGGGACGTGTTCTGGCAGTTTGCTCCAAGGAGGAGCTGCAAACAATGGATGCGGTGAACGTGGTCACTGCCATACATAGGATTGCCAAGCTGTACGATGGGTCGCATATAGCCTTGGTTGAGAATCCTCGCTTTGAGATGATGTTGGAAGCAGTCTCCAAGCACGTTGACGCACTCAATCCGCGTGGGATGGTTCATTTGGTGTGGTCTCTGGCAAGTCTTCAGTGCTGGCCAGAGTGGTCAGAAGACTTGATCGGTCGTTGCATGCAGTGTGACTCCTTTACCGGTCGGGATTTGAGCGTGCTGCTCGGAAGCTTGGCCAAGTTGGCGACTTCATCCAAGCCAGGCGTGCCGAGTAAGCTGAAGAAGAAGTGTAAGCAGCTCCAGGATGTCTTGGTGCAGCAGCTTGGTGAAACACTGCCCGAGTTGACGACGTCAGTGGACCTCGCGTGCGCTGCAGCTTCTCTATCCCGCCTGCAAGTCCGAGATGAGAGGCTCTTTGTTACGATAGCCCAGCAGGCGGTGCCAATCCTGGGTGAGTTTTCAATGTCAGACGTCACGTCGCTTCTATGGGCGCTTGCGATCCTGAACTTCACCCATGGAGAGCTGTGTGAGCAGATCCGTTTGCTGCTTCGTCAGAAGGCTGAAGAGTGCTCACCGAAGGAACTAACTCAGATTGCTTGGGCCTTGTCTCGCCTGCATGAAGCTGATGAAGAGTTGCTGAGACAAACCATAGCACCGGTTGTGCGGGCCAAGTTTCTGGATTTCGAGGTCCCGCGTGACCTGTGCACGCTGGCTTTTGCCTACAGCAATGTACGCGTGTTCGATGAAGGCATCTTTAATGATTTCGCTCACACGCTAACATCCAAGGTTCGCCTCATGAATGCACATGATGTTTCCAGCGTGGTTGCAGCTTTTGCTGGCATTGAGTATGCCCACAAAGGCTTGTTCAAAGCATTGCAGAAGCATACCAAGGCCATCATGCCATCTTTCACTCCGCTCCAGCTTTCCCGCACCATTCATGGTTTTGGTACTGCTGGTGTGGAGGATGTATCCCTTTACAGGGGTCTTTTTGGACAAGCGCTCAAGCAACGACACTTACTTCATGCAAGTAACATCGTGGAGGTGCTCATTGGCCTGGCTGAAGCTGAGTACGTGCCTGAGGGCATCGAGGAGTTGCTGCAGGATGCGCCACGGCTTGTCAAATGGCTCGATGCAGCGGAATGCGTCCACGCGCTGCATGCCATGTCTCGGCTGCAGGTCGATTCGAAGGACTTCGTTCGTGAACTTATGAAGACCATTCGCAGTCGCGCGCAAGGATGGTGGCGGTTCAAGTTGCGGGACATGGCAGATCTTGTGGAGGCTATGGTGGCCTTGAAGCTGGATGACTCCCTTCTCTTGAATATTTGTGCTGGGCAACTCCCGCGCTTGCTCTCCAGAAGCGAGGATGCACCAACCTTTCTGAGATTATGGGGCGCGTTTGCAGACCTGCGTCCGCACATGAGAGAGAGAGTGCAGGAGCGCCTGCAGAAGAACTCGCGTTTGCGAGATGCAGTGGCTGCTTGTCTTTCTGCAGCTGCGCAGGGCATTCGTGCCGCGGATGATGCAGACCCCGAGCATGCGACGGCAGTGAGAGCTGCAGCGCAGCTGTTGTGTGCTTGTGCCTCTCTTGCTTGGGATCAAGCTCCAGTTCCAGACGTTGTCCAAATGATGCAAGAAATGTTACACCGCCAGGAGGTGTGTCAGCAAGGTCCATGCCAGCACTGGTGGGCACCGCTGGCATGGGCACTGGCGGAGTTACGTTACGAAGATCTTGCCAGACACGTTCTGCGACCATGCTTTCGAGACCCCCTGTTGCGGAATTTGGATGGAGCAAGTAAGCTGCATTTGGTTGCAGCTGTTGTTTCTCTTGGTTATTCTGAGGAGTTTGCAGGCGCCACAGTTTTGCTTGAGGAGCTCGCCTGCAACCATGAAGCAGACAGCGACATGGTGCTGAAGTCATTGGAAGTTGAATTGGCCATGGCTGGTGTGACCTCTGTGCCCCTCTCGCCTGAGCAAGAAATGAGGACAGGTGGTGCAGGTTCTCGGTATGACTTTGCTGATCAGATATCAAACACGTTGATCGAGCTGGGAGTAGCCCATGAAGCTAAAGTAGCGGTGAACGGCCACTATGTGCAAGTTGTGCTGCCTGGTCAAGTCGCGCTGCTTGTCCATTCTCCTCGCGAGTTAACCGTGTCTGGGAATCAGCTGGGATCAGCTCAGGCACGCACGAGACAACTAACCTCCTTGGGGTGGACCTGCAAAGAATTTCCGTTCACTCAAATCGAGGAAGCTCTGGCAGCTGGGAACTTGAAGGACTTGTTGGCGCCCCTGCTTTCGGCAAAATTGCTTGGGACATCTGCGTGACAGGCCATCTGCACAGCTGTCCAGTTGCTTCCCCTATGCTCTCCATGTGATTGGCGAAGTGTATCATCACTGTGGAACCACTGGAACCACAGCTCTGTACTTTGCATAGCTTGGCCGGGATCAACTCTGCAGGCTTGTAAGTCACATGAACGCCGCAGAAGCAAGCACAAGGACAGGTGTGGGCACCCACGGGGAGTGCTAAGAATGTGTTTAGTGACAAAGAGAGGACGAACGAATGCTCTTCCAAACATCTGTTTCCGAGTCATGCGCTGTTTTCTGACACGGCACGGTCGTGATTTCAGGGTGCTGTGTTGCGCAGAACTGTGCCTACCCTGAGCAATGGCTGATTTATCCTCCCAAGCATTTCCGGTGAACACCCCAAAGTTTTGGGGAAATGAGAAGGCCAAATCCTCAGTTATCAGGAGATGAGTGGGATTCTAGGGGGGAAAGCATAGTGGAGGAACTGGTGGCGAAGTGCATTGAGACGGGCTGGATCTCCTCGGAAGGCGCTGCTTCGGAGAGTTCTTTTTTCAAAAGACGATGTCCTTCATGAAGGTCCTGCTGTGAAGGATTTCGAAGGCAAGCTAGCTGCGAGATGTCAGCGGAGGCAGGATCGAGTTCTTCTCCCTAGGCCCCACAAGGGTCCGTGTTTCTACAGGCATGGCATTGCATGTGCCAACGGAACGGCCGCCTTGGACATAGCAGTGCAGGCGAGCGGCATTCCATGAATGATGCTGTGGCTGAGCTCATGGGATTGCCACTTGTGAAGGCTCTCGGGCTGGGGCAAGGTGATGAGGTGTGGACCTTACCCCATGCAAGTCACTTGGCAAAGCAAGCCAAGACCAAGTAATTTGTGTAGCAAGCAAGTGAGTGTCGCATCCAAAGTTCGAGCTCTCTCACGGTTGGTGCATGACCAGTTTGAGCGGCGTCTTGGGAAGTTATTGCTTCCGCATGATCTGCATGTGCAACATCACTTGCAGGCTCAACTTCGCCTAGTAGCTTCGTCATGCCGCGTCCAGCGTCCCTTACAAGATGATGTGTCTTGCGCATGGAAGAGGCCAGCCGCAGTGACAGCATTGAGCCATCTGGTCAGACTGCATCGAATGATGCTTGGCTTCTCAGCAGTTGTGTGTTCAGCTTTCTCGTCGTCAGGGTCTCAGCAGAAGTGTCCACGTGCACTTTGGTTGATGTCTTTGTGACAGGGTGGCAATCAACCACTCTCTTAGAATCACTAGAAACAGTGTAAACCCTTTGGCTCTTGGAAGTCTTGGAGAACTCTTTGCAATTGAGGCAAAGCCGGCTGTGGGACAGCTCGAGCCATCACGATCCGAAGCCCAGAGTCCAAGCGATGCTGCAAAGGGTGTAAGCAAAGCAGTGCCATCGCAACGAAGAGCAGCTCAACGGCAAAGTCTGGAAGAGGCGCGCACATATGTCATGGCGTATGACAAGGTGCAGAAAAAGTTGGTGGTGAACGAAACATCGGACAGATTCGTCCACGATATCTGGCAAGGATCTGATACAAAGCCAGGCGCCTGACTTCAGCTGGTGGGCATGAGCTGAATCCGACGGAGGTTTCTGCTCAACTGTATTCAGTTTCACTTTTTCTTTGACTGCACCTGCAAGTTCCTGCAAGTCATGCAGAGCAGGAAGGTCGCCGGACATGCCGCAGCGTATGTTACGATGTACATAGAACTAGCCCCTGCCCGGGAGCAGGTGACAAAGCTTTCTGCGACTAGGATAGAGGATAAGATGGATAAGGGTCAAGGAGAACACATAAGGCAAGGCTGCTTCTTCACGATGCCTGTCAATCGTGTTGCTTGCTTTGCTGCAAGATGCAGATGCCGTACACAGGTCATCCTGCCGACCTTCTGCATAATCTCCTGTATCAATCAGGACGCTCTATTTGATTGCTTTGCCTGATTGGTTTCCTGTTTGCAGGTTGTGTTGCCGAGTTGAGTGCGAGTGCTTGCCGGCAGCAGATGCAACTACCTCGCAGATTGTACGTGGCGGCTCCACGCCGGTTCTGATTGACTCAGCGCAGACCTCAGTCAAATGATGCAAAGGATTGGCCACGCGCATCCAACATTGCTGTGATCACAATTATGGGCAGCATGGCACTGCTTGCCACGGGGAGACGAGTGATTCATCCCTTCAAGGATGACACCTTCAACATGGATGTGTCCCAGATCGCAGCCAAACTCACACCGAAGACAAAGGCCATCAGATTTCATCAAGTCTGCCCTTTGGATGGTGAGAGCATGGATCAGCAACCAGCTTGGCAGGCTATCCTTTGTGTTCACACTTACCACTTTCCTGTCGACATGGCGCCGGCTCTCTGAGCTTACTTTGCGAAGTGCACAGCAGAGAAGTGCAGAGAATGTAGTCACGTAGTGGCAGAAATCAGATCATGATGAAGCGGGGCACCTTGAGGCCGGTCATGGCTCTTGCGAAGGCGCCGAGACGCCGACACCACATGCGGTGTTTTTGATTTGCTTAGAGAGCCTTATTTGTGGGTAGGGTCAACGTGTGCGAACTATGCTTTCTTCTCCGCTGGCTGACAACAAACTTGCTTTGACAAGGAGAGGGGCTTGAAGGTCATTGAAGACGCCGCCGAGATGATAGGCCAGTATGGCACTTAGAAATGCAGATGCTGTCGGTCTTAGCGCGAACTCTGCTTGCATTTTGCTTGCGCTTTGCTTGCGCTCTGCTTGCGCTGAGGACCTGTGCAGGAAAGCCTTGTGGATCATTCGGTGACATCAGCACCATGAGCTTCTACCCCAACAAACACATCACGACAGGTGGCCAGTCTGAATACGACGCGGCAAGGGCCCCCTGAAGTGTTCAGAGGAGATCTCGTATGAAGCCACTAGCGAGAAGCCAACCAAATCGCATGTCTCCATGTCTTCAGGCTGGCATGAGTTCCGAAGATCTCCAGATGTCTGTCGAAACTCCTGATGACCTCGAGTTTTATTGGAATTCAGCCATGTCTCACACGTGGTTTCCTACGGAGGTACCGAAAAAAATCGGAAGCTAAGGGCCTAGGAATCGGCACCCACTCAGAACAAGTGTTCGTTTTTGGCTTTGTGACGTTGAGCGTATGGAATTGAATGTGAAGCAGAGTCCTTTGTCTTCTGCAGGTGAAGGCGGAATGGTTCTTTGTGACGATCCTGAGCTGGCAGAGAGGTGGTCGCCTCAGTAGGATATGGATCCTGTGAAAATACGGCATGTGCGAGACATTGCGAACGGTGCACATAAGCCACGGGCATTGGAAGGTTCCTGATTCGATGTCAATACTTAGAGATATAATCTCCGGATGTCCATGTAGCCCTGGTTTATCAATGCCTTCTTGCATTTTTGTCTTGTTTCGAGTTCTTGACTTCCCCGCACCACAAACCTGGCGCCATTCCGATGTTGGTTTCAAGAAATGGGAGATGTTTCAGGCCCAAGCCACGGGACGTGCACGTCGGCAGTCCGAGAGCAGTCCGCACGGCCGCGTTGCAAACATGGAAAGCGACCACGGGTCGAGAAAGAAGACACCGATGCGCAGCTGACCCGAAGCATTCGCGACTGTTACGTCCCTGGTGGCTTTGCACTGGGCGCCGCTGCTTCCTGGTTTCTGGTGGTCGTCTTTGGGTCCTGCTCTCTCGCGGTTGCGGTTACGCCTCCTCCTGCCTATCTGCTCTCTGGCCTGCGTTGCTTTGCCCTTCCTTGTCCCTCGTCCCTTAGTTGTTGCTCCGTGTTCGTTTCCTCTCCCTTTTGCAGAGCTTGGGTTGCTGCTGAAGTGCCCCAAGCCCCTTTTTGGGATCGGTACCCTGGGTTTGCGCTTGCCAAGGCTTGCAGACTTTTGGGGTTGTTTTTGCTTGGCCAAGTGCAGGCGATCACGCGGGCACTTATTCTTCCCGGGTCTGTATATTGGAGTCTTCTTGTGCAGCCGTTGGTCCCAGTGGCGACGCTCTCGGTGGTTTCTTGGGTTTGTTTGTGTGGCCTGATGGCTACTCCTTGGGTTTCCAAGTGCAGGCGGTCACTCTGGCACTGTGTGGGTGTGATGTGTGGGTGTGTGTGGCGCTGTGTGTGGGTGTGTGTGTGGGTGAGTGAGTGAGTGAGTGCGTGAGTGAGCGTGTGAGTGAGTGGGTGAGTGAGTGTGTGAGCGAGTGAGTGTGTGTGGGTGGGGCGCGCCCGCCTGCGGGCAGGTCAGGTGGGGTTGGTCTGTCCTCTGTTGGGTGACCCGCATGATTGTGTGGGCGCGTTCGCGGGTTGGCTCGCCGGGTTCGTGGTTGGGGCAAAATGAGGCAAACGTCTCTTGGCTGCATCCAGCTAGCTCCTCCACTTGAACCCTCCGCGGAGGTGTGCCGTGACGTTTACGGAGAGCACCTGAGATTTGGGGGGGACGTGGTTGTATGGCAGCGAGTACCCTCGCGTGCCGGCCTTCCTTCCTTCCTTCCTTCCTTCCAGTGTCAGGGCTGTTGAGCAGAACTCGTTTGGGTTCCGGGACCCTTGAAGCCCTGTTACGCAGTCAAGCCTTGCAGTGTCAGCAGGTGGGAGTTGCCCAGCTGTCAAAAGCCAAGAGAGGGCACGAATCTACAAGCCAGACCGTGAGGAAAGGGGAAAAGATGGGAAAACAATACAGGATTCCAAGGCTGGTACTCAATTATGGGAGCGAGAGGAAAGAGAGGCAAGAAGGTCCTAGGACGCATGGGGAAGGAGACCAGGCGTCTCGGCCGGGGGCGAGGTGAATTCTTCACGCCTATGTGGATGGCGCCAAACCGAACCTGACGGCCAGGAAGCCTCCATCCAACAGTGCAGAGCCGTTTGGCTCCAAAACCTAATGTTTTGGCTGGAGCTTTGCGCAGGGACTGGCCCCGAGCCGAGGGGTCATGCAAAACGGCAGGCAGAGTCAAGGGACAAAGGAGGTGGGTTGTTCGTTTGCCCCAAGCACCTTCGGCCTGGGGCCTCGGCGGATATGCAAAATTGTGCCAGTCCGTCTCTGTCTTGTGCTGTGAAAAGTTCTTTTGATCAGCAAAGAACTAACAGAGTCGAGGATGAGTTGTTGCGTGGCAGCGTTGTGCAATTTCGTACATGCGTGGGTTCGTCTCGCTCTTAGCTTTTTGCAGCTGCACTCCAGGAGACGAACGAGCCTTTGTAGTGGACTCACAGTATATTATCTTTCTTTTCCCCTGCATCCAAACAGATTGCATCTAAGTGGCTTGTCCGCAATCACAATTGGGTAGCAACCCAGTCACACCGTCACACCGCATCACCCACGCGCCGCAAAAGAGGGCCTTTGGACTGGAGGTGCCGCAAGCTTCGAAATCTCTGCTTCGATCCCAAGAAGAGGCGTTTCGTCCACGAGGACATCGGCTGCCGATGTTCGTCGATCCCCAGATTCCCAAAGTCGTGTGACATCCGATCTGCATTCCATAAAATGCCAGGCGTTGCTGTGCTTCTCTTGACTTCTATACAAGTCTGCAGTGTTCTAGATTTTTCCAAGCAAGGAGCTGGGCTGGAACTACAGAATGACGAACTTGCAGGCGCCCTACCTCGTGCTTCTGAGAAGCTTCTCGCGATTCCTCACAAAACTACTCGGGTCACTTTGTTGTCGTCATTTTGTTGCGTTCGGTAGGCTGCCCTGGGGCTCGGGCAGCTGGAGTTCTTGGATGCCGCTGTGCTTCGGAAACGTGAGGCCAAGTGGCCAAGCATGTTGATCCTTGCTTTGCAATGAAGGAGAGAGATCAAGCCGGAAATGAGATGTTGGCAAACGTTTGCCTTAGCTCTGAAGTGGGTAAATGTCGGGGGCAGGTGTGCCAAAACATCAAACACACCTGGCACCCCAAGGGGCAAGGGACAACAAATTGGGGGTCGGCACGAAACCGAAGGAGGAGAAGGCCTTTCGCGCTGGGGGTGAGCACATCTTGTAAACGATCTGACTTTTGATGCCATGTTTTGTTCTTTTTCTGTCAATCCAGATGCTTCGGTTTCTCTGTTTCTGCTTCTCCGGTGGCCTGCTGCGAAGTGTGTAGCACTGCAATGGCTTGATGGTGGGAACAGGGTGGAAGGTCCACTGCAGCCTGGCTGCCAGAAGCTACTAGAACCATCAATGCTTCGTATGCAATTCCTGTTGTGGCACTCGTGGCAAGTTTCTGTCAGCGTCCAAATAGCGACAGCAGAATCGGGGGAGGGGACGTGTGCTTTGAGGGTCAGACCCACATGCCGGGCTCCGTGTGGGTGCTGTCTTCATGGTTGACACACTTTTATGAGTTCACATGGCCTGCAGATTGGACAGCTCTACAGCAATCTGCTGAAGGGCTGTCCAGGTCTGGTGCTTCCGCCCGTGTGCAGCTGAGCTGCTGCCTGGAAGTGTTCCCGAACGATCAACAGCTTCAAACAGCTTCAAGATGTTTTTGCAAGTGTTTGGCAACAGGATCTAAACAAGAACGAGAAGAACATATACTGGGTTTATGGCGCCAGGGACTCGGGAGCCGTGGACGATGCGAGCACAGAGCAGTGAAAACAGGGAACTAACAGAAAAGGCCGAAGTCACAGAAGTGAAACGTGGTACATCGTGAGCTCAGGTCGAGCTACAGCCCTCTGTTCCTGCTGATGCAGAAGAAGTCATGCGTCGGCTGGCAGACGCGAAGGTGGGCACGAGGCCCGGGTTTTACACGCTCGCAATCGCTCGCATATGGCCCGAAAGAGGTCCGAAACCGGTCCTCGAAGTCCCAAACCAGACCTGCCACACACAATCCACCACACGAAGCCCCACGATATGCGGGACAGGAACCTGTGCGTCGCCCTTGAACTTTTAGACATTGGACTCTTAGACCCGATTGTCCCCTTGCAGACCATTCTTCTGGCCGATGCATGAGCAGCCAGTGTTCCTCCAGATGGGCCTCTTCAAAGGCCACACGGAATCGAGAGAGCTGCCTCGCAGTCCCCTCTTTTGAAGCGCCGCATGCGCCCCCGTCAGGTCTCAGCTTCCCTGTGGCTGAGCGAATCGCAAGAAAAGGCTTCTACATACCAAGCGGCTCAGTCCCCAGATGGGCTTCAAGTGCAAAGCCGTAAATTGTGTTAAGTTGTAGAAAGATCCGGGTCACGCATTTCAGAGCAGCTTAAAGTTCTGGGTCAGCAGCCCCTGGGAACAATGCAGCCTTTGGGGGCAGGTTGCCACTGATGGTTCAATGGACCCTGTTTTCTTTGCTACAGAATGCATCGAAGTATGTCGAAGTGAACGAGCGGTGACATGCTCGGAGGCCTTGCGTTGACAAATGAGGAAGTCACGGAGGCGATGCGATGAAATGATTGCGGACTTTTTTGGACTTGAAGGCAGGCTTTCCAGCACCCTTCGTGCACCAAGGTCGCACGGCGCGTTCGAGCGGTGTGCTGCCCGGAGTGTGCCGTGCTCCCACCTGCTCCGTGCAATATCGCATGCTTTACGAGATGCAAGGTCATGGAAGGGCTGTCGGGCGACCGTCTGAGTACTTTGAATTGAAAGGTGCATCGCCAAGCGTAGCAGCCACATCTCGTCACATGCGCATCCAAGTAAGGCTGAAGCCGTTGGCGACTGCTGGCTTCGGCATGCAGCTGAAAAAAATGTCGCGAGCCTGCGGGAAGCCATTGTTGACGCTTCTTCTGGGCTTGAGGGGACTGTTGGAAGTGATCCACCTGGGCCCGGTTTGCTCCCATTTCCATGGTTTCTGCCAGAAACAAACAGAAGAAGCTCGTTGAGTGCAATTCAACGGAAAGCATTGAAGGAACCCGCCGCTCATCATTTCTTAAGCTTGCCACTTCCAATGTCACCCAGCCCTTCTCCAGGAAGCCCTTCTTCAGCGTGTGTGCATCGTTCAGCAAAGACGCTAGCAGTCTTTTTTATTCTGACTCCCCTGCTTATTGGGTTCGCACCGAGAGTACTCATAGCAAGTTCCCACTTTAATAGTCGTTCTTTGGTGATTAGCGATGATAAGGAACGTAAGCAGTCACGATCTCACAAAGTGCAATTTCGAAGGGGGTTAGTACTTGGGTGAACCATGGATCAAAAATCTTCTGTATCATGTTATGACCGCACTGAAAACGGACGATACCTATTCTGAGTATGTGAGAAAATGTGAGCGGGCCATGCACGAATGAGATTGTTGTCCTTGGAGTGTTATTGGGGCGAATAAGGTGGGCCTTGTCTAGCCTACTCCTACACCAAACAATGGACTTCTTTTGCTTGGTTGCAACGCCCGCCCCGATTCGGTTTTCAGACGAATACGTCGGGGTGCAGTAAAGATGGCAAAGCTGCAAAGGTGCGAAGAGTGGTGCGAAGAGTGTGCTCTGGATATTTCTTGGCTCCAGGACCGGACCTGTGACAAGTCGGCGTTGCTTCAGCTGCAGCCATCATTTGTGTTGCATTTCGCTTTTTGCCTTCAAATCTGCCTAATTTCATCTAAAAGCACAGGAGTTTTTCAGGAGTATGGAAAAGAGGGCACATAGGCAACGAAGGCAAAGAAGGCAGGACAATTTTGGGTGCCGTGAACATGGGCCACTTGGCTTCTTAGGAATAGTCTTTGGATACAAAAATCATTGGCCTTAAACAGGCTTTTTAGTGCCTTGTGCTTCTTTTGCTTTCCAGTGGTTTTTGGATGCAGTCGCCCATTGAGCCATGGTTGCGGTCGGCTACCCCAGTGGTGGCACGTCTTCCAAATGGAAGGTCGTGCATTCGAGGGTCATCATCCGCAAGGACGCTAGCACGACGGCCGCCATCTTGGGCTTTCAAGCCCAGGGCAAGATCCTAGAAGGTGTAGTCCAGGAGGTTAGCGGTCAGCCATGGTTGAGAGTTCAGCATTCTGGCATTGATGGCAAAGAATGCGATGGGTACATGCTCATCAATGGGGCTTCTGTTGGTCTTGGACAGCTACTGGAGAGGGTGAAGGACCCAGTGGCGCGGCCCCAAGCCCAAGCGAGGGTAAAAGCACAGGATCCGGTGCCAAAAGCCAAGACCCGTGCAAAGCCAAATCTGGGAGACTTGAGCAAATGGATTCGTCATGCCAACGTGCAAGCCTCGCGGTTCCAAGTAGTCGCCAACGTGGTCATGGTTCGAAATATGCCCTCAACACAGGCAGATGCCGTTGGGGTTGTGAAGAAAGGAGAGATTCTGGACGGCCAGCCGCGCGAAGGGTGGCTTCTGGTAGACGAGAAAGGCCCGGAGGCACTGGAGAGGGGTGAAGGACGCTGGATACTTCTTGATGGCAAAGAGCTGGGTCTCGGTCAGCTTCTGCGCCCTCAAATTCCGGCACCAGTTGTCAGCAAATCGTTTGCGACCTCCATACAGCTGACTTTTGATATGGACATGAGCAAGTACGAACTCGAAGTTGAGTGTGAGATCGGCGAATCCTTTCGGACTCCATGCTGTGAAGGCCTCCAGAAATGTGTGACCTTGGGACCTTGGGGGTAGTCACTGGTAGTCTCCGGGTAGTCTCCTGCACAGGAAAGTCAATGCTTGTCCATGGATTGCATCCTGGCAGCGACGTGCCCATCTTAAGCGCCATGCACGGGCACCGTTTCACTTTTGTCGTTGTTCCGGGAGTTCGCAAAATGGGAGGTACGCCTTAGATTTGTCAGCCAGGGCAAGGAGGCTCCGCGCTGCCCATCCTGTCTGAGAATGTCACGAATAGGGTGTTTTTGGCAGATCTTCTGCGTAGATCTGCGCAGGATGAAACCGGCGAGTGGGAGGTCGCGGAGACGACCGATGTTGCCGAATGGGAGGAGACACCGGGACACACCGTGTGTCTCTTCTCTCTTGCTCGGTGTGCTCGGTGTGCTTGGCATTTTTTGTATGGTCGAGGAAGCGGATGGTCCCTGCATAGACCTTTTGGGTTGCTCGCTTGCAAATGCTCAACTTGCAGAGCGCCTTGCAGAGTGGTCCGCGTTGTTTTGTCACGTTTTGCCACCCTCTGTTCCTGACCTTGACCATGCTGAGGTAACAAGCGGGGCAGCTGTCAGCAGTGTTCATGCAAGTGCTTTGCAAGACGGGCCTGCTTTGCTGTCAGTGTACTAGGCTAGACCCGGTTGCCATGCTTGAGGTTTTCTGCAAGTACTGAGTTGCCGGTTCATGATGTTGCTGAAAGAGTATGGAGCTGTGGTCTATCGTAGAGATTCACAGCGAAACCAAACCTCGTTTGTCGATGACTTGTTGAAGTCGGTTTCGGATGCAAGGTGGGAAAGTGCAAGACGGAGGGCCTTTCTGGTGATGCTTCCTTAAGACTTTTGAACGCTGTAAGGTGAATTCGGCAGTAAAGACCACGGCAGAATGAGCAGAGGAACGACCGACACTCCCCATCTCACGCCACGACCTGGGCACGTCTGAAGGTGATCCTTCTGTTGGTGAACACATCCTCAACACAGGGAGCTGCTTGAAAGGATCCCCGCTCGAATCGTTTCTACTGCATCTCAGCCCACTATAACTATAAGCCAGTGGCAGTTGTGCAGCAACGTCTGCTTGCATGACGCGGGAAATGTTTGCAGTGGCCAGGCACTGGAAGAGCATGTGGTGTCGTTGAACATGGTCGTGCCTGCAGATTACCATCCTGAGAGTGGCTTTGTGGCTATGAGGCTTAGCAATGCCTAGAAATGCCCAGTTGTTTTAGCCAGGATGTGGGGGATTCCCGCCCAGCACTAAGTGGCCTGCAGCCTCAGAGATGCACGAACACGTGAAAGGATCTTTGTCTGCAGGCTGTGGCCGGTGTGGCTGCAATGTGGCTGCTCATGTGATTTGGCCCTCCGCTCATATTCGCAGATTCAGCAGCTTTCGGACAATGTAGTGGCCATGCTCATGCTGCCTGCGACGGGGCAGCACCAGGACAGAGAAGGCGCCACCGAGCAGCCCACCGAAAAGCAACGGGGAGAATGTCGCGCTGAAGCCGGCTGCCAAGTTATGTGTTAGGGCGGCGTCAGGCTGCAGGCTGCCTGCATGGCAGATGAATGCAGATGACACAATGACTCGCAACATCTCGCAACTGCTTTCAGCACTCAGCAACTGCTTTGGAGAGCGAGATGCGTTTAGATCTGAAGGCAGAAGCAGCCTATGCAGCCTGTGGTGCCAAAGCCTGTGGAGTCGCCCTTCCTGGACAAGGCATGGTGCCAATGTCTCGGACAATGTCTCGCAATGCTTCGATGTGTTGTGATCTCTTCAAGAAGGGAAGAAAGGTACCTCTCATTTTCTCTGCTTTCAAAGCCAGGCAATTTCCTTGCCAAAGGACAGCCTTGGGCACTTGGGCACTTGGGCAGGCTTTGGGCGAGGTCTTGCCCCATCTTGAGCGGAATGCAGGAGACCATGCTGCGCCGATGGCGGCCCTTGGACATGAAGCGTTCCGAGGAGCTGAGTGTGTCAATGTGTGTCATGGTGCCACGTGGAGGCTTCTCCCAGAGTTGGTGTCGTTCAGGCGTGGCCTCGGCTCCCCAAAGACTTCTCTGAGGTGTGCAGCAGCCTGCAACATGTTTCCTGTGATTTTATTCTTTTCGTTGCGTTCGCTCTGTGTTTGCGGATGTTTGCGGTAGGTGGTGGTGTGGAGCGATTTGCACTCCGACATGGGCGCATGTCTTGGCTTTCCTGTTGCAAAGCAGCTGGCAGCTCTAGACCTCGACGACGCATCTGCAGTCACAGAGACTCTAAGGAAAGAACATGACTCATCTCAAGCAGCTCCCCATCTGCCAGGACTGAAGTTGAGGGAAACCCCTTTCGTCTGTAGGCTGGTAACGGACTACTGCAGCTCGGCCGAACATGCTAGAACAACATGTCCCGAAATGGAGGTACAGCCAACATGGCTTCCGCCCCTCACCTACTCTACTCCGGAGGGCGGTGCGCAAAAACAAGAATACGAACAACAAGACTGGATACAGTTGGGCTGCGAAGAGAACTGAAGCTTGTCTGTCCATGGGCGATCAAGGTGCCACATGGGGGTTGGGTAAACAGATGAAAACAGGATCAGCACAGCCTCCGAGTCCCGATCTGAAAAGGACTTGAGGGCTCTCGTCGGAGCGGTAACATCGGGTGCCGCGAGACATCGCGAGACCCCAAAATGCAACTGGCTGGCGGCTCAACTCCAACTACTCAGTGGGATCGATGATCGACGCAGTGGCGTTCATCGTCTTGATGTGGTCGGATTGGCGTGAATGCCGCCTTCGCTAAATTTGCGGGCAGTGTCAAGGTGGGAATGCTTCAGGTCAGCGTGTCCGGCTGCCGCCGCGACGGGGTTGACCGCAGTGGCACGGCAGTGTCGCATCCCGAGTCCAACACTACAGGGGATGGCCGGTGCGAGTTGCTGTGCGACTGCAGGAGGCGCAATGCCGTGGAACACCCTGTCAACACCCCTAATAAAGAAGTGTCAAAGAACTCCCAAGAGGTAAAGCGATCGTCCATTCGAGTCAGTCAGACGTCGCAAGGTTGTGACGTTTTGCATGAGCTGCAGATTGGCAGGATACGGTTCTTCTACTTGCAGGAGACATCGCATCAAGCTTGGAGGCTAGAGCTCGCGGGTGATGTTTCTCGGGCAAGCTCATGTTTCTGGGAAGATCATTACCGGAAGCCCGGGCGCTGAAGTCACCATTTGGCAATGCTTACAACACTTACGTACTCGGGAACGTGGCCGGTTGCCATTCGGCAGTGCCTCCCCGCACTGCGCGAAGCTGGAATGTTTAGGGCCTACGCTCAAAGGACAACACGTCTATACAGTCTATAGTCACGGCTTCCAGATGTAAACACTTCCAAGATCAGACGGCTGACCTTCGGTCTTCTCCGCAAAGGGCCCTACCACGAGTCCCTGATTCCTCGCACCATATTTGCTCCTACCCTCATGCTGCGCTAAGGAGTCTAGGATGTAGTATGATGTAGTACTTGCAAGGGTGCTGTATGGCAACTAGCTACAGTGAAGCTGCAGAAGGTCATCGAGACATCATTTCGCCTTCTTCAGGCTTTGTTGGGCATGTCATGACATGTCACGGCATGTCTTGTGCCGGGACGCATTGTCTTCGGAGGCCAAGTTTGGCGCAATATTTTACGTTCCCGGCAACCATGAGCGCGATGCTTGGGGATCGGCTTTCTGTTGTCAGCAGTTTACGCTGCCGTGCATGGTAATCGGAGTCTTCAGACAGTTCAGGCTATGGGTGACCAAGAAGGATGGCCTGTCATCTGTGCACAAGTTCCTTGCGATCTTAGAGGTTGGAACGTTTTAAGTTTTGCAAAGGCAACGATGTGAGAAGCAACTGCGATCCCGATGCCAGATCTGCGAAGAACTTGGCGTGCACACCAGGCTGGGGCAAAGTTGCGTTCAGACCCACGATGTCTGAGCATGTTGCACCAATTCAACGAACTTAATAGTTGCAAACACCATGCTTGACAGATCAATCTGCCAGGCCTGCTTTTATCAGTTCTGATTGTGCAGTTTGCCCGTTGTTCTCGTGGTACAAGGACAGCAGTTCAAGAGCTGCTACAGTTTTGAGTTATCGAGGTTGCTTTGATAAGAGCTGTGGCCGCGGAGCCGTAAACATTCCAACTGTAGCTCCCAGCGTGGGCATGATGTCCCTTATTGCAAACCTTTCCTTTATGGGCTAGCGGCACCAAATCTGCTTCAGCAGAGTCTATGGAGCCATACCATCCATACCTGTACATGGCGCAACACGGCCAGCTGCCGCAAGTGATACTTGTGCGCGACTTGATTTGTTAGATAGCTTTTGCCAAGCACTTTTAGGACAACTTGGTCGATGGGTGCAGCTCCGAGCACTCTGCGGTCGATACTTCGTGAGTTGCTGTAAGTGGTATTCAGCATGCGAGGTTTTCCCGCAACTTGGCAGACATACCTTTCGACATGCAGACGCAGTGGCCATGGGACATAACTGGACGTCTGCTCCTGAGCAGAGAGCGTGGCAGATGTTCAGCGAGGAATTAGCCGCTTTTTCGACATGACAAAGTCGGTTGCTCACGAGCTTTGTGTTCGTATAAGTTCGTTCGAATGCACAGAATGTTTGTTCGCAGACTTTATGGCAGTGGTACGGCAAAGGAGGATCAGAAGACGTGCCCCCCCCGAGATGCTGGACGAAAACTGCATGCGTCGAGCCGCGAACGCTCGCTGACCTCACTCATGGCTGGCGTGCACCACAGCGTGCAACTGGCAAAAGAAATGGAAGGCGATCCATGCACTCCGAACTCCGACAAAATCGAACGAGAAGTTGTTCCATCAACAACCGTTCGGACTTGCATAGAACTATTGGAAACACCATGAAGCACCGCAAAACGTTGCCCTGGATTCCAGAGGCCATTTGAGTGTGGGTTATGCTGTGACTGGTTTTGCTGTCGTCGCTGAAGTGGTGCAAAGCGTCGCTGTTTCAGGGGGTGACACCAACGATGCCCAACAGCCCGAGATAGCTGACTTTTTTCTTTCGCTCAGGCCTCAAGCTTTCAGCTTTGGTGTTCTTTGAGTAACTCCGCGTGGTTTAGCAAGATGCCCTTCAGGTTGAACGAGAGCCGCATCGCTGCAGCCCCCCAAAAGGTTGGCTGAAGAGTTCAGCAATTTCAGTATGTGTTGCAAGGAACATTCCGAAGAAACATTCGTACCGCTTGCTTGCGACATCTTGCCGCCTGGCCGCCACAATTGGCTGTTGCAAATGGTTGGAAGGCTTTGACAGCTCTGCAGAGAGCGGAAGCCAATGCAGAGGAGGCACGGCTAGTGCGCGCCCTCAGCGTCGGCAGTTTCACAAATTGCACGGCCTTCACAGTTATGCAAAGCAGGCCATGTGTCCATGCATGTCTCTAGGGGTGCGTAATTTGTTTCCTAGGGTCGCAAGGGTTGCAGCCGCATGCGTTTAAGTAAGCTTGGAGAGAGGGGATGTGCACGAAAAGGTTCTCTGGATATTCATCTGTGACAGTGCTGAGGCGCAAGTGGATGGCAAAGTCTTGCCGCCTTTGCCAAAGACAGAGGCTGTCTATTCAACGCTGCAACGCGCTAGACGAACTGTGACGAACTCACTCGGAATGATCTTTCCAAACCTGTAGGACGACGAGGTCTTCGTTGTGACGATGAGCCATTTTGTACCGCGTCAGGCATGTGCCTCTCCTGCGTCCAGTACTCCTCAGACCGTGCTTGCTCTGATGCAGGAATGTTATCCTGGCCCGCGACGACTTTGTGCAATGCTTAAAGTCAGGAAGCAAGTCTACCATTTGGAACAAGTGGAAACACATGGAAACACACAGGCGGAGTCATGGGATGTCGAGAAATCGAGAAGCAGGCAACGCAATTCTCTGAATAAGTTCATGCGCGCCTGTCTAATGCGCCTCGTAGCATTTGTCCAGGCTCGGTCTTGTGGCTCGCGCTGCCACGTTTTTGGGCACTCGCACATTTCTTGCGACCGGCAGGCAGGACATGATAGTTGAGATGACTCAAAAGTTGCATATTCATCAAGCCGGACAGGTTGAGGGAATTCGCTACGTGCAGCATCCTCTGGGCCGGGTGCTCAACATCCATACATCCCATCGCGTGGGTAGCTAGGTTAGTTGAAACATTTCTTGCTTCTTAGTAATAGTTGTTTTTTTGTTCTTATGGAGGCCTGAAGGCTCTAAAGGTTCAACTAAGTAAAAGTTCTGCGAAAACCGAAAGGTTACAAGTAAGCAAAGCAAAAGATGCACTTAAGCGTGCTTCCCATCGTGTGTGTGGTCGTGATTACATGCGAGAGAGGTGCCTCTCACGCACGCAAGGCTATCCCAGTGATTACCACCGACAGAGCGAACCAAAAACCGAACGGCGCTCAGCAACTTCATCCTTCTCATGCAGCGGGGTCCGTGCTCGAGACCGGACTGCCTGCCATTCAGGAAGTTGACTGACATTACATGGCATCATTGCAATCGCAGGTGTGGGGCAGCTGCAAGTCTCGGGAACAAGCACCAGCCTTGACAAAGGACATTGACGTTGCCAACCGTTACGACAGTTGCAGCCAAATGGCTGTCCACACTGGGTGAATGATTGCCAAACGTGATGTGCAGGAGCCAGAATCGAAGTTGGCCAACGAAGTTGCGAAGGTTGGGTATCCGGCGCTGAGCCAGTTCCGTGTCACGTGTGACATCTTGGCGTCAGGCCATTCTCAACGACATTCGAGCTTGCACAGATAAGTGCCTCGAGCGACCACCTGGGCGCTGGAATCAGGAGGAGTCAGTTGGTCAACAGTCTGAGAGCAAAGATTTCAACGCAGCACATTGCGTCGCTCACGTTTCGCCTTCACTCAAGGATGGTGAGAAGTACAGTAGCAGCAACGTCTTTGACCGAAAGGCCCGATGAGGGATAACACTTCGGCAATACGGCTGTTGCAGTTGAAATACATGAAGCATGGATAGCTCCACAATGTGACACGGCACGCGAGGGTGCAAGCCTAGCCCTGTGTCAACGTACCTCGACTCCACAGACAATGAAATACAGTCGGCAGGAAGAGCTGAAACTTCGTGAAAGTATGGGCTATGACGCAAAGAAGATGGCGGACAGGGTGTTTGAGAGGGACAATCTGCGTACCTGCACATATCAGCTGTGCGTGTGCTTGGCATATTCGTTATCGTGGTGTGCTGCATCGGATCAAGCCCGACTCTGCGATCGCAACGGCCTTCTCGTCAGCCCATCCAAGAGTTTACTGATGGCTAATGCAGCCGAACTGTGGCCTGAGATCCGATGGGGAGCTGCTCCAGAGAAAGATACCGCCAACTCGCAGACGTCCACCGAAGCAAGCGAGTCTCAAGCAGGCTGAGTTTGTTGCTTGTCTGGTACTCAAAGAGCAACCTTAGACGTGGAGCTTCGTCAGGCCGATCGCCAGAGGACGGGCAGGGCAACTGCAAGATGCGTGTAAGACTTGGGATTGTGTCACTGCCGCATACTGCCGCTGAAGCACCGATTTTAGCGTTTTCGCTGCAACGCATTGTGTGCGCTTGAGACATGCACTGGAAGCCCTGCAAAACACTTCCAAAGATGAGTGGTTGTCGTGGTTTCTTGCATGTAGTGACGAGGATCAGGGCTTTTTAGGCGGCTTCTCAGGGCCTCTCACGTCCTGACTCATGTCACAGGCATTGAAACCACCACGCGGGGCGCAATACATGTGGAGGACTCCACCAGATCAGATTACGAGCTGTGCAAGGAGGTCAAAGAGGTCGGACAGTTGCATCATCACAGCGCATCGTGTTAAGATGTGTTAAGCTCCTTCGCAGTTTTCGGGCGTCTGGAGCAGGTGCAACGGCTTCATGGATGCAGCGTCGAGCTGCAGCGCATCATAGCAGATAAGCTGGACACGATCCTTGCCACGCTGGCGCAGCGAAAGGCTCGAGCCCGATCCGTGAACCGCACAGTGAGTGTGTTGGTGTTGGTATGTGTTGGTGGACTTCGTGTCCTGTCAAGGTGAACCGACCCGATGCCAGTACTGAGTGAGCTCTTCGTTTCCTACTGCAGAATCCTGTTCCCGGTGTGGTTTCGCCGTTCCCTGATGGTTGCCAATGACAGCATCCAACAAAGAGGTTAAAAAAGACAAGAGGAGAGATGAGCAGGTTTGGGTCACTTGAGGTCGCATCATCGAGCAGTGTGGCCTTTGTTTGTCTCTTAAGCCTTTGTCGGAACAGTCATGATCCGAATCGCTGTTGGGACTGTTGGGACTGTTGGGAGGAATTGTGGAGTGCACCGCCGCCGGTCCGGGAGGTAGAGGTGCAGGCTGGATTTCAATATGTTTGAGATATGTTTGAGTAATGTTCGAATAATGTGTATGAAGTCGAGCGATCAAAGGCGTGCTCTTGACTTAACGATGGCTGCGCTTGCCAGGTAACCCACTTCCAAGACGGAGACCAAAGCCTTACCCTGCGTCTTCCAAACAACTTGCTACAAGCTGAGGAGGAAGAAAGCGCACACATGAAAGCATTGCGCGTCGTGGCGTGTCTCCTAGCTGCAGATCCATGCAGCATGTCCAGGCTAGTGCGGCAGCTCAAGGCCCTGAGATTTTGAGATATGAGATGTGAGTCATAGTCATATGTCAAAATACCTGAAGCACATTTGTGGCCACTCAGCGAGCTTCATGTCTTGCAGGAACGCATTGTGGAGGAGAGCTTGTTGTGGTCTGACCTGGTCTTTATGGCGTGCAAGCAGCGTGCAAGCAGTCAGCAATGCAGGAAGTCGGCCGTGGGAATGCATCCAAGATCGCGCTGTCCACTAGTGGCGAGAACGCTTGGAGCTTACAGTCCGATTCACAGAATATACAGAGGCATGGAATGTGAATCTAACCCGCGCCTTCACCATCCACGATCGGACAAGGCACTCAACGATGATGTCGCTCTCAGCTCCCTGGAAGCAGAGTTATCAGGCCTGTTGTGCTTTGTCATCTTCAGCGAGGCAAAATGAGAGTGAATTGTGAGCAGGTGGGCTGATCGCGATGGGCATCGACATGTCCAAGGGTAAGACCGTCACCGTCAAGTTGGGCTCCAAGCAAGCTTACAGAATGCTGCCGCCATTCTTTTACAGTGCAGCTGTCATGGGCCAGATGTTGTGTGGCCTTCCAGAAGCACCGCAGACAGGCAGACAGGTAGATGGGAGGCATCGTGTGCTGCTGACAAGGCTTGTCCACGCAGCATCTGACTCGCGACAGAGTCTCCAGCTCAGGTAGAGACATGATGGCGTGACAGTCTTTTGGCGACACTAGCCTTGCATCACGCATCCTGAGGCATGACCCTTTCCGTTCTGGACACTGCGTCGATGCTTGATATCCGAAAAGAAGCGATGAGAAGGTCGGAACAAGTTCGAGCTCTCGACTTTGTCGACATTCGATCCAGAAGTTTTACAAGCCTTGGCTCACGATTTAGAGTTCAATGCAGCTAAACTTTGGCAGCCGTTTCTGTTTCAGGATCTATTGTGGCAAACACACCGACGCGGGGTGACAGCTAGTTACGGTGTTTTCTCTTACACGCAGCATTAACGCAGGTTCTTTTTCGTGGACTCTTTTGTCAGCTGTGGCAGGCTCGGAGAGACGAGCATCAGCAACTGCAAGCTGGTCAAGAGCTCCTTGGTCAGCACCGGGAGCGCTAGAACTTCAGTTCAGCCTGAGTCGGAAAGAGTGAAAGTGCTTGGGATTGAGTTTGCAACGCTCTCATGAGGTGCGCAAGGGGGAAGCGCTCCCCCCTTCTCCCCTTCTCCCGCTACAGTACCATGCAGACTGCCGCTCCTAACTGCCGCTCCTCCATGCTGCTGGCGGTGCTTCTCTACTTTATCTTTCTGCTCTTCATGCTCTTCCTCTGTTACCGTTTTGCACAGCTTCTGCGTCAACATTTTTTGGTTTGTTTCATGGTTGAGGTCAACTTGATGTTCTGTTTTTTCAAGATGCTTCTTCAGCCTTGCACAGGGGTCCTGGCTTGAGCAGGTGTCGGGGTGCTCTCGTCTACCTGTCAAGTATGTTATCCTCTTGCGTCTTGCTGCATGTCCTTCATTGTTCCCTTCTGCTTAAACTAGCCTTCCAACTTATCATCAATTTGTCGCTGCTCCAAGCTTCGGCTGAGCGACGGACTAAGGAAGCGGAGGCGGTTTCGTCAGCTTTGCTGACAGCGCGAAGCTGGATGGCCGAAAGGAAATCTTGTTGCGCAGCTTTCAATGAGAGAGGGGAGAGTAGACGAGACTAAACGAGAACAAACGTGCGCACTCCGTACTTTGAGTCGTACTTAAGTCACTTGAAGCGCAAGCCCATGAGATTTCAGGTTCCTTGGGTGCAATTTGCCATCTCCAAGCCCAAGCTCTGGCAAAGAGGAAAAAAAGGAAAAGAAGGACAAGGAGCGTCTTCTGAGCTGAACAAAGTCCCTTCTTCGTGTCACTGCGCAGAGCAAACTTAAGACAACTTATGTTGCGGTAGTGCAGGAGCTCAGCTTGCAGCAGCTGCTTGTGCTCTTGGAGGAGATTTGTGGCTGCAAAGTCGTTGCGCAGACCCAGAAATGAGTAAGTGCAGGCATTTGGGCCTTCATGTTGAGTTCATGTCCCCAAGAAAACCCACCTTCCTGCTTTTGCTTGAGGGCAGAACGTTCTGTCATCGTTACCGGTTTGCTTGTAGCTTCACCTCAGGTTTTTTGCCAGAAGGGTCAGAAAGGGCGTGCCGACTGTGAGGAATGTGATAAATACTTAAATAATGCAATTGTAGGTCTGTGTGTTATATTCTGCCAGAAAACAATCCTTGCCGGCAGAACGTCAGCGATGCTGTTGTGCACCTATGCGTTCGATGCTGAACTGCAAAAGTTATGTGTACGGCTTGCCACAAGCATGCGAGGTATGGCACAGTGTGTGGGTTCATAGGCAGGAAGTTTGCGTAAACTTGCAGCAGGACATCCACGACGAAGTTGAGAAAGAGCCGTTCCAGAAAAACGTTCTGAGGACCGCCTGCACAACTCAAAGCAAATTCACATGGCTATTTACATGCTTGAGAAATGTGGCATTATTGTGGCTTGAGGATGAAGTCGGAGTTCCACTCTGACATGGGCAAGGTGGGCTTCGTGGACTTTTTCTTGGAGACACACTGCTTTGCAAGAAGCCCAAAAGATTTGGACAGGCAAGGGCGTTGCTTGGGCCAGTCTTCGCTGCTGCCTGCACGGGCCTCTGAAGTTAAGTTGCCAAATTGTGGCTGGAGTTCGGTTACAACTTTCGAATAGAATCATTTCGAATCCGAAAGTGTTGCTGAGCTTTTTCCCACGGATTAAAATCGATTTCAAACCGCTCCATCTTCAGTTCCTTGGTGCTGGTACGGATTAACATCGATAAAAATCCGTTTTGGGGCGTCATGCAATGTTTGGCTTTAAATCGAACTTAATCCGATTTCAAAACTCCATTCCTTGTCCCATGTTTGGGCGTCATGCGATGCACATGGACCTTTGAAGATTTCTTTCTTCCTGTTGGTCTGGGTTTGGGTGCCGAACGTAGGCTTGGTCTGAAGAAGCCCAAGACTTGACGCCTCTCTCAGGCACTGTCTTGCATTCATCCGGCCGGCGGACGGTTAAGGTGAAGGTTACGGGGCCCTTGGGAGGTTTAAGGGTCCCCCAAGCGTTACAGAAACCCCCCAACCCTGCTCCGCGCATGACATGGCATGAAAATTAATGTGGGTATGGCTGGAATTCTCTTGTAACTTCGGATTGATGTGCCAACCAAACCACCCCTGCACCCCCTGACCCCCTGCACCTCGTCCGTGACCACCCTTGCTTTACCCCCCGGGCCCTGCACCAAGGCCTCCAGGACCAGAATCGGCTTATAATCGATTTTAATCCGATTTTCGGGCGGAGCAGGTGACGGATTAAAATCAACTTCAAGCCTTGCAGAAGAGGGTCGCAACAGGCGGCTTAAAATTGATCTTAAGCCCCGCAAGCTTCGAGGCGGATTGAGATCGATTTTACACCGGCTGGTAAGTGCCGACGGACGAACCAGCATCGATGTTAAGTCGGTTCTGCCGCCGGCACAATGACCGGCGGCTTAAAATTAATTCCAATCCAGCCCATGCACATGATTAGTTTGGGCTGGCTGAAAATCGATTCAAGCCGCCAGGCTAGAACGGATTGAAATCCGTTTCAATCTGTTGAGTTGGTCGTCGGTTACGAGTAAATCTATGGGATTAATCGTGATTTTAATCGAAAGTTAAAATCGAATTCCAGCCATATTCATGCATGCTATGAAGCTGTTTCGTGTTCAGCTCGTGTTGAGCAACCTGTTGTCACCGGTTGTCAGATGCGCCATGGGTTTTCAGGGTTTTTCTTTGATTCTTGCGAAGGCGCAGAGCCATTGAGAAAGCAAGGACTCCCTGTAAGCGGTGCCCTCAGTGACCTCTTAGACGCCCCTTGCGGATATGAGTGTGCGCCCGCATGACCCATCGCATGTGCTCTGCACCCAGGCAAGAAAGGCTTTGACAACATGTTCTCCCAAGTGTGGGAAAACCGCAGCCAGCAGAGTCCTTGGTGTCGCATGAGCCCTGCAGCTGCATGAGCCAAGCGCGCCTTGCCGCTGTCATTTGGCCGTCGTGCCCAGGCCTGGGATCCTGCAGGCGACCGTGGAAATTGAAGGCCGACACCGCCGACACCGCCGACACATGCCCCCCAAACAGCCGCGACGAGATACTGCCCAACGTATGTTTATGCCGTTTCCCATGGTCACGGTCACGAACAAAACTTACATGGGACATCATGGGACTTATGGACTTAGTCGACACCCAAGCACTAGCGGATGTGACATGGTGTGGCCCACACGAAAGCCAGGCCTGCTTGGGTTGAGACCGGGGCAATGGTCATCCTGGCGCTTGTAAGTTTATTTTTTTTTTGGTGGGGGGGGGGGGGTTTAAGGCGTGCTTAGTTGCCCTTTGTGCCCACTTAGTGCTTAAATGTTGGCGCTGCGGTGCTGAGCTGTGGGTCGGTAAATGCATCAGTGCTACGACTGTTTGTCATGACATTTGTCATGACAGGTTTGGTATTGAGACGAAGTGAGCGACTTCATTACTGAGATTTTGCCTGAGGATGGTGACTGGCTTATATAGAGCCTGCGTGCCACATTTCCAACGTAACGGTTCAAAGTTGCCGCTGCTGCAAAGCTGAATTTTCCATCGCAGGTCTTAATTCATAACGCCAGCATGCCGCCTGCCAGCTGGTCGTATGGACCAGTCTTATGCGCAGACGGCAGAGTGGGCTCCTTGTACACCAGGTCTTTTGCTAGTACCCTCGTAGAGCTGTAGGACCATTGCAGGAACTCCACACTGTTGAGACTCGCATCTCTTCGGGCGGCTTCAGAGAAGCCACGCCCACATCGACTTCGAGGTTCGATGCGCTTGCAGCATGCTCTGGTTAGAGTATGCTTGGCGTGAAAAAGTCTGCACCTGACTGGTGAGCAAGTCGAAGGCTGCAGGTTCTGTGGATTGTCACAGATTCTGTTTCAGGTGCTGAAATTGATCTGCTCATCATGGCTTGGATGGCCCCAGACGAAGCATAAGAGCATTTGTGGTCAGAAGAGGGGAGGCATGGACGAGTTCTGTACACACTTTGCTCAGCATGCAGCTGCAAACAGAAAGGAACAGTGGCAACATGTGGCAACCACCGCAGACAAAGAGGGGCAGAAAGCCATCCGACGCTGTAGAGAGAGCAATCTCGAAGAGAGCTCCGTGACATGCTCCTTTGGTTGGAAGACCACAGCCGAAGGAGCGCCGCCTTGAGCCGTTGGAGACACCTTGCTGTTTAGATGTTTCGTACTTTTTGGACGGTCCAAAGCCGTGCGACCGTATAGACGAAGTGGCTTGGCAGGCGGTCGTGATGACGGGACAAGTCAGGATTTCTCCGGTAGCACTTGCCCTTAGCACACCAGTAGAACGCCATGCTTTGGCCTCATCGAGATGTCATGGGCAATATGTTAAGTTCTGAAGATACTGAGGCAACTACCCATCCCGTTGAGGATGGAGAGGAGGAGGCTTGAAGCTGAACAATGTCATCCCTGATAGCTGTCACTTTTCGTGTTCATTTCCCTGAGGAATCGGACGACGAAGATGAGGACTGTTGCGACAAGTTGTTTTTGCTACCACAGACCCGAGCCACTTACTTGGCCAAAGCGGTTTTTCGTTTCGGTGAGCTAACAATGTCAGGCCGAGAAAGAAAGTGCAAGACGCAGGCCGAGATACTGAGAAGCATTGTCATCCGGGGAGAGTGGCAATGTGGCAATGAGTTCTGTCCCAGTCTGTGAGGCAAGTCATCGTGACGAGCCAGCCCATTGCTTGGACATGGTATGGAAACATGAAGTGCCGATTCTCACTGTCGCTTGTGCTCCAGAAGATGGTGGATGAATCGGTTCGTCCTAGCATGGTTGAGGATGTGGGGCTTTCATGGCGTTCTCTCAAAGTGATGAAAAGATCCCTTCTTAAACTTATTGTTTGCAGATCAGCTGGAGTTTCAACTTGATGAAATTTTGGTATGATTTGACCCCAAAACGTGCGATTCAAAGGATTTCGGCTGGTGACCACGAGCATCGGTTTATTGGAAGACAACCATGAAAACAACACTGGTTCGGAAGCATCAGTTTGGGTCCGCTCGAAGTTCTCCCACATCAGCGGGGAGGCAGCTTCTGCCTCTTCGCTCAAGCTTTAAGTGATGTGGCGAAAGGCCCCTTTGAGTGCAAAGATGCCTTTTCCGGCTCCAGAAGTGCCCAATGCAGGGATCCTTGACAGGGTTGTGGCCTGAGCCCTGCAGTGCAGATAGCAACCGTTAGTAACCGTGTACGTGTCGGCAGGGCCCTGAGAAGCGTGTATAGAGCTCCGAAGCGGTGGGCGGCAAATTCTGGGCTTACCTCCTTGAAGGCAGTCCCGAGTAGATTTCAATCGGATGGCCCAAGCTTCCGTACAACCCAAACCATCCCAAACCCTACTTTGAAACATAATACGCTCTGCCCAAGCCAGTGACAACTAGCAGAGCTGAACTGAGACTCGGAAGCTGGGAATATGTGAGTCCGGAACTGCAAACATGCCATCAACGCAAGAAGATTTCCAAGGATGTAGGCTTCCGTTTTCACACGGGGTAGAGTTTGCACAGTTCTTAGTGTTACCCAAAGTCGCGCCAAGGGGTATTGCCAACAGCACCAGGCTTGGAGCCTTGCTCTTCGGACTTATGCCGCGAATGCAATGCGTGCTTTGCTTTGATGAAGGTCTGATGAAGGTGATGGGTCGGACGATTCTGTTTGGTTCCCGGGTGCATGGACGTTTCTGCTTCCCTTGCTTCCCTTCACATCTCTTCACTTCTCTGTCTGCTGAGGACGGAGGTGTTCAGTGCAGAGCCCAGACTGGATAATGTGACCCAATGGTATTCCACGTATACTGGAGCTGTGCTGCATGGAGCTGCCCAAGTTGCAAGCTCATGGCATCTTCCGGCTCCACTAGAGCTTCAGGCATGCAGAAAATGCCGCGGCGCTTCTGGAGAACGCAGGGAGCTCGGCCGCCGCAGTTTTCAGAGTGATCCTCTTTCCGTCGCTGATGTCGCTTGAGCCTTGTTTATCTTGTTTGCTCTGGCTTCGTGCCTTTTTTGCTGCATCTGTTTCGCCCTGTTTCCCTGGCCTTGGTCTGGGGTTGTTTGGTTTTTTCGTCAACCACTCCTCGCCCTCCTCGCCCTCCTCCTCGCCCCGTGTCCGGAGTCCCGGTCTCCTGGCCTGGTCCCTAGAGTGGCCAGAGGCTCCCCACCCGCAAGCAGTACTGCTGAAGGGCTCACCCGCCCTAGCCCCAGAAGACCTCGCCAAGCATCCCTGGAGCGCCCACCTCCAAGATAAGAACCCTGTACCCCAGAGGTCCCCACCCCGAGCCCTTAAACGGTATATACCACTGCCAATGCTTGCTTCCAAAGCATATGAATCCTTTCCAAACTCCACCACGCCAGCATTGTGCTTGCGAAAAGGGGGGGGGGTTGTTTAGGACCTAATTTTAGGCCGCCTAATGCTGGTTTCGAAAGCATACGAATGCTTTCCAAACCCCATCATGCGAGCAAGGTGCTCCCCCCAACCCCCCCGCTTGTTTGAGACCTAGCTCTAAGCCTAGCAACGCTTGCTGCGAATTTCATATGAATCCTTTCTCAACCTCATCATGCGGCTGCGCCCCCCAACCCCCCCACATGAATGCTTTCCAAACCCCATCATGCGAGCAAAGTGTTTGCAAATGGGAGGGCTCCCCCCTCCCCCCAACCCCCCCGCTTGTTTGAGACCAAGCTCTAAGCCTTGCAACGCTTGCTGCGAATTTCATATTTTGCAGCCAAAAGTGAAATCGGGCTCGAGGCAGCAGGTGCCAGGATTAGCCGGCTTGTTCTGGTTCCTCCGCTTGTCTCTGGTCCGTGAACGCTGTCCATTGCTGGAAATGCAAGCTAAGCGCATCAGTGATGCTGAGGATGTGTCCACGATGCTCACCCGTGACAAGACACAAGCTGGGGTCGAGAGGCACCACACTTGTGATGACCTCCTCCGCCCCCGCCCCAAAGGAACGATCCAATGACGATCCAATGAGTCCTGAGCAGGTCTGACTTAGAGAGAACGCTCGAGAAGCCAGCATCTTAGGAAAGGAAAGCATGGCAGTTTCTGGAAGTGCAACACATGTTCCTCTTCCATGTGTGCTTGTTGTTGACACCTCAGGTTGGGCTTCAATGTTGCGGAAGAGGATGAGGGTACGAGCAATCCGGTTTCATGGAATCGGCAAGGTCCGCCCGTGCAGAATTAGGCTTGGCAAGCAGGAGTACTTGTCGTCTTGTTTCAGCAGAGGCGGCAGTGGGTCTGGGGAGAAGGACTTTGGACAAGAGAAGGACCACTGTTCTCATAGCCCAAGTGAAGGTTGTAATTAGTTGAGGCCTCAGCGGTCTGAGGGGAGAAGTGTGGTGGGCTCCATCTGCTAGTGCTGGGCTATTTGTCGAACAGGATGACTTGACGCAGCAGCAGTGTAGCGAGTTGAACTTCTTCAGATATTGACTGAGTGCAGCATAAGGGTTCAGAAAGGAAGATCCCTAAAGAGTTCCGTCCGAGGCACCCCGCTTTAGTCAGCAAAACTCAAGGACCACGTCAGGCTTTTTTGACGAACTTCACGGTTTTGTTTTGAGATTCGTCCGGGGTTCCCTGCAAGGAGCTTATGCTGGCGTTGTTTCCCGCCAGAAAGAGCCTTGGCAGAATTGCGGATGACCCTAATTATCTGCTGGCACTCCGGGCAATTGTTGACCGAGCTCGAGAGCCAGGAAGACATACAAGCTCCAGCCACAGCATCTGGGACTACCAGCCGTGCTTAGACATGTGACTTACCTGCAAGATGGCGCAATGTGCCGTGGTCAGAGCAGTGCCAGATTCGCAAAAAAAATGTGGCTCAACAAAGGTGTTTGTTGCCCAGGAGGAGCTGTGCAAGACTTAGCGACGTCCCGTGACGTCCCATGACATGCGATTCGTCAAGTGCAGAGTTTTGGCCGGGCAGGTTGAAGCGATCTGCAGGGGGCATGGTCGAGAGCAGCTCCATGCGTGTAGCGATGAAAAAGGCTGAGGCCAGCGGTGATGCAAGCAACAGACTCGACGGCAGAGGTTACATGTAGCTGCAATTGTCAGATTCAGTCAGTACCCCGGCCTCGCATCAGCTTGCATGAAGTGGGAAACATTGGGAAACATTTGTCAGCAGTCCGCTTTAGTCCGCTATAGTCCCTGCCTTGCCTCCCGAGAGGCGTGGCTGCGAACGCGTGTTTGCGGCCCGCGCGCCTTCAAGGCTCTAAGATATGAAAGACATTCCAAGACTGTTCACCGTGCTGCTTTTGCCTTGTAGTCCTTCGACTTTTTCTTGAGGTTTCAAGATCTCTTCAGAGTATCACCAACAAGAAGCCTTTCATCGTGTTCTTTTTCATGCCGGCTCCTTAACATCCTCAACATCTCGCCGTTGCCGTCTTCCTATCGTGCAGTGATGTGCAGTGCAGAGTGGAGTCAAAGTTGCACACCTTTGTGGAGAGTACAGAGCAGCAGGCTCACGGTCTACATTCTCGTTTTTCCAGACCTCATACAGATCTTGACAGACAGCGATGCCGACGCTCTCCAGCCAGGTTTATAGCGCTTTTCCATCCTTGTTATTCCTTGTTTGGGAGGGAAGGACCAGTTCACCAGACTTGCCAAAAACTGCCAGAACACGTTGCTTACAGCGAACACCGTCGTGTTCTTCTTGTCCCTTGGCAAGACTTGAGTCTATGGCCTTTATGGCCTTTGAGCTTTGGCCTTCGATCTTTTGGCCTTATGGCCTATTTTGTACTGAGCGCCTGCCCAGGTTTCTATTCGAGCTCATCCTCATCGTGTCTGTGGAAGGTGGCCTGTACAATTCAAGCGAGCCAAGATAGACCACTTTTCTTTAGCAATTATTGTGTGCTTGCTGCACTGGATGAGGAAGCTACATTTTGTCGATACCATTTGTGCTGGATGCCGTGCGCTCCCCGGGGGCTGGCGTGGCAGCAAAGGGGCCACTCAAGCGATGTCAGTTCCAAGGTTTCCTTAGTCAGCATCTTTGCCGACACATGGCCTGGAGCCCATCGCGCCAGTTTACTGAAGTTCCGTTCCTTGTGTCACACTGGGTTTGAAATGTCATGTTCGCAGGTTCATGGCAGAGATCGCTGTGGACACGAAGAGTTCCTCGCTCTCCCGCCTGGTGGCGTTACTCAGAAGGATGTTTATCTCTCTTGGCCATTGGTCTCTTCTTGTGGCCGGCGATAATGCTCAGTCAGGCGCGATCCTCCAGAATAGCGAGGATAGCAAGAATTGGGCGAGTGGCTAGAGAATCTCGTTTGCAGACAGTCTCATTTTCTGATGTTGTGTCGGCCACTTTGGCAAACTCGACAAGTCCTGTTTGCCGCAGTATGCAACGTCTGACTTTGCAGCAGCTACTTGTCCAGTGCCCGCAAACCATGAGAAAGCCCTTGAGAAGCCTTGTCACGCAGCCGAGAGCCAGCCTTGTTTTTTCAGAACAACAACAGAACAACAACAGAGCAACAGCGGAACAAGAGGAAGAAGCAGCACGTGGGCCCTCAATGAGAGGAGAGGCAGAGATCGGACTAGACCGGCATGTCCCCCCGATCCAGGTTACAAAGCTGATTCCGCGCGTGCTGAAGCTTTGCAGGACCAGTGCCAGGGCAGAGGGTTAGTTTGGTGTAGTTCAAGATTGCCGTAAGCAGCGCTGCGGATCAGTAGGCTGCGCTCCAGGAAACAGAGCAATAAGCTCGCTGAACAGTTGCTGCTGCGGCATGGCCCTTAATGGACCTCCATGGACCTCCCAATCCATTCTCCATGACTCCATCTCTTGTCTCGGCAGAGTGATCATGGCAGCGAGTGATTTTGTTCTGAAGTTTTTGGAGACGAGAGGCGCTTGTGGCGGCTATTCCAGTATCTAGACACGGCCCGCAGGGAGCCCGGCTTTGGAGCTTGTTTTCCCACTGGTGACCCTGACAAGCTTTGATCTGAACCAAATTGGAAAGACAAATAGATTTCCTGCTGTTTGTGTCAAGGTGAGGGAAAGCTCTCGGCGTTTGACTTGAAAATTTTCTACCTGGCTCTCCTGCAGGCTGGCATTTTGCCAACACCTTGTGGAGCATGCTGATAGTGCATCTCAGATTATGGCACTGAGTTTCGCTGTCATGGTTAAGCAGATGTTTGCAGGAATGCCCCCATGTGCGCCCAGACAAGATTGATGTGGTCAGCATGCTGGAGAAGGTCTCAACGGATGTAACACGGGGACAGCTTGAACGTCTGCACGTCACGTTTTCAGGACTCTGAGCTTCTGTTGAGTTGTGGCCAAGACGAAAAAGGACACGTCAATGAGCTGAGCCAGACCCCAAGGACATTTATGAAGAATGGCATTCAGCATATCGCGCGCTTGATCGGGAGCAGCTCTATCTGTTGCGAAGTTCGGTGCCAATTCAAAGGGTGCCGGCTCGCAGGGTGCCAGGCGGTTTGAGGGGCTTCAAGGTGCAAAACCGCATGGTTTTTGCACAGGTGTGCACAAACAACACGCGGAAACTATTGCATTGTTTACCCAGATGTTTGTCGTGGGCCATTATCATTGTGAATTATAGTGATCATCTTCTTCCAACGCAGTAGAGAGGTCCGAGTCCCTACTAGCGAGCGCCTTCAATATCGGGCTATTGCCGATATCGGCTGCTCGAGGCAGCAATGACACTAATGCCCTTAGAGGCAGAGGAGCGCGCCTAAGCGCCTGGCTATTGATCATCGTCATCATCATCATCATCATCATCAACATCATCAACATCATCAACATCATCAACATCATCAACATCATCAACATCATCAACATCATCGCCATGACCATGTACTTGCGTATTATGGCGTACAAGGGCCAATACGCTGCAAATACCAGTGTTTTGGGCATGGAACGCTTCTTACAGCTCGTCTTGCTCCTGAAGCGTCAGCATCCGTCTGTCGGCATGAATGCTTGTGACAGTGCGTGTTGTTCCAGAAGCGTCAAACATCCTTCCAGGAACGCCATGCTTAGGGCTTAGGCAGCTTCAACACAGATTTTCAGCGGCAGTTTGCTGAAGCCAGGCACCAGCCTGAAATCGATGTCAACCCTTCTGTGGGTGCGAGCCCCGCGAAGGGGCTCGCTTCCTGAGCCTGGAGGCCTTCGGAGAAGGCCTCCAACCGCTTCTTACCCTTATCCTCCTCGATCTTGGAAGCTTCCCATGAACCCCAAAAACTTTTGCAGGAGCAGCGATTGAAGGCTGAAGCAGCGATTGAAGGCTGATGCTCTGGAATCCTGCCTGCGGCCCCTACAGGGAACACCTCGCCAGCTCTGCAGCAGCATTGCTTCATTCCCAATGCGACCTAACCCGACCCTGACACGGGGCCAGAAGGTTCCGAGCCTTGGACGGAAAAATGTGACAACAAATTGACGACAAGCAGTTCAGCCTGTCCTCTGGCAAGCGGTTCAGAAACTGTTTTAACCCAGGTGTCCACAGCAAGAAACGAGTGGGTGGCTCGAAACCCGTAGTTATCCCCACGAGCAGAATACCATTGCACCTGCAAGGCGCCGAGCTGGAAGACGATTTCATTTCATGGCTGGAAAGCTCGCATCGACCAGCAAATCAGAATTTCACAGTCTTGAAAATCTTGAAACTTATGTCCATCTTAAGTGAAAATCGAGAAGTGGCTGAGAGAGGCTGAGGGTATTCCAAACCACCAGCCAATTTCATTTGATCCTTGAAGCCCTTGCTGGCTTGCGCATAGGGCGCCTGGTAGTTTCGTGGGATTTCTTGCATGTTCAGGACATTTCGGATGATTCCGTGTGGGGTTGGGGAGTGGCGGGTGGAGGGGGGGATGGTCATGACGTCGGTTGCACTGGTATTTACAGCGCTTACTGCATGTTTTCACCAGGCTTAAGATGTCAAGGTGCGAAAAGGACCCCACTTTCGGAGTCTGCCAGGCTGCAGATTGAATTCAAGATAGGCAAGCCGCTGTGAATTGAAACTCGGTTTTCAACCAGCCATGCTGAGGCCCTACACTCACCGTGGATGTTTTCAGCGACACCCTCATGCAGACCAAGCTAGGCGACAAGAGCATCACTTTTCATGTGACACCGTCTAACCGTCTAAGCATTGTAGAGATTGTACAAGCCTGCTGCTCTTGCAGGGGTGCATCTTGTTGAGTTTCATCGCCAAGATTTGGAGAGTGATGGTGGGAGCGTGCCCAACCCTGGCCTTTGCAGCTGTCCGAGCCGCATTTTCTGCATCTTGTGTCGATTCATCAGGTGTGGGCGTTGACGCAAAGGCTGAGCGACAGCACTGCCATGAAGGTGCAAGAGCTGCAAGAGAGAAGCCCTGCGAAGTCCGGAAATTCTTCGCAGAGACTTGGGTGGAGAGGTATGTGTGGGAATACTAGCGCTGGTGGCAACCATGTCCCTCTTGGAGGCAGCTTTCCAGCATTGAACTGCGGGATCATGCACATAATCTGACAGTTCTCGCGAATCTTACTACTTCTATTGCAGGTCGACATCGTTGACTATGCTCCTTCCCATGGGCTGGCATCTCAGCATTCAAGAAATTCAACGCGTGCAATCGAAGTTCCTTTGCGACGCGGCGCTGTCGACCCTGAGGCTGACTCAGTTGGATAAGATTGCGCGAGAAGTCCATGCGCAGGAGGGATTCTTTCACATGCGTTTACGTGAGTCATACGGTAGTGGGACTACTAGGCAAGCTCCACACCATGTCATGCATGCAGGGTCCAGATGGTGATTTGGCACACTTGTGCGTTGTAAGCTCAGCTTCTTGCTGGAAGGTGGTTGTGTTGCTTTCAATCTCTGTGTGCGATGTCTTCCGGGAAACTAGCAAAGAGAAGTGCCCCATGCTGGTTGCTCCTAGTCCTCAGTCCTTTAGCATCCGCGTTGTTCAGGGATTTGCCAGATGGCTGCATCGGCAAAAGTGAATGTCCCGAGGCGCAAATAGAAGTTTACACGCAGCTGCAGGCTTAGCATGTTCGATGGCCACCAAAATAGCACAAATAGACTTACCATACTGCCTCCGTGTTGCTGCACCCGATGTGTGATGCATGCTGAGTCACAATGCGGTGATGTACCTTTACCTGGATGGAAGCTTCCTCAGTTACGATGCTTTTGTGTGTGTGTGTGTTGCGTTCAAGCCGGCCGCAGGCTCGATTAGCTTTGAGGTTGGGAGCATTTTGAAAGTGGCACATGCTTAACATCGGGAGCCGAACGCTGAGATGTGGACCGTGCACCTTCTTGTATTCTTGTCCACGGCAGGGAAAGCTCACTCAGGCACAGGAGGTCTCGCCAACCTATGCCCTAGAGCGGACGGACTGGTTGGTTGCGCAGGTCACGGAGACACAGTTTGATCTTTCAACAGACTTTGCAACTTTGCCCCACGTCAGGCGAAGCTGCGCCCGACCGAGATTGAAAAGTCCTGGGCTCGAGATGGCTTGTTCGATCTTTTCCCTGCAAACATTCGTTGCATGCACATCATGACTTTCGACTTGACTGCCGGCTTTGCGCATCATCGAGGGCCTGCTGGAAGCTGAGCGAAGCCGTGGACTGCGACGAACTGCCACTGCTGGAAGGGAACAGGAGCCTGCTTCGCTCTTTGTCTTTTGCCCTTGTCAGCCAATGTGCGAGAATTTGTGAGGACTGGGAGCCTGGACCTCTATCATAAGGGTAGTCTGTGTTGAGCCTCGCCACCTACCCGACAGAATGCCCCTGGTGTGATTGAGGCCTTGCACTGGTGGACTTGTCGAAAAAGGCCAAGGCCGGAAGCATCCGGGAGCAAGCAAACAGCCAAGCGCAAGCCAAAGCAGCTTTGCTTCCTTGGCCTTTGCAGTTGTGCCCATGGGTTTTCAGAGGAAGCGGCATTCTGGTCACTGATGACCGTCCTCGCAGTTCTGGTTCAGATTCCCTTGTCAGCTTAAAGCTGAGAGACTGGCGCGCTAAACCTTGCTAAACCTCGGGCTCCGTCGTGCTCTGCTGCACTATGCTGCACTCAGGTTTATGTACTCAATGTAAAGATCTCCACGCCGTTACCTCAGTAGGTGATGTATGCTGTTTGTGTGTGCGGTTATTTTGAATGAACTCCCTCCAGCTGATGGCCCTTGTGATGGCTTCTGCAGCCTGCAGCTTTTGTGCAAACCTTGAACTACTACCGTCGAGTCCAGTATTTGCAGCGCGTGGGGTAGCCAGTGTGTAGAAGATTAACGACGGCTCAGCGCTCAGCCCCCCAAGACCGAAGCACAGAATGCGAGAACATAGAGACACCTGTCGGCACGTTGGGCGATGTTGGGCGCATCGGGCACGGCTGTGGATGACACGAGCAAGAAACAGCGGGGTTTTCAGCAACTTCCCAACACGTCTCAATTCCAGGGACCAATTTGAGATAGCAGCTAGGTCCTGATGCAACGTATTTTCGAACGGCAATGTTTGGCTCCTCTCAGAAGAGAAGAGGCGGGCACCGGGCTGGATTGGTGGAACGAGGCTGGAGAGCTGGGGCCTACTTCGGGTTTGGATGGGTGATGATGGGTGGAATGTGGTTCGGGAGCTGGGGTTTGGACGGGTGGTGCTTCCCACAAACCTTTACGGCCCTTTCAGTTTCTCGCGCGCTTCCACGACACGAAGTTTTTTTTGCATACACAGACATATACATACATACATATATATACACATATCTAAAGGCCTTGCGGCACGGGCCGGCCTGGCCGTCTGAAAGCTGAAACTCGGGTTTTGGTTTAGGGGGTTAGGGAGCGCAGGGAGTCGGGACGTAATAAGTAAAGAAAGAAGAAGAACAAGAAGAAAGGGAAAAGGAATAAAAAGAAGAAGAAGAAGAAGAAGAAGAAGAAGAAGAAGAAGAAGAAGAGAAAGAAGAAGAAGAAGAAAAACAAGAAGAAGAATAAGAAGAAGGAGAATAAGAAAAGAAAGAAGAAGAAAAAGAACAAGAAGAAAATAGGGAAGAATAAAAACAAGAAGAAGAAAAGAAAGAAGAAGAAACATAATAATGAGAAAAGAAAGAAGAATAACAAGAATAAGAAGAAAATAAACAAGAAGAAAAAGAAAGAATAATAAAAATAGAAATAAGAAAATATAGAAAAAGAAAAATAATGAGAAGAAAAGGAAGAATAAGAAACATAAGAATAAGAAAATAAAGAAGAATAAAAAGAAGAAGAAGAAAGGACATAAGAAGAGAAAGAAAGAAGAAAAAGACAACGAAGAAAACCAAGAAGAAAATTAATAAGAAGAAAAGGAAGAAGAATAAACATAAGAATATTTCAAACAAAGAAGAATACAACTAAGAAGAAAAGAAATAAGAAGAACACGAAAGAAGAAGAAACATAACAAGAAGAAAAGAAAGAAGAAGAACAAGAAGAAGCATAACAGACATAAGAAGAAGCAGAAGAAAAAGGAAATAACGAAGAATAAAAAGAAGAAGAAGAATAAGAAGAAGAAGAAGAAGAAAAAGAAGAAGAAGAAGGAGAAGAAGAAGAAGAAGGAGAAGAAGAAGAAGAAGAATAATAATAATAAGAAGAAGAAGAATAAGCAGAAGAAGAAGAATATGAATAAGAAGAAGAAGAAGAATAAGAAGAATAAGAAGAAGAAGAAGAAGAAGAATAAAAAAGAAGAAAAGGAAAGAAGACAACAAGAAGAAGAGACATAGTAATAAGACAAGGAATGAAAAGAAAAAGAAGAAGAATAATAATAAGAAGAAAAAAGACGAAGAAAAGACATAATAAAAACAAGAAAATAAAGAATAAGAAAAGAAAGAGGAAGAAAAGACAGAGGAAGAAAAACAAGAAAGGAAATAACAAAAGAACGAGGAATAAAAAGAAGAAGAAAAGACGCAAGAAAAGAAAGAATAATAAGAAGATAAAAGGAATGAACAGGAAACAGAAGAGAAGAAATAACAGGAAACGACAACGGAAACCCGACATATAATCCTCTGCGCGCGTGCGCGTGCACGTGCGCGTGCGCGTGCGCGTGCGCGTGCACGTGCGCGCAACAGCATCATTGGCATCAGCGGCTTGGGGGGCCGAAAGTCGCGAAACACACGTCCAAAAGAACGACGAAACCCAGGTTTTCCCGAGAAAAAACACGTTTTCTCCGAGGTTGGGCGCCTTTTTCTGTTCCCGCCCTCGCCCCAGGCGAGCATCATGAGCATCAGCGGCCTGGGCCCGCGTGCGAACAGGTGGCTAGACTGCCTTGGCCGCTGTCGCCCGCCCCCACTCCCCAGGGCTTTGGGGAGCTGCCCTTGGAGCAGCGCCAACCCACGCGACGTGCGCACGGCGCTGCGTGCATACACGGCAGCCATAACGAGGAGTTTTTGAACAGTTTTTCGCGCAACGCGCAAAAAACAAAGGTATTTGCCCCGTTTTCGGCCCCTCGGACGCCCCCCCCAAGCGAGCATCATGAGCATCAGCGAGGCCCTCATGAGCATCATCGAGCCTCGGGAGCCGGGACCTGAGGGCCCTGGAGAAATGAAGGGCTCATGATGCTCATGCGTGGGTGCGCATCGTGAGCGTCGGCTGACCCCCCCGAAACCGTGGGTGTCAATGATGCTCACCGTGAAGGCGCGGCAGTGCCCCAAAAGGAGGGGTGTGTGTGTGTGTGTGTGTGCGTGTCGAAACACGCGAAAAACACGGTATTTACGATGTTTTCTGGCTTTGTTGAGGCGCCCGGGCCGTCCTGGCCCCGGAGGCGGGTCGCTGATGCTCATGATGCTCGCCCCTGTTGAGGCGTCGGTACCCCCCCAAAACTTGAGGTATATGGTATTTTTTCGCATGTTCGCCCAATGTCAAAAAGCAGGGTCGATGATGCGCGCCGGGTCACGCATCAAAGAATTAAGATAGGAAAATGATTGACTCTAGGATATACCACTTCTGGAGACCCTTGAAAGATAGGTACAAAATAATTTCCAAATCCTCCAAACAAGCCAGGCATTACTAAAAAGAAGATCATAAGAAAGCCATGCAATGTAATGCTTATGAGATAGAAGTTGTGGTTTTCTGGAGATATAATCCTATTTCCTGATGAATATAATTCTATTCTTATAAGGACTGATATTAATGTTCCGGAGATTCCAAAGATGAATCCAGATAATACATAATAAATTCCTACGCCTCCAAAAACGCAGAAAAGCATGGTATTTACGATGTTTTCGGCACTTCCACGCATTCGCGTTTGGGACCCCGCTCGGAGCCCTCCCAGGGCTCCCCCCGGAGCCCCATGCAAGGAACCATGCGATTTTCAGGGCGGGTCGGCGGCACGGGCGGCAGCCGTAAAAGGCAAGCCTTTAGGCTAGCAGTGCTCCGCACTGGACCACGACGGCCAGGCCGGATATAATGGCTACCGCCAGTGCCGCCGATCCCCAACACAAGACTTTGAGGTGCGCTCAGCCACAGCAAGGGTGCAAGGACTTCATTTCCAGGTGGGGCTTGGGAACGAGCGGGGGTTTGGCTGGAGCCCCTCAAACACTTCATTTCCAGGTGGCGGTTTTGGGGGGTTTGGGCATGCACTGGAGCACCTAAAACACTTTATTTCCGAATGGGGGTTTGTGGGGCAGTGTGGGGGGGGGGGGGGGGGGGGGGGGGGCGCCGGGGGGGCGGGGCGGCAAGGGGTTGGTGATAGCGGTATGGGCAGTGCGCGCGCTGAGGGCGGTGACGAAGTGAGCGCACTGACCACGACACTGAATTTCAGGTCCCAGGGAATGGACGGACACTATGGGTCTTTTACGCCGCCCCGCTGAAGCTGGGGTCGGCGGATATTATATATATATATATATATGTATAGATATTGCGTCCATGCTGTTTGGGGTCTTCGCCGGTACTAATGCCGGGCGGACGATTAACACCAGTGAGGTTTTCGACAACGCTATTGCAACCTCTGCGATCTCTCGTGGACGACATGGTGGCGATGTCTAGCTTGGAATTGGTCGAAGTCTCATCCAGTGCAGAGCATTAGGTTTGTGCTTTGGTCAAGGCTTTGTGCCTCTTATGTTCTTGCCGGTGATACTGCTATCAGGTTGGCATTGATGACCATACTGCCCCTGGGATGTTGACCAGCAAAACCTCCAAAGACAAGATTAAAACTGCTGAGGAGCCGTGTGCGGTAAGCATGCTCGTGATGACAAGGCCATGTCATGCCATGTCAATGTCGTGTCGGAAACCAGGAGCTGGAAAATCTCAACACAGCTTTCCGTGCCATGCGAAGCGCCATCAGGCAAGCGGTGATGCTGAGGTGCTGAGGTGTATGTCAGTGTAAACTTGTGTAAACGTTGAAAACACCATGTAAATCGTTAGCCAATCGTTGTGGAAAGCGTTGTAAGCAAGTCGCTTGGCATCCGTGCCGGGGCCGGAAGGGCCGCAATGTGCAACGATGAGCCCTTCTGACCGACCGCAACCTCATCATCTCGATTTTTAAAAAAGTATCCCTTTGGATTTAGGTATGGCGCTGATGCCATTCAGCCGTGAAGGTCAGAAGAGGGCCCCAACTTGCCCTCGGCGAAATAGCAAGCACAAGTGTTCGTAGCATTATGGTGGTATATGATGCGGCTATATGATGAATTTCTTTCTTGTATTGTTGCATGAGTATATTCTTCTGTTATTCTATGATTCGATGGTTCTAGTAGTCTAGTACTCTCGTTTTATCTTGTTATCATATTCTCCTATTACCCTCGGATTCTATTTTGTGATGGAATTATTAATGAACTATTCCTTGAATATATCTGTGTGAGTAGACTTTTATGTTTTCATACTATTTCGTACTTTTTTAAATAATGACATTAGTGTGTTTGTATATTGCTAGACCGCTATATGGTCAGAAACTTTATTATTTTATTGTTATATTGTTATATTCTTATGTTGTTATATTGTCGTATTGTTGTATTGCTGTATTGTTGTATTGTTGTCTTGCTGTATTGTTGTCGTACTGTTCTATTGTTGTATTGACATTATATGGCCATACTTTTATATGGTAATTGTTTTATGGTTGCAGTGTTAGATTTTTTGTATTGTTAGTTCCTATATTGTTATACTGCTTTATTGTAATATTGTTTTCCTGTCCTATTGTCAGTACATATTCGTACGGTATTGATTTCATAGATTTTCGTTGTATAGGTCATTCGGTTATTTTGTCATTATGTTATTTAGTTTGTCATTATGTTATTTAGTGATGCTAATTATTACGCTATTATGTTATGACGTGTTTTTTCCCTGAGCTTGCTTGATTGAGTCTTGTGGCACAAGTCCACAACGAAGTTGTGATGCTATGATGCCATGACGTCATGCCGCCGTGATGTTGCGGCTCGCACTTGCGACAGCGTGTTCGTTCAGGTGCTTTCGCACAAGAAAGACATGTGTTCATGTGCTCACGCGCTCACAGGTTCATGCGGGTGGCGGCGATCGTTCTGGTGTGTGCCTGTTGGTGTCTTCATAATGTCAGATCGCATGAGGAACGGCATTTTTTTACATCATTGGCATCACTTGCCTTTTGTTACATCTTCCACGCCGCTCACCGCACAAGTCTTTCTAATGCTCGTCAGATTGTGTGGCTGTGGCATGGGATGAACTTTTTCATTCACTAGGGGCTGGGGGCTCTCTTTAAAGGGTTCAGGGCTGGCTACTGATTCCATTTTTGGACCACGAAGTTGTGCAGGTCGTGGTCGCTGTTTGTCCCACCGTCCGTGGTGGAACGCTTCTACGATGCTGGCTTAGAGGCAAGCAGACAGCGGAAGGTGCCGCAAGACGCTCCTTGCTGAGTCCCCAGGCGAAAGTCGGAGTAACACGGTGTGAGGCCTTCTCCTCAGCAACAGCAAGGTGCCTTATGTGCCTTTAGATACAGCTTGCCAGGCCATCTCGTTGTGGTGGAGGGCAGACATTTCCCAATACCATCATTGCATATCGGTGCATTTGAGTGCCTTGCAAACAAGGGCTCGCAAGGGCTTGTTCTCGAACACAAGCAATCTCCCACACTCTTCAGGCGGAGATTCGTGTTTGCTGACTAGACACGAACACAACAAATGCAAATCGCTGCGCCAAGAACAGTCAGGGCCAGGGCCGCAACTTGCGAGAGCTTTGACAATAGAAGCCCTTAAAGAGAGGGCATTCAGCAATTCTAAACCCTAACGTCCTTCTTGGAGAGGTGTCTTTCATTGACGGCGGTTTTTGGCACCGAGCATTGAGTCGACGGCCATAGAGAACACATGTCAAACCGACGCGACGGTTCGTAGAGCAAGCATGTCGGAAGAGCAAGCACGCGACGGGCCACGGAGCATACATGTGGGGTAAATCTCCTGATTCTTCTTGATGGAAGCTCATGTGAGCACATGCCTTCAACACCCATGCTTCCGATAACCACCCTCGGGACCTGGAGAAATACGGGCCCTCCGCGCATCATGCTTCTCATGAAGTTACCCAACAACAAGAGAAGATGACCTGGGATGCCTTCAGTACGCTTGCGTCAGAGACCCGCAGTAGCCTGGCCATTGATGAAATCATAACATGAAATCCAAAGCATTCAGCACGCTCTGCCACGTGCGTCGTAGCAGTTCGGGGGAGGTCTTCTCGCGTGAAACGTCGGCCTCCAGGAGCCAGGGTGGAGAACAACTTCCAACATCCAGGTCCAGTAGCTCCAGAAACTTGAGCATTAGTGAGTCTGAAGGCTCCCCGGTCCCGAAGGGGGGTCCGGCCAACAATTTCTGAAGAGGATTTCGTCCCAACAACCGCAACACCCATAATGGCGACATTGGCCGACACACTGCAGCATGCATGGTATGATTCTGCGACCGCATTATGCAGCTGTACAGTATCATTTATCTGCATCCCTGCTTTTGGTGAGGTCACTGTTTTGTTCTGTGACATAGAGGGCTTCGAGGACTGATCGCGGCACCTCGGAGTTCAATTGCTTCTCGTGCTTTTTCACAGGAGACGTGTCGAGAGATGCATCCTGACGCCGTCCTTAGCAAACTCACAGGCCCATACTTTAAGATCCAGCAACCACGCGGCGACGGTATGGAAAGTAAACAGCCCAACAGAAGCAATGCAAAGTGCCAATTGCCACTCATCTGTTGGAGGTGTGTTGGGAACAATCGCAGATGAGATACAGCTCCAGAATGGAACTTTCCTGGAGTTCATCAGTGACGAGGCCAGGGGCCCTGGCCAGGGGTGTTGATCTGGACACTGCATGCTGCTGAGCTTGACCTGTCCGGCGTGCCCCGATCCCGTTCCAGGTCATGGCCGTGTTCAACGCGCCCAACAAGCTGCCAAATCATGTCCGCTCTGCCAGTTGAAAAAAGCATATGGAAGCAAGCAGAAGCGACGAAACGACTACCCGACGAAATAGAAACCACACGCTGGCTAGGCTTCAGCTGGCCTGCTCTGTGCACTCGCGATCCAGAAGGCCCCCCAAATTGCAGCAATGGGTGACCTGGCTCATGGTGCAAGTCTCCACACAGCCTTGTGCTGCGAAGGCTGTAGTGCAGCACAAAGTTCTGGTTGGCAATCAGGACAGTTCGATGTGAACTGAACAGTCGACGGAAGTGGCCCCAACTCCCAGGAGAAACCGATTCGATGCCGAGTTGGAGTTCACACTGCGAGCGGCTTACAGACCCCATACATGGGGCCCTCTGAATTGCAGTACACCGCTGTAGTCAGTAATCGAGTTCCTGCGGTGATCATGTCGCAAACTCACATGTGTCGATCATTCTGAACTTGGCCACTGATTCTGATGGTCTTCATGTCCCTGTGTCCAATGCATGTTCTTGCAAGAAGCATATCTGGCGAAGAGTTAGTGCAGTGACCTTGCAGTCAAATCAGGCGGGCGAGGATAATGTGAGCAGCGGGCGAGCGATAATGAACGGTTCACAGCTCTTGTTAAAGGATGGCGGACATAGGCTGGAGTCAAAGCAGACTCGGTCGAAGTTGTCTTCGGTTGAAGATGTCGGTGTGGCTTCGAGAGGAGAAGCCCCGAGCTGCCACGACCTTCTTTACGCCTTCAGGGAATTGGCTGTGACGTCCTTTGCAACCACCCATAGTCTTTGCAAACCTTAGCTGTCACAACCTTCTTCAGGGAACAGGCTGTGGCTTCCTCCTGTTTTGTGTAATGCTATCACTGTCAGCAAGATAGTGCTGCGAGTCATTGCACCCAAACGTCCTGTGTCTCAGTCCCGAAACTCAAGCTCCCCACCTCAGTCCTGAAAAAAGCCAAAGTTCCCCAGCCAAGCTCCCGAACTCAATGCCGGAACCATGTCGAACCGAGGGTTCAATTGAATCGAGCTGAGGCTTCCATCCTGGCAGGGACAGCGCGGCAAGTTTTTCCAGCGTTTCGGTTGCAGCTGGTCCAAGCTATGACTCCTGCGCAGGAACATAGGTTCGCACCAACGGATCAAGTACGGCCTGCTTGGGGACGGTGTCAACCTCGCGGCACGGATGAAGGGTTTGTCCTGGCTGGTTTGTCCTGGCTTGTCCTTCATTGCTGACTTGTCGCATGTCTCAGAGCATGCCAAACATATCTAGACTATGCAGAGTACAAGCACCATCCCTCTGTCGGCCAGGCCTGAACTCCAGGTACGGGACCAGCACGCTATGCAGCCAGAACTCACTATCTTCGCAGCAAATACCTTTGAACCTGGCAACGAGGCACTGTGGGAATACTGTGAGATGTCGTATCACTCATGTAACCTTTACGCAGCTTACAATTCAGACTGGGGTAGGGGTTAAGTCAGCGTGCAGTCGCTTGCACGTTCCCTGCAGATCGTTGAGACAGGTTGTAGAGGGGCTTCAGGGAAATCTAGGCCTTGCTTCACTAGCTTCACGACCCGAGCTCGAACAGATCACGAAAGCTCGCGTAGCGGAGCTGGAGTTTTATCTGCTTTAGCAGTAGGGGGCCGACCACGGCCAGAAAACGGCGTATTATTGATACTATCTTAGTAGGGGGGGGAGGGGGGGGGGGGTGTAAATTGATATATGTCACACGAATTCCTTGGTTTTGGAGGGGGGGGGGGGGGGGGGGGGGGTAAATTGATACATCACACGAGTTCCTTGGTTTTGGAGGGGGGGGGGGGGTAAATTGATATATCAATACCTGAAGGGGGGGGGCGTTTTTACGTCAAGACCTGACTCCGTCGCGTGTTGACCGCAGTGCGTGAGTCAGGCTCCCAGCACAACATGCGTCGCCGCCCACTAGTGATGTGTTGATTGCAACGAGCTGGTTGATTGCAAGAAGCTAGTATCTACCCAACATGGAGACCCCTCAAGCATGCCTCCAACAGGTCCCTGCCCACACTTTCTCATGCAGCTTTGCTCTTGCTTCCGGCCCCCGAGCTTTCGTCCTCCCTGCCTCCGGCCCTCAAGTTGTGCATGCTTCGCCTGAACGTACGAACGGACTTTCAGTAGTCATTCGCCCTGAAAACAGGGAAACGCGTCGGTGCAGTTCGGAGAGTTGTCAAAGTCCTGGCAGCATATGCCTTGGAATCACCTCCCGAGTTGTCAAGTCCTGGCAGTACTTGCCTTACTTGCCTTGGAAGCACTTCCCATCAACCTGGTTTATGGCGGTCGCAAAGTCTAGCTCGGCTCGACGTGTGGCTCTATCGTGACGGTCCTGCAGGCCCGTGGACCTTGTGGCTGTGAAAGGCAAGAGCGAACCCACCAAGGCCACCACCAAGGCATGTCTCAGTGTGTTTTCGCATGTCGATGTGCAAAGGTTTGTGAAGTCATTGGCTTCATGAACGAACATCCATCTCTGGCGGAGGCGTGGAATGTACAAGAAATTACAAGAAGAAACGAGTCAACAAGAAAGGAGTTTGTCGAACGCATTCGAAGTCAGGCGGTGAGGCGTCACAAGCTGGCCTTTGACCTCTACTTGGCCACAGCCTCGGGCATCCGTGAGGCTTAGGCTTGCATGGGGAAGAAGGTCCACTCGCGCAAGCAGCACGCAAGGCACGGAAGTTCAAGGAGGCGATGGAGAAGTTCGAAGAGGCACCCATTTATTGAGCTGTTCCGAGAGCTGTCATGAGCGTCCGGTTCCTTCAGCTGCAGGTATCTTCTCTCTTGGCAGTTGCAGACAGACCTGACGACGAGACGTCGAGCGCTCGGAGCCGATTAGCTCTACAGGTACTTCACGTTCACGGCGCCAGTGGAGCGTCGACTGGGGCACCCAGCGCGACCTGTAGGGATCCAGCAGATTGCTCTTGCCATGTGGGGTCCCAAATGTACATCATCAGGAGGTTTACCTGACATTGTGATGTTTCTCAGGTCACACATGATGATTTGCAGATGCGAGGCCAGTGCATGTGTTCTTAACGTTATCCACGTTGTTGCGCCTTTCCGACAGCTTGTTTCAGGAGTACATGAAGAACCCTCCCCCTCCCGAGTGGGACGGGGTCGAGCACCTCAAGTCAAAGTCGCATGGCACCCAGACCTTGGGTTCAATCCACACGCTCGTGTCCGAAGTCTGACGACGCAGGCAAGATCAAGCTTTTGCACGCAAAGGAAAGTGGAGTGAATTCCGCCAGCAAGGATAAATGACGTGGGACGACATATATGGTAGACAGGCAGGCGCCGGAGCGAAAAGACGAAACAGAAACCAAAATGACTTAGCCGCGGAAGGACAGGAATCACGCTCAAACTGATCCAAGTGGAGCAACACCATTGTCACTATGAGAGCGTAGTCGCATTCACAGGGCTGGGAGGGCGCACAGGGCACAGCAGGGACACCGCCTTCAGTGACGTGGCTCACGGCTCGTCTTGAGAGGGCGAGTCAGCACAAGACCAGTCAGGAGAGTCGAGAGCGCATTGGGTTTAGGCTACAGTTGCCATGTACTTGTACCCTGCCGCTTCCCACACCTGCATCTTGCACAGCCCATCCAACTCAGGGGCTGCTGACACTCCGCTCAGAATGTGCTAGCATGTGCTTGTGACATTTTTGATAGTGCAAGTTGGCTGGTTGCTTCGATCCCTTCCAGTACCGTGGATCCGGTTAGGTTTGGCTTGCCCCAGCGTCAGAAGAATCAAGCAAAGGAGAACATCATTGTTTGGCCAGCTCGCTTGGCAAGATGGCACAACTTCATGCTCTCAAAAGTATAGCCTCATGCGGTGATACTTCGTTTTGCTGCCAGGGCAATGCGCAGCAACAATATGATGCCAAGCTTGCTCAAGAGGTGGTCCCCGCCTCAAGACATCAGCAGTGTTTGACGCATTCTGATCGCGATTTCATGTTTACATCGCCTAGGCAAATGGAATTCTGCCCGCGGAATCCATGGAGTCTCGCGTCTTGCTGGTTTGCCCCCTGGAAGCCCCACTAAGTGAGACACACACACACACACACACACACATACGGGGGTCATGTTTGAGACACGAGGCAGACGACGGTGACGGCAGGGACGATGGCGCCAACGCGAAACGGAACCGAACTCACAGGGTTTCTGAATCAGCACCTCGCCAGCTTCAACTCAATGACGGTATTAGCTGCCGGGTAGCTCATGGTACCTCATGGTAGCTCTCGACAGTCGCCGTGTCGCAGCGCGATTTCAAGTTCCCCCCCAAGGCCTTGCGGGGTTGGCTGCGCCTGGCAGAGTACCCTTTGCCAAAGCCCCGAGGTGCTTCAGTTGGGAACGAGAGCCATGAAGAGCCATGAAGAGCCATGAGAGCCTTCTTGCTGCGACCGGTTGTAGAAATCTATTTCTGATCCCCTCACTGCAGTGGCATGACATTCCTTCCAAGCCCCAAACGAATCCTGATCGCCGTTCAAGAATGATTTCAGACTTGCTCTTGCCAGGCGACCACTTCGGGAATGGTGGGCATTTGACGTTGGTCTCTTTTGCAAAGCAAATAGACCGATCATTTCACCAGCTTGTATAGCTATGTTTCACCAGAAGCCCGCCACAGCAAGTAGTCGAGCGAAGCGATGCGTTCGAGCAATACCAAGCAAAGACTGGGAGCAGACAGTGCCATGGGACGGCTTGAAGCAGGTAGCTCATGGTAGCTGCAACAATTCAACAAATGGCAACATCTGTGCGAAGCATCGATTGAACATACTCTAGCAATGGGGGAATATCATGGCCTCTTCGCGGCTCTCCCCACCTCTTACCCCGAATCTCCCCCCCCCCACCCCAGTTTGCCCCAGAACCTCGAGAACCTCGGCAGTTTCATGGAAAGCGCCCCCGTCATAGCCCGTCATGTTGCAGTTTCCAACGTTCCTACAAGACTCGTGCATCATTCGGTTGCGATACTGCCAATGAGTGAACACCCAGTGCTTTGCCGAGCATGGTCGCGAGTTTGTTAGTCATGGGAGGGAGCTCGAGACTTCGACGTGTTGATTGTGAAGACTCAGACAGTGACAGTGATGATGAATCATCACGTGATGTCACGTGCTTGAAGTGAAGCTTGTCCCAAAGCTGCCAACCCCTCAAGAGCCGCGCCCTTCCATACGTCATCTCTGACCCCTAAATCTCCTAAAAACAGTTGAGGGGGGCCTCTTGCAGAAGTCTTGCAGAGCATGGCGGTTCGCAAAGAGATTCAAGGTCAATTGCCATAGCAGCAGCAAACGATGATCTCTACAAATTCTCCACCTAGGACCTAGGTAATGGGTTCAATGCATTGGCACTCGCCGATGTGCACTGACCAGCGCGAGGTACACAAACACAACCTTGTCAATGCTCAAAAATCTTTTTTACTTCCTTGATGCACGCTTTGTTTCAGTGTTGTCTTTCCAAATGGGCCATGCTCAAGCATGGCTCTAGATCCATGGCTACATGAGGACGGTCTTTGGCACAGTCTTTGGCACAGTGTGCTGTGCAGGCCTTGTGGATGCTTCGTGTGCCCTGACCCGCAAGGATGACACACTTGTAAAGCAAGCCTTGTCCGCTCCTTAGATTTCACATAACTTGCTCAACGTTGCAATAATTTGCAATGTGCATGGAGGTATGGGAGCGGAGAGGCCTGCCCTAAGAACAGTTGTGTCTCGCACAACGCGCTGTCGTGTGTACATCAAAAGTGCATCCCGCATCTGCGGGTGTGGCAACAAGCGACGTGCACAGCGCGAAGACGTGCGGCGTGACGTGAAGTAAGAGTGCGGACACAAGTTCAGCTGGCATGTCGCTTCTTGCGAGGAGTCGCTGGATGGCCTCGTGGCTCCTTCACAGGCATGGACCCCGCCGAAGGTGTCACTGAAGCCCCAGCTAAGCTCATCTGCACGCTTATCTGCAAATTCCATCATCCTCTCATATCACACATCCTCTCCCTCTGTCGTCTTCTCCACGGACCCCGGTGCGTGCGGCGATCTTGGGGTGCTGGGCTGCCATGTATGGGTGTTGTGCTGGCAACTCTTCAGAGCTGCGAAGACGTCCCTGATTCTCTCACGTTCTCCCACATGGTTTTCCACGCGTCTCCATATTCTGCCCTTCCAGGTGGCGCTGAGCCACTCGCCACGAATAGGCAGAAGCCATTCATCGGTCCAAGGGCCGGGCGCTGAGTGCACTATTCGTGCCGAGCTTCCGGAGCCTGAGTTGTGCAGTTTCGTCCCCGCTAGCTTTGTAAGATGCAGCTTATGTATGGCGTGACATAGCATGAATACTGAAGCGAAGAGGCTCGAGTTCGTTTCTGAACGAGTAAGCGCAACTGTTTATTTTGGGCAGCATTAGCAGCCTCATGCCACAAGTGTGCCGTTCACTTGAGGCTATGGCCCGTGAGCTATGACGAGCACAAAGACTTGACAGAGTGCATTGCTGCATGGCAAGAGACGGGAGGCTCGGAGATGGGAAGAGATTCCAAGCTGCCAAAGCTGCAGCTCCTCGGATCCTCGGAATCCTGTTCAACTTCCCCCGTGATGAAGGTCGGACGTTTCCAGACTTTGGACGCATTGCTGGGAACTGACTCCTCCTGCACCACACTAGTTCCATTCAGATGCTCTGCAGCGCAAAGGTCTCGCGAAGTCCCGGAAGCACACAGCGCTTGCAGGAGAATGAGGTGCATCCCACTCCAAGTATTTCAGATGGAATTGGCTGGACACGTTACATGCCGAACGCTGCAGGCAGGAAGAAGCGAGCTGTTTGGACCTGCACTGGTTCTCAATGCCAAGAGCTAAGCTGGCCAAGATGGCACCAAGAAGGTTAGAAAGATCCCGCCAAGAGCTGAGGTGGGAGGCACTCTCTTCAGGCGCCGACAGCAGACGATTGTATTCAATTCTGACCGATGTCGGTGTTGCATGCGCTTGCTTTTGCCAGGACAACTCCCAGTACCTTGAGGAAGGCCAATCAGCCTTGGCATGCGTTAATGCCCATCTGCGTCTCCACGAAGTGAATTAGTGCCGGTGCCGACCGCAATCGACCACACCAAACATCTTGCCATGCCAAACTATGCCCGACCTCGGACCAAGCGCAACAACCAAGCCAAAGTCCCCCTTTACAACTTGTGTGTCTCAAAGTTGAGCGGGCACTCATTCAGCATTCAATACAGGCAAGTTTCGATTCACGGAATCTCTGCTGGAGGCACCCTTTTTTGACTCCATGTTGCGCCACACCGTGGAGGGCGTGTGAGCCTCGGCATTGACTCGGGGAGCGAGAATTCGTGAGCAATCAAGTGAGAAAGGCACTGCAGGATCAGACGGTCGATGCAGCGTGTACGGTGCGTAATAGCGTAATCCGAGCTTGCTGCGCAGGGTTTCGGCGCCACTGTTGACAGCGAAGGTGGGTGGATTGTTGGCATTTCATGGTCATTTGTGCTTGCGTTACCAGATGCTTCTCCGCTGTACTTGTGACAGGTCATTACTTTGTGGACAGATCGGGCTTCTTGTTCAGATACGTCTTGGAGTATTTGCGAACGGAGCCTTGGCATGAAGGAAGTGTTCTTTGGGCCATTTGAGTCTGGGGAGGGTATTGAGGCTACTGGAAGCTCGGCTTGTGTGGCCTCAGATGTAGTATTGTAGTATTATTTACATTGGAACGCGCGCCAGGGCTTCTGGCTCTTGGGCGAGAAAGCTTGTGACCTCGAGTTCGGCACCAAGCTGTTTTCGATCGGTTTCGGTGTCTGTGTCTCTTTTTTGGTTCGTTGATGTTCGTTGTGTGAGGTTGTCGTATGGTGGTTCCTACTAGTAGGGGCCGCGTGTGCGCGGTTGTAGCAGAGATGCCAAGCCAACGAGACAAGTTTGAAGCGACCTGTAAGGTTCATAGACGCCATTCGGGCTGAGGACGCGACTTCCTTCAGAATGCGCTGTGCCACAGTGCCACAAATCATGGATGCGAGCTCCCTGCAGGCCAGCTTCTATGGGCTGGAGGGGGACCAGCAATTGCCGGTGCCACGCATCACAGAATACGTGGGAAGCCACAGAGATGGATTGTGTGAACTTTGTGAACTTTGTGAACTTTGTGAACTTTGTGAACTTTGAGAGCTTGAGTTCAAGTTTACTAAGGTGTCAGTCTGGCAGCACAAGGATGACACCTCCATCTATGTGGATTGCTTGGAGCAAACCATCCGAGAGGAGATATTGCCAAGACACAAGATTCAGACCGTGGCTTTGAAGCTGCAAAAGTTGTGAGTGCAGGACCGTGATCATCAAGGACTGTTCAGACTCTGTAAATACTTTGGCGGCCTTCCGCCTCAGACCAAGTTTGCTCAGGGCGGGACAGCGGTTCCTTTTCCAGGCAGGATGTCTGGAATCCACGCATGCTTCTTACAGGCTGTTACAGCAGCTACTCAGTATTATATGGGCCAGAAAATACCAGTATTTTATGAAGCCCTAACAAAAACTCTCTTCTGTGAAATTATGAGAGCAAAGTTGATGAACGAAGTGAGTCCTTGATCACCCAGCAGAATACTACTAGAAGAGCGATCGAATGTAGGATGTTATAGTTCGTGGTGTATTTCATGCGGGAAAAGGAGAAAGAACGAGTGAACTTAGAAGATTCATGCATTTCTGTTTACAGGCCTTGGAGATGTAAGCCTCCACCTGTGTAGAAGGCATAGCGTGAACCTCATAAGTGTTTTTGATGCTCGCTTGGCTGAAAAGCGACATCACATGATCACGGACTAGAGCCCGGTAGGAGCTCGGATCTAGGCACATCTTCCAGGCTCCATGAGGATTTTAAGGTGGGTTCGGATCATGTCAGATATACGAGCAACCTGAGGCTGGACCAGCAGACGTGCACAAAGCGCTTCAAGGCGACGGTTATCATTCGGCGCTGACTGCATCTATCGCCATCTGACATCAGAGCTCTGCTATATAGACATTGCAGATCATTGCAGGCCACATCTCATTGCATGCAATCCGTCCTGTCGTATTTTGGCATGTCGGCATCCCAGTCTTGAAGAGCAGGCATGGGTACATCATGCAAGCTGCATGCAAGGCATCGCAGTGCATCGCAACGCATTGCAATGCATCGCGATTCATTGCCAGCGTCTGAGGCGTGGATTCTCCTTGCAACATGTCGTGGAGGCTGTGTGCCTACCGGCCTACCGGAGACTGTCAAGATCTGCCGAGCATTTCGACCCGTGGCGCAGGCTCCGATGATAACGCATGTCACGTCAGCAGATGGTGGGCTGCCAAGTGGCGATTAAAATGAGACATGAAAGGATGCGGAAGGTGAAGCCTGGGACTTAGGCCAAAGCCGCAGCGGACCGGGCACGCAGTTCATGCTCTCTAGGACTGCCAGTCTGGAGGGTGTGATGATGTGTAATGCTGCACCATCTGCTGCACCTTGTCCCTGCATACCGCAAAAACCGGCCCATTCGAGATTTTGTGTGGAAGCACATAGAAGACGACAGGAGAAAAGACAATGAAGGAAGCCGGCCAATTTTCAGAGCAACAATAAGAGGCAGAACGAAGGCAATACGAGAAGCGTTTGCACAGAGTTTGCTGTCTCGTTGAACGCAAAGTTCAGGTTTGACCATGACACATGTCAGTAGATCCAAGACGAATGAACGTGGACTGAGACAAGCGACATGGACAACCGAACAGAACCACACCATGGTGAACAGTAGCCTTTTCTCAGAGTTGGTACAAAAAGTTAGCTCACAATACATGATTCTTCGATCTGCGCAATGCATCGATAGGCAAGCAAAGAGATGTCAGCAGAGTGTTACTTGTTTCACTCGACCAAAGATGTCAGAATCCAGAACAAGTCCTTACAGGTCCTCCAACCTCCTACTCAATTCATGGACACAGAGCTTTTCAAAAGCTGCCATCTAGCGACAACATGAAAGCTGCAACAAACGCTTGTTGCGGGCTCATCATTGTCGCCAAGGCGACTTCGGCCTAACAAAACTGCAAGCCTATGCGGAGGAGCGTGCTTTTCCCTGTTTCAGCCGCACTTCCGCACATGCCCGGGACCTAGACAGCTGGTGCAGCGCATAGCACGAGAAGCTTTACGCACGGTATAAGGTAAGCTTGCTTGGTGAGACGGATCTGATTGGACAAAATCAGGCCCGTCCCGTCTGTTGTGCATATTTTGTGCCCTGAAAATGCAGGGCATAGTCTGGTGTGTCATGTGGCTTGGTCTTCGATGCCGAACCGTGTCCGATCATCGCTTAGCAGCACAGCTTTTCATGTGTCATGGTGGAGGGACGACTTAACTTTTTCGAAGGGCTTGCTTCAGTTTCGCCGAAATTCCATGGCCTTTCCTGATCGACTTTATCCACAGAGCTGATCCTCCTATGGACGGTTCATGTCGATGCACGCCACGAGTCACGACCAAGCAAGTCTTACCCAGCGACACGCCAATGCCTCTAAACGTTCGAAGATGGCAGGCTTCGGCTGTGTGGTCATGACTTTGGAGTTTAGGTTTGGATGAGTTCTGTTGTGTCTGTTCTGATCATTCTGGAGCATGCAGGCTTTGCACATGTCGTTGTCATGCCAGATTCGGACATGTCCGAACACGAGTGACCAAGAGCACACTGGTGCAGGTCTAATGAGTGCAAGTCCAGCCGCGGTTCAAGCCGAAACATGGAACGTGGAACAAGTTTGAATGAATCGCGTTGCGCCATGTTACGCCGTTGTTGCATAGCCAGCCAATCCCAGAAACCAAAGCATCTCCAAACTCCAGCTTTGTTTTGTTTGGTTCCCCCGTGTATGCACCTTGACACTTACTCAGAGCCTGGGTTGCGAGTGTTGCCCCAGCTATTCACAGCAAGTCTGGTTGCATTGTCCTCTGCGAAGCATGATGGACTTGCCGGCACTTTCGGGCTGGCAGTGGCGTGCTTGCTATGCCCGATGCTGAGAGCTTGTACCCAATTTTGGCAGGGAGCATGAATGAAGTGAGCTAAGTCAGAAGTTCTTTGCACTTCTTGTTCGTAGGCCCAGCATCCTGGTGAGACTGAACCTTCCGGGGTTTGCATCTCCAGAGCCGTTCCGCAGGGCACTTAAGTACTTGAGAGTGCTTGAGGCAATGAGGCAAGATCTGCACTGCCAGCAAAGACATCGGGTGGGCACTACCAAGACAAGCAAGGTCTAGCCAATGCACCGGCATCGATATCAGGGCTGGCATGTGCCGTTCTACAAGAAATCGGCGGCTTCAACAAGGTGTCCCGGTTTCGCTACTTCTGGTCATGGGATCATGTGCCGCAGCTGTCGAATATCGAGGAGGAGCTGGAAGCTGTGCAGAATCATCTTGACCAAGTTCCTCTGAAACTGCTTGGAGAGTTGTGCCTTCTCTCGAATTCTGCTGTTTGCTGCCGCATCTACCACAAAGGTTTCGTATGATTTCGTCGTGCAGTGAAGACGCCCGAGGTGCGAGGACAAATTGATCGAACTGGCTTCCGATGCCGAACTGGCAGTACCTCGTATCGCATGAAGACATGCAGCCTTGGTCCCACAGGGCACAGCTCTGCTGAAGGTCTTCCTGGACACCGCAGAATCGCCGAAGAATCCGGCCATCATTGAGGCCAAGCCAACATGGGAGCCCGGCCTTCTAGCCGAGGGCCATTGAGGGCCATTGAGCTTTGCATGCTTTGTGTTTTGTGCACACTTCAGGTGCGGCCGAGGGATGCGCCTTCCATGCCGGAGGTTTCTCGGAAAAACCTCTTGAACCGACACATCAACAGATCACGAAGCAGCGATGGTGCCCCTGATCTTTCTGCGCAGGCCGCCGCCGGATACCGAGGGCCCCACACAGGCTGTCGCTTGTCTTACAGAGTGCGGTGTTGTACAGCACTGGTGTGAAGTGCAGGGTGGCAGACGACTGGCTTTGAGCCGGAAGCTTGGCATCGTTGGCATTCTGCATGGTGCACGTGAGGAGGTGAAGTGACGTGAGAGCAAAAGCTGTCTGCAAGCCGGCTGATCCTCCCGTCGAAGTGATGCGGGAATGTCATGCTGTGTCCAACGTAGCCTTCAACACATCAGGCTTATTTCATGACGTCCTATTCAGCCTCGGCTGGGGTCCAATAATCTCGGCCAATCAAGTTGTCCACGCCTCCAGTAACGATCACTGAGCCTCTAGCTTTTGGAGAAGTGGGTCAAGCTGGCTGCGAAGAAGCCCAAGCTGCAGCAAAAGTGGGGCCTCGGTACCGAAGCCGATGGATGCTGCCAGTATTACCAATAGTTTGTCAGAGTTCGGGATTCGTCAGTTGTGAGTGTTGTGGTTGGGCTGATGAAAGTACTTGTCCGCGAGCCGAATGGCGGGAACACTAGAGAAGCTAGCTCACGTGCTGAGAAGTGAGTCGTGCTCAGAACTCGGTCAAAACAAGACAAACTGACAACCACCGCAAGACCAGCTTGACGGATCAATTTAACAGTGGATCGAGAGCAGAAGAGAAGAAAGCTGGGAAATGCTGAAACTCTTTTGAAAGAGACAACCACCAGTTAACATGCAGAATCATACAGGTGGATGATTTACTAGACATGGACCCCTCCCCCCCGCTCCAATTCACGAAGTCAAACGATCGTCACGCGCTTGTCTCGCGTACTTCGGCACTTCGAAGGCCCGAAGGCCAGGTTGCCAGGTATGGGATCATGAAGGACTGGGCGGCCGCCTTTGGGGCTAGAAACCATCTCGGGAGACCCGACGAATCGGCTGTTTGCTGCTTAAACAACACACCATCTCGGATCAGAGTGGTGATGTGGATTGATTGGATCAGACTGCAGCATATTGCAATATTGCAACATGCCCCCTCGGAGCATGTGCAGTGCCAGCCGGCAGCACTCCTAAGCCCTTCATCACGCAAAACGGAGCTGGAGCTGTGCTGTTGGGTGTCTGGCATTGGCTTCGGCAGGAGTCATGCCGAACCAATCGAAGGTGAGCTTCCAACATTCGTATTTTTGCGCACGTTGCCGAAACTGTGTGAATTCACGGCTTGAGATCAAGACACACAGAGGGGAACCAGTGCTGCGTGAAACTTAGCCACTCAGGCAACTCAGGTTCAGCAATGAGAACAAAACTTCAACAACAAATCACAAAAGCAAGGAAACTGTGGGTATTGAGACTGCCAGAAAAATGGCAATGCCGGTTCGGCAGGTCACCAGCACGTGGGATCTCGAGCCAAGCAGGCTGCACCTGAGGGTGACGTGGAACACAGTGGGCCGACCGAGTTATGTTGTGCAAGATGCTTCCTGTCCAGGCTTTGAGAGGGAGACCTCTCTTCCTGGCAAGGCAGGGACAATTGGGGTCTGAGATGGTCTGAGCATGTGGGGACACAGGGCATCTAAACGCTCCGTTGGAGGAGCTGGCCGAGAAACTGGATCAAAGACAAAGGCATTTGTGTGGCGCATAAGATGAACAAAAGAGTCTTGCACATAGATGTAGCAGGCCTCTTCGATCGAATGGAGCCTCAGGCAAACATGTCGGCATGGAAGGCAAGCGAATGGGGCCTAGTAGGCTGGTGTTACGGCAGTCATTCTCGCTGAAGGTTGGCGTGATTCTTCTGCAAGACAATCCGAGTGGCGTCTCTGCTAATTTGGCAAGCTGTCCTCTGAGTGTCTGAACTAGTACCCCCTTGCGGCCGCGCCGCTCCCACATAGCGCGAAAGCTCGAGAGTTGCATGCAGCAGTTCCAGACAGGTCTGATCGCGACCTCAAGGAGATTTGCTGCACTGGCCAGATTGCATAAAGAATCTAAAGAACTAAAGAACATGGCTGCCACTCATTGCCGGAAGTAGGGCTTGCGAGGCAAGCTTCATGCTTCTCGCAGGAACAGTTGGAACTGCAGAAGGAGTTGGAAGAGAAAGAGAAGCAGCTGCAGTTGCAGCAGCAGGGTGCCGATATGATGTGCAGACCACCTAACCTGCCTTTATTGAAGAGATTTGAGGAGCATCTCAAGATTCGTCCGAGGCAGCAGCTGCAACAGCAGTTCGACCGATCTTCCCTGCAAACCCAGCTGGATGAGCACAGCGAGCCTGGTCACTCTCGCAGAGGGCTGTTGCCAAGTTGCACTTGGACTCTAGTGTCTCTAGTGGGTTCATTAGATGGTTAGCATGCAGAGTTCTCTCGAGGCAGGCTTTTCCATATTACGGTGAAAAGATGTGCCAGCTCTGGGCAATGTGAATGATTGCACATACTGCATCGCGCTACCGAGAATCCACTTCGAAAGAATTGCCTAGTGCTCCAACATCTCCAGCATATCACGCTTTGATATTGAGCACGTGAGTTCGTGAGTTCTGAGCTTTTTCTGTGTGTTTCGTGCTCAACTCCCTCGAGAGTTCTGGCCACTACTAGTACCTGCCATTGTCCTCAGTGAAGAATGTATCATGTTGAACACGATGATGCCACAGCAGATGCCTTTTGAACCAAAGAAAGTTCAGCAAGCAACAAGCGAAAGACTCAAGCATAAACAATGGTCCCCGATCCTGCCAAAACAATGACGAAGGGGAATGCGCTGACATGTACTGATCCATAGTGCCTAATGGGAATGAATGAAACGGGCTTTGTCAAACATCTCCCTGGCGACATGTTTCAAGGCAGCAACATCAATGTGTAAACTTGCAAGGCTTCTTAAGCGTGAAGTGCGGCGCACCTTGAGGCTTCCAGCCTCGAGCAGCTGGAACTTGCCTGAGAACACGCCGCAGGCAGCGGTTTGCCGTGTGCAAGGGTCGATGAGGGTTCCCTAAGAGCCTAGCTTAAGCCTTTGCTCAAACCAGCCTCAAAGCGCTTGATGCCGCTGCCCGAGCCCAACATCTAGCCATGGTGGCTACGTGGCATCGCAGCACGTGGGCCTGCTGGATGTGCATGTTCATTAACGGGCTGGTGGCTGGTGCCACTAGTGCTCCGATCATCATTGATACCGACATGAATGTCGACGATATGGCAGCCCTTGTCTATTTGGTACGCAGCGGCGCCGATATCAAAGGCATCACTGTGAGTGCCACTGGTTTTTCTGGGCAGAGACTTCGGCTGCATTTTAAGTCACTATGAGTTCAGTTTCCACAAAACTTCAGTGAAACTAAATTGGGCGAGAGACCGAGGGGCTACACCGATGAGTGAATGAACAGGCAACAGACTGAGGAAATGGGTTTGTGTTGTGGCGAAAATCCAGGCTTGCCGACTAGATCACCCGAGTCGCCAACTATAGCTACTGCAGGGATCTTGAGAGGGTAGTTGAAAGGAGGCGATGCTTCCAGCGGTTGGCGTGTTCTGAGTTCAAACAACCCTATTTTGGTTTTCTACACAAGTGCATAGCAGCTGCCAGATGGATCAAACCGGTTCTTAATTTTTCTGCAATAGAATCTTGAGCAGACATGTCGGCAAAAGGTCAGTCGAGTTAGGGGAGCTCATGTTGGGTCTCGGTCTAAGTAACAGGTCCGAGTAGTGTCCAAGTGATGTTTGGCGCACGTTGATGTTGATCAACACATGCAGGTGGGCGGGCGTTGACAGCGCCCTGCGGCTTCTGCACAAGCTGAATCGCAGCGACATTCCAGTAGCTTTTCAGGAAGGATACTTGGGTTCAACGCGTCTGAACCTGGACTATCCAAGCGGAATGCCTCCGTCGGAGTGGACAGAGGCCAACAACCGCTATCTCGAGCAGTGGATTGGCTTGGAGCCGAGTCAAAAGCCTGCGGCGTGGCAGAGCGCGCCTCAGCTGATCTGCCAGATCCTGCAGAGCGCGGACTTGCAGAGCGTGTTCATTTTGGAGCTGGGCCCATACACTAACCTCGCGGCAGCGCTGCACAGGAGCGACTGCGCCGCGCTGTTTCGATCGAAGGTCCAAGGCTTATATGTGCAAGGGGGCAGGCTGCATGGAGATGATGCTCAGAAGATTCAGCAGTCAGGTGGGGATCAAACGGTGATGGATGAGGAATCTTGCACCGCCTACCGAGCACTCATCATTTCGTATGTTTCCCTTTCGCATAAGCTAACACATCCTGCACTCCCATCTTGACAGTGCCACCGTATTAGGTCTGGTGCAAGAGTGTTTTTCCATCTCGAGTAGCAGGACAGGTATCATCGTAAGTCCCTTATCAGGTGCATTGCGGGGCTCCGGCCCTGGCTCTGGATTTCCTTGGACCACTGAGAAGAAGCCAAATAAGGCTTCATGGAATGTTTTTCTGGATGCTGTCTCTGCAGCACAAGTGTGGACTTTTGGTCTTGCCACTGTGGTTCTTTCGGACAATGCTTTCGAACATTTGCAGGTCGATCCCAGTGACCCAGGCATGTATACCCCTCGCAATTGCACGAACAAGCTGCTGGCTGACGTAATGCTGAACTGGGCACCAGCACACAACGCAGAGTGGTCAGGTTTGAGCTACTGGGATCAGGCCACTGCAGTTGTCATGATGCAGCAGCTTTTGACAAAGGAATCTGCCTGCCAGCGCTGGGTGGAGTCCAACATCACGATCAGCCTGCAGAACGATGCGACTTACGCCACGTACCATGAGGGAAGCCTCGGAGCACCCAGCGAGGAGCTGAAGCTTACGACAGTTCTCTAGAGTACATCCTAGGATGGAGCCTTATGTAGCCACAAAAGTCCTGGTCTTGGTTTGTTTCTCCATAGGCACCTGTAGGCGTAAACTTCAATCTGACGCAATCTCGACTCGAAAAGCATCATGGCGCTAGAGACCAAGCACTTGTTGGCATGCATTCTCAATCAGTCTCATTGCAGGCGTGCCTTGCAACATCACGGGTGGCTCTCCTCAATGACTTCTACAGCGCAGGGTGCGCATGATGGCACCACCTTCATTCTGCTCGGCGCATGAATTCAGTTCGCCATCTAAGAGCGAGTTAACCAACATGATACCAGAATGTACAGCACCGATGGCTGCCCTGAGACCCCTGACACTCGCAACACGTGAGACAGCCGGAGAGCCATCAAAAAGGGCTTGAAGGGCGAAGTCGTCGCACATCTATCATTGTCTGTTTCAGGCCTTCAGGGTCTTGACAGGATTCGCAAAGGATATCCAGGCTGCGAGATGGAAGCTCAATGATCCCGACACACCCCGTGATACCCCCAAAGGAGCAAGACATAGCAAGACTAGCATGACAGAGCATGGAGAATCCGAGTTGTGTCACGGGTTGTCCGTGTCTGCAAAAAATATGCTGAGTGGTCGTTCCAGGTCCCGGCCAACCAGACCTTGCGTCACTCGCCGTCTGCACCTGATTTCGCGCAGCTCCTACGGTATCATACTGTACGTACCAGTGCCACATTCATTGCAGCGGCTCACCTTATGTCACCCGGCCCAACGTTGTTTCCGCAGGCCAGAGGACAAGACAAGCCAGGCGAGGTTGCACTGCCGTGTCAGTTATGCTTGACGGATCGTACAAACCCAGCCGGAGTCTTTGCCACGTTTGCGACAAAGCGGGCCTTGGAACCAGCATTGGTTGCTGGTCCTCTTGGCCTTGCTGGGGAGCACTGCGTTTCGACATGTTTGGTGGTTGCACCAGCACTGGCATTCTTTTTCTACTGCGATTAGCCAGCACGTGTTCGTCCGAGATGCTGCAAGACGACTTTCCCGTGTTAATGGCATTCATTACGTCGTGCAAGCAGTCTCTTATTCTGTTTCCCGTGCAGTGATACACACAGACACACACGCACACGCGCACGCGCACGCGCACGCGCACGCGCACGCGCACGCGCACGCGCACGCGCACGCGCACGCGCGCGCGCGCGCACGCGCACGCACGCGCACGCGCACGCGCGCACGCGCACGCGCGCACGCGCACGCGCACGCGCACGCGCACGCGCAGCGCGCACGCGCACACCCACACGCACACCCACTTGCACACCACACGCACACCCACACGCACACCCACACACGCACACAACACGCACACCCACACGCACACCCACCCACCCGCCCCACACCACACCCATCCACCCGCCCACACACACACACACACACAAAAGTATTCGACTCTGTGTTAGTTAGTTTGTCTTTCTCAAAGACTTGCGTGCTTGGTGCCTTTCATCAGTTCTGCATCTGAAGTCCTGCAATGTTGCGGGTACTGCCGGCAGGCCCCGCAGGGTCCGGTAGAAGTCTTGTTCCGTGGTGCCTCAGACAAGTTGGGCCACGGCTTCGTAGCACTTGCCTCAGATATAGGGCACATATCAATGTCAGCGTGCGTTAAGGCCTGGGCAGTCAGCTAGGCAACAGAGGTCTGTCACGCAGACTCCTCGGACTCTTCCATCACATGTCCACACCAAAGATCATTGTGGGCAGATCATGGTGCTGAAGGCCCGATGCTCCGAGACGCTCTGGCAGTGCTGGCCTAATCGGATTGCGCATGCGAAGCACATCTCTCGTAGAGCAGGCGGTCAGTTCTCGGAATCATTGTTACAATGTTTGAATCGGTCTTATCTGCAATGCCGAGGATCGGCAGCCGAACATGAGGTGCCATTGGACTACACAGTGCGAGAGTATTGCAAGGCATGTTTCACCAATTTTCACCATGGACACTTCCAGGGCGCGGGGACATTGCGTGCTGCCAGTTCCGGGAGAACATCGGCGCGAGAACGGGAGGCGCAGGGTGCATCAAGTGTGCTCCCGCGGGGTATGTTACTACGTTTGTGCAATTTCATACATTTCTGGATCATGCTGGTGTGCCCTGATTCGGCATCTAGATTGTGGCAGGCATCTGTGGTATGTAGGGCGCCGAATTATTGTGCACTTTGCACGTCCACCTCATCCCCTCAAGCCTCAAGCCCGCTGATTGTCACAGATTCCCATAAAAGCCCTCCACAAAACGTTGGGACCTTTTGAAGCATTTGGCTTCAGGCACCTGTGCACGTTCGACTCTACCAGGACAGGCCTTGACTTTGCGAGGGTGCTTGTCTTTTAGGGGAATGTTCTGCCGCCTATTTCTATAATACCCCCTTGTGAATTATTTTTATATTTGTTTATTTTGTTTATATAAAGAAATATTTTTTTAAGGTTCTAAGGGGAGTATAGAGGTTGGCCTGCGAGGAGAAGGATGATCGCCGAAGACGCCTGGAACAGGCCACTGATCCCAGCCCATCCTCGATTAGCCATGAAGTCAGAAGCTGTCTTCAAGAACATAGTGGATCCATGCAAGCATGACATTGCACGTTTTGCACATGAGTTCCGCCGCTGAACTCGATACCTCTGTTCAAAGTTCCTTTCTGTCTCGTGCAATGAAGTTGGGATGCTTAGACAAACCTGCGGACAAGCTGTCTTTGATCAGCATATCGACGCTCGCTTCTGCAGGCTCGGCTGCGGCGCTTGGAGCAGGAGGAGGAGGTCTCACACAAGTGCACTTCTAGAAGACTGAAGCCCTGCTACCTCCCACGCAAAGCACCATGACTCCAAATGGGCCCTTGTGCTGCTTCACATCTTTTGGAGGAGCTCCGAGCAGCAGCTGAGAGAGCTTTGGGCAGGCAGCCGAGCCCGGCCAGCAGGGACCCTGGCTTTGTGAACATTGAGTGAACCTCGGCCCGCCTGGTTTTGCCATGTTTTGCCCTTGGTGTGAGCTTCTTGGTGGGGCTGAGAGTCATAGGTCGGGGTGCGTCGAAACTTAAGCCTTAAGGGGCGCGCCGCGAGATCCGCGAGCCAAGCCCAGGTCGAGGTCCAAAAGACAACGTGATCACAGAATCTCGACAAACTGGGGCAACTTTGCCTTTCCGATGTGCAGGCAAAATGCCTGCAGCCCAAAGCAACATCTCGGCCAGGGTCTTAAAGCCGTACCAGTCATCGCTCCACTGCCTACGTTTGCATCATTGGCCTCAGAGGTGGGCAGGGAGACTGGTCTCAACTCACCGGCTGGAAGGAGACCTCCAGTTCCCGACAGGCATGTGAGCCTTAGAGAGGGTTACAGGAGCCTCGAGAGCCTTCCTGTGAGCCTTGGAGCATTTGCTTGTTCAGTGTGAGGCCAGCGAGTGCTGGACGTCGTCCAAGTGAAGGAGCCCCGAGATCTGCACAGAGAGGTACACAGTATATAGACTTTTTGAGCGAAGAAAAGCATCTCTGAGAGCTTTCTGAAGCCTGCCCCCAGGAGCAGCGAAAGCCCCGACGCGGTCACGACCCCAGATCTGCCACAGTGCCACCGAGCTGCTACTGCATATTGCTGCATACCGCCGCTGGCAACACTGAGCATGTTGAAACGAGTCACATTTGAATGAATTCGACGGGGTCCGCTTGTCGATCGGTTCGAGATGCGGCACGAATTGCACCTTCTCTACGGGCTCTTTGGCTCTAGTTTCCTGGCTCATGATTCCAAGGTGTTACAAGGCTATAGCTGGAGAATCTGATGTTGGGGGCGCTCTCGTTCCCGTTGTTTAGTACTAGTATTGTTCGGGTGTATTTAGCCCGTACAACTCCCTTAAGAACAATATTGAGAATTACATGGCAATTTATGCACGCCGTGTGAATCGTGTTATTGTTAAGGGGCCTTTAACTATACCATCATCGCGCACTTACGATACTTCTATTCATGCGTGCGCTAAGTAAGAGTATTAGAATTAACGGGGCTCGCTTCACTACTCATAGGAAGAACAATGTTTAAGAGAGTGCGGCAATGCCAGGATACTGCTTACAGACAAAGATGCGGATTTGTTTCGCTCTTTGCTGTTTGAGTTTTTCGAGGAGGGCTATCTCACGCAACGCTTGATTTCCCAGCAGAGACTGCCCCTTCGGCAACCTAGTTCGATCAAGCAGTGTGGCTCGTAACGGGGGCATCTATGCCGCCAAACGGCAAAGTTTCATGGAATTCGCTCCAGAATAGAAGGAAGCGAGAGCTCGCAGCCTCTGGTAGCCTCATAATTTAAATGCCACGCGACCCGCTTCGGCCTTGACGGGGGGGAGAGGGAAGGGGGGGGGGGCTCCTACGGCCCGTCGACGGATAGGGGAGCGGGGTAGCGGGACTTCATGGGATGCTCTCATGATGCTTCCAAGAAAGCCTCTAACAAAACAATCGCAAGGGGTTCTTCAACCTTCTTTACAGTTTGTTGATTTTTTGAGTCAGTTATCGCCGCCTGAATATGGACAAATCCAATGTTCCGCAAAACGCTGCTTCCGTTACTTATGATCATGCGGCACTTTAAATCTTGGAGCTGGCCAAGTGCAGGAAGAGATGGCGCCACGACCGTGCGCAGAAGCAGGCCTGCATGCAGGCAAGTGAGATTTCAGTTTCCTGTATGTGCAGTTTGCAAGTTAGGAGTCTGAGCACAATTATGGCGATGCCGTGCGCAGGGCCCAGAAGTCTTTGATCCCGAACGGGTCTCACGATGTCTCGAAGAGTGCACCGACCCTGCACAGTTCCATCCGATTCAGGCTAGCGAGTGGAGGCGCCCTGGAGACGTCCAGTATTGCCTCCATCGCTTCGGACCCGGGTGACCCCGCGGGTGGTCGGCAGCTTTGTGCACGTCACGGTGTCAATCCTGCGGTTAACGATGGCAAGCACAGTTGTGCGAGTCGAGGCCAGCACAGCCTAGTTTCTGTTGGAACTGGAGTTGAGGATCGCAGCATCGTTGTCGGATCTGCGCAGCGTGGTGGGTTTCAAGTTCGTGCTCCCTTGGTGCAGGACAGCGTATGTGGCGAGGCGGCCGGGTCCACCGGACAGGAAGATGAGGCAGCGTGGCTTTTGAGAAAAGGTAGGCTTTTCTGAGGAGAGTGCTTGGGACTGCTAGCTGCGTTCTGCGGTTATGTCGATTGTTGTTCTCTACCGCTGAACAGCCTGATGGTCGCGACGACAACGTGCGACTTTTGAGAATCCCTAGTGGCTGTGGTGGTTAAGCCTTCAGTCATAGCCTTCCTCAACACTTTTCAAGTGAGGACTCTGTCAACTCGAGGTCAGACAGCCAAGTAGCTCTTTATCCAACCCCCAAACACCGACTACTCAGCACACGTACACACACACAACCCAACTGCCAGCTGTTAGCTTCATCCCGCATCCAATCTTGTCGCTGAGGTTCAGCGTCTTCGACAGATGGCGAGCATCTAAGTTGACACAAAGTCATCACAAAGCCGTGATTCATCGACAGCAATGAATTGCTGGGTGCATTGCAGTGCGAAATGGCTACTCAAGCAGTGCTGCCCAGGTTTTCTTGTCTTGCCGATGCTTGTGCTCTTTCTGAGGTGTCTTCCCAGCAGCAGAGGACGTGCTTGCAATTCTTCCAAGAAGTGCTCATGTGCACTGTCTCTCCGTTGGAGCATGTCAAGTTTGTGGGCGCAGTGCGAATCGAGAATTTTATGCGCGTTTGGCTCTCAGGGGGGGGCACATACGTGCAGTCATAGAAGACTGCTTGTTTGCGGCCCGCAGCATCCCGTAATGCTGCCACCACCGATGTGGCCATCTCTCAGTTCTGACAGGTGGGAACACTGCTTTTGCAATTGACAAGGTCAGAGATGATCTACAATGGCTCCTGCTGTTTCTGTTGCTGGTCGGTGATGTGCCGGCTGTGTCTTCGTACGCTCTTGCAAGTCATATTATTGCGCGCTCTCATAATACTATTTGTATTCACTTCTCTCCTCAATCTTGTTCAACCCTACCATGTGTGGACATGGGTGGTCCAGGCTTGCTATATCTTGCGCTTCTTGTCGCGGTGCAATGTCTGTGAGGCAGGCCGCTCACTTTCATTCCCAGGAGGAGGCTGGAACCTGAAGGGATTCGATCGTAGAGGTTGTGGCCAAAATTGTTTGCAAGTGGATTGTGCTCACCATGTGCAGGCTCATGAGCCGCTCGACGCAGCTTTCCAGAAGTGCCTGGAAGAAGGCACGTGTGCACCGTGTGCGTGGTAGAAGTGACATGATGTACACGTCCCGCAAGCCTGAGCTCAGGAGACTTTGGCAACGACCGCCAGAGACTCCAGCAAGCCTGTGGTTTGCACAGCCCCGTCGATGCCTCTGCTGCGTTCTACAGTGCTATTCGCTCTCAGCACAGTGGCAGGTGCTGCCATGCTTCAGCACGGGACAGTTGCAAACGGCCGAGGCTGACACATGTTTTCATTTTCTCGTGCGTCATGCGTCATGCCTGCCTAGCCTTCTCACATCTTCTCACAGTCTCACATGCTCTCGCATACTCTCACATACTCTCAGATACTCTCACAACTGGCAGTTCTCGCAGGTTGTGCACTTGTGCACGGCCATTGGAGCAAACCCGCATGCATTTGACGACTGGCTGGCGCTGATAAAGCAAGCTGTGGGCCCAGCATGGAACAATGGCATGGTCGCTTCAGACATCCGGGAAAACATCGCAACTCATGGCAACTCGTAAAGCTTGCAAGCGCTGCCAAGCTGCGTGTCCTGCTGAGGTTGAAGCCCATGGGTCAGTCGAGGAAAGATCGAGTTTGTGAGAACCTTACGGCTTACTTCCGCATATTTCCGCATACAGTGCTTCAGTTTCTGTGCCAGACTCCTAGTGCGCGCAGGTACGAAGCCTTTCTTGCAGAGTTCCCGCTGTGTTGGGGATACTGGAAGAGGTCCGTATTCTGGGTTGCCTGCACTAAGTCCCTAAGCCAACCTCCTGAAAGTGTGTAGCTGTGCAACTGTCGACCCTGAACAGGCTGGCTGAACTGCAGACCCAACAGTGCTGGCGGCTCAGAGCGGCATATCTTCTGTTCTTGTTCCTTTTCATCTCTTGGGACTCTTTGGAATTGGAGCATATGATAAACATGTCAGTCTGTGCTTGGCTCGGAGAAAAGCCAAAGCCCTGAAGCTAAGCATGAGCCTTTCCTACCCCTCCAACGCAGAGGCTGGGCATAAGGTGCAGTGGTGGCGTGTGCTAGTGTTTTTTTCTGTAAATAACGCAAGCAATTCTTCAGAGCGCCTGCGCGGTGCCCCGAGCAACCATGATACAGCGGATGGCATAAAGGCATGGACAGCCATGAGGCCAGCGTTGCAGTGATTTACAACCAGCATAAAAGTTCAGAGATGTGGCTGTAGAGTGCTGTAGATGGCCAGCTTGGTCAGGCATCGCCTAGTAGGTCGGCCAGCAGCACAGCAGCGTTCCCTCGTCGTGATGGAGGCCTTTTGCAGGCCGCGTTCCCAACCCAGGGAGCCTTTGCAACAGTACAAGAGTGAAAATCTCTAGCAGATGACCGCAGGAGTCAGCGGCCTTTCCAGAGACAAAGGACTTGAGATCTGATTGCCATTAGAGCACAAGAGCAAGTCTTTGTTGTGACTGCGTGTGGTGATCAGTAAGCTTTGTGTGCGTGCTTTTCACCTTGCTCCTTTGCTCCGCACTGCTGGTTGTTGCCGGTTCGCATGTTGTAACACCTAGTGTAGCACCATCAGTACTATCAGTAAGCCGCAACCGTGAGAAGCGGCACAAAGGAGAGTCACGGAATGGAAGCAGATGAAGCAGATGTGAATCAGTTTTTTGGATTTTGGGCCTGTCCCCACATAAATACAAAAGCCCGAACGCCAAATACGTCGTTTTGTACATATCTCTTGTACATATAGGTTCATACATGTTCAATACAAACACAAAGAATGGAGATATCATCAAACAAGAAAGAAACCACATTAAACAAGCAACAGCAAATCAAATCACCCAGCTTTTCCGTCCGGGTGGGGCGCGCGCGCGCGCGCTCGTGCTCGCCAGCGCCGGACCTGGTTTCGGGGCTTGCTTGAAGCCCCTAGCCAATTCCCAGGCCACCACCCCCCGCGCAGGGGCCCGAACAGGTGAGCGTCCATAAACATGCGAGAGCCACAGTATTTACAGCGTTTGGGAGAACTCAACGGAGAGAAGCGGGGAAGTGGACGGGCATCGCTGCGTCTTCGTCCCGCGGCGGCGACAATCACACAGCTACATCCTTCTTGTTTCCGGCCCAGAGCCCTAAACCCGGCAACCCTCTAAACCCCAAAACCCTAAGCCCAAGAGTGTTAGCTGGGCGTCTGTTCGGCTGAAAAACCGGGTTGGGGAAGGGTTGGGCGCGGGGGGAGAGGGGGCGGCGGGCAGGGAAGGAGGGCGGAAGCATCTGAGCAGATGCTTATGATTCTTATGATGCTCAGCTGATGCTCATGATGCGCCGGACGGAAGGGCCAAAGGACCCCAGCTGATCCTCATGATGCGCACCGTCCCCAGATCAGCACCATTCGAAGCTCATGATGGCAACATGTGGAAAACACGGTATTTGCGGCAGTTTCATGTGTTGGAGCAACAAAACGCCCCAAAATCCGGCAAGGAAGCGGAGGTCTGCCGGTGATGCTGGCCATCCCGGGGCCCGTCCACCCTAGGGTCAGCGGCATGAGCTAGCTAGCCTTAGCTAAGTCATCCCGTTAGGGATAATATGGATAATCCCCATCGTCAGGATCTGAAGAACTTGTCATTGTGGTGGGGAGCGGCCGAATCGAGAACACCTTACGGCGAGTGCTGGAATTGGCTCGCTTTTTGAGCGGCGGTGAGTTCCGTGCGGAGTGAAGAAGTCCACATGAGATCGGGGGGCCCGAAACCTCCGAGTCCCCCCATCTTTCTCATGGTCGACGAAAAACGAAAATGGTGGGTCGGACCTCAGAATCTATCAATGGTCCCATGGTCACGTCCTCCACGGAGAAGCTGCCCAGGTACCCTCCCGCTCCTGCGTTTCAAGGTTTTTTGGAGGTTCCCTCCCCAAAGCTGTTCAACGCGACGCCCCATGTTACCAAGCTGTGCGGTCAGCGCCGAGAAGTTACCGGAGCAACACGAGCATGCCCCCGTCATAAATTACCCTTAATGGCTGACGCTACACTTCGGTTTCAAGATGTTTCAATAATGCTTTCGCGTAGGATGAGGACGAACCTCAACCTGGTGTTGTCTTGAAGCTTGCAGAGGTTCGACCCGCATCCGACACTCCCTGTTCTGTTCCTTGGGTATTTGCGTGCGGTCAGGTCACAGGGTGTGATTTAGACACTTGTTGCGCGGCTCTTGTAGCATGCTCGAGCCTCAGCAACGGGTCTGGTGTTCCAAGTGTTTGGCACCGGTTTTGGCAGTTTGCCAACGCCACATGGTGCCTTGAGGCGACAACAATTTTCACGCGGCTCTTGACCAGCTGCGCAGCGTTGGGACCGAGGCCGGGGTTTCCGATACGTCCCCGACCGCCCCACCGCCCCACCAACATTTCGGAGCTTCTTCGGAATACAATACTCATCGACTTATCGGTGCTTCTCATTGTCTGTATGTCTGAGTCCTGATGGCAGGAGGTGGGTGCCAAGGCCCGTGCTCAGATGAGAGCCGCATTGCAAATGCTACTGGGCTTTCCCAAATATATTTTGCCACATCATTCAAGCACACCTTTCATTTTAGCAGCAGCACTGTCTACTGATTGCCGACAACAGACTACAAACTACGATTTTCTTCCGGTTCAATTGCGTCCTTGAATACCCTTGAGTCACAGGGCATCCAGGCAGGACTTTGGGAGAGTTTCGGGCGTCTGCAGAGATCAGGTCGATTTTTCAAGACTTGCCTGTTTGCAGATGCGCTATGCAAGAAAAGCTGGCTTCCCAGAATATCCCAAAGCCCAAGACATGAAGTACAGTGACAGTGCTGGAGAAGGTTTAGCCAAGGTACCCTGGATTTCTTACTTATGAAGCCCAGCCATTTTCCGGAGTTAATTCTGAGAGTATCCTCGATTTCTAATCTGTTTTTGAATTGGGATTCGGGCTGGTATTCTATGAATTAGTAGGGCGACGCCTTATCCACGGTTCCCTTCCCTTTCATACGATACGAAATCCAGCTCCCTCCGCCCTCTCTCAAGTACGTAGAAATCCAGCTCCTCAGTTCTTGTTTTTGGGCATGGGGTTCGAGCGGCAATCAAGAAATTGAAGGGGCCGTTGCAAAAACAAAAACCAATTTTTTGAAATTTTGGTCCCTAGAATGAGGGTTCTTAATTTAGTTTTGCTGTCCATTTACGCGTTTTAGATGGGGGTCCCCACACGAGGGTGCTCGTTTCTTAAACCAATGATTGCTTAGGCAGTGCTGTCACTGTAGCACCAGTCCGTTGAACATGTAGGGGAGGTCATTGGACATGCTCAGGCTCGAGCGGGCGCGTGCCGGCCGTTCTGTTGCACGCGGAGCGCTTGGGAGTGCCTGGGTTGTTGCGGCGGTCCTTCTCCACGCCTTCGAGTACATGCCACCTGGTCACACAATGCAACACAAGAGATCTTTTCAACAACTCTGAACACCTTGAAAGCCCGACGCGTTGTAGTGCCACTTGCCCAAGGAAGCTCAGGACAGCAAAGAAAGCAAGCATACCGATCGAACATCCGATGTTTGACAAACGTTTGCCAGCTCATGCAGCGGAGAACACTGTTGTGAAGCAGCTGGTGAGGGAAGAAAGGAGTTGGAAAGATCTTAGCGGCTAAGTTCAAGGATTTTTTTTTTTGATGGCTGTTTCTCTTGAGGCCAAAGCGCTTCCTGGAGATTCTGCTTGCACTTGTTGGCGTCCGTGTCGACGGACCCTTTGGACTGCTGGCGTTGACTCTTGCCATATGCGAACCATATTCAGTCTGGTTGTCTCATTTTTCTCCTGGCATCTTAAAAAATCTTGTTATTCGTATCTCCTGTTCTTTGACTTACCACGGGATCTTTCTGAATGCTCTCTGGCAGATGGCACTAGTGGTGTGGAATGGCGTGAAACAGTTTTGAGCTCAGTGTTGACGAGTGACTTGAGGACTGGAAGCATCTTGATTGCTTTGCTGGCAGTTGTGGCATCTTGACTGCCCTTATGGAGCTGCGCACCAATAGCCAGCACGTCTTTGTCTTCAGAATCTTGCAGCAGGTGCTTCTCCGTGACCTGGACGGATTCTTGAATTCGGAGAGCCTGGAAGGAAAGGTGGGCTAGGCTAGCTTGAGCAACGCATGTACAGTGCTGACCGTCACAAGACGGGTGCGAAATGTACAAAGTCATCATCAGCCTCAGTTAGGGGCAGCAGATGGAAACTCGGTTGTAGCGAAAACGCCGACCACCGCCGGCCGGAGCCGACGCCCCATGCCACACCATCTTGCAAAGGGGTTTTAAGTTACTTATTCCTTTTGAGAAGGCGCCTGGTGCTCTTGTGGAAATGTTGTGGAATCTCCCGTCCGGCCCGTCCGGGCTCTGCATAACAAGAGAGGCTGACAAGAAACGGCAGGAGAGCCTAGAGATCCTTGCAGCTGTGAGGTGGACATTCCAGTGGACTGCAAGTATACCAGAGGGCCCTGGCGATTGTGCCAGCATGTGTTGACCTGTGGGTGCCGTCCTCATAAAATCGTGCCAGTAAAGCGTAGGATGTGGCCTGATGTGGTCTGTTGAGTTTGTTATGGTCTGATTATGGCTGATTGATGCACTGGTGGGTCTCCTGCCGAGGTTCAGTATTGCGAAGCCGCAATCTTGAGCAATGAGGTGGAGGAGGAGCATCCCATGTGGCAAGCCATTTCCAGTTGGCTTTTGTCCCATGATGTGTCCTAGTACATCCTAGTACCCTGCCAGGAATCGCTTCGAAGGATATTCGAGAAGGCCGTCGAGACGGTTGGACATGACTGGCGCAGAGGACTCAGACAATGGCCGGTGGCCGCACTTGGGCTCGGACTGGCATTGTGTCAGCATAGCACGTCCTGATTCGTGCCTGTGCATTTGAGCTATCGAAGTTCGCAATGCGAGGTGCCTTTTCCTTGTGGGACATCTATTTCAACTTTGAGGACTGGCCTGATTCGTGCTTGCAATGCTCATTGATATTGCTTGAATGCGGTCGGAAGCGAAATACGAAAAAAAAAGCAGTACCCAGATCTGCAACTGCGACTTGCCCAACTGGAACAGAGATCCCCTTGCTATCAATGAACAGATGACACACATAAGAAGGTGGGGATCGTTTGCTTGCTCGCAAATGATCGCAGCTCCTGCCAAAGTGCATGCCACTGACGATGGCTGTGACCAGGAAAAGGGCAGACGTTGGAAGCGTTTGGGTTCGCTGCTCCAACGTGCCCTCGTCGACACCTCAGCATGGCTTCTGAACTATGCTCAACAACCTGTTGATGAACAAGTCGCCCACGCAGGCCATTCCTATGCAGGGTTTGCCAGTGGGGATCCCAAAATCTGTGGCTTAAGCTGCAATCAATTGCTGCCATTCTTTTCGCTTTCAACTTAGGCAGTCCGGGTGCGTCTACGCTCGTTAATTCTTGGAGATGCAGCTCCCCCTTTAGAGGCTTCGAAACTTGGACGTCTATTGTGTCTTTGCTGTCGGCTGCATTTTGCTTCAAGCCGTCGTTCAGGAGCTGTGCTCTGAATCGGTGCTCGACAAGCTTGGCGGACAGCCCGAGGAGCCCCGGCTACCTGCGCGAGAGAGAGAGAGGAAGAACAAAAGACAGACAGTGACAAAAAGTGACAGAGAGGGCTCCTCAAGGGGCTCTTACGGGGGCTCTTCTGCCAAGTTTTGTAAGAACAGGCATAAGTGTGCGTGAGGGGTAGCGGCACAGGCCGAAGTGTAAGGCTGCCAAGGGCTGAAGGTTGTTCATCAAGCGAGAGTTCATCCAGTGCATTGCAGGTTCCGGGGCACGTTGGGAGTTTAGACCCGTGAGCTATGCCTATGCCTCTGACATTGTCGAGATCATCCTGACCAATCGCAATCTCATCTTTGCCCTTCCCCTCCCCTTGCTGGGCAGGACGAAAAGGGCACTGACAAGTATGCTGACAAGAGCCACACGCACAACACCCAAAGCATGCTCAAGGACATTCAGGTTATTAAAGGTTAATTTCTTGCTGACTTGTGTGGCTCATGTTCTTCAGCGTCTTACCTCCTGCAACTGCGCTTTGTTATGCTCTGTCATTGGTCGCACATGATGTTGAAGATGCGAGTTGACCAGCTGCGTTAACATCTGCGGCTTTTGACTTTTGAAATTGTGTGTACAAGCGCATGTTTGTGCCAGAACAGTTGCTCCTGATGCTCCCCGTACTTGAGCATCCACGAAACCGAGCTTGCAATCTGTACTTGCACTTCACTTAGCTTGACGGTGGGAAAGGGGTTGCCCCGTGCAGTGATACGCAAGCGCAGGCCTTCCGTCCCCACCCATCCCGTGGGCTTGCTATTCAAGTCGGTTCCAGCTGTTCTTGCCCTTTCCCATTCTGCTCGATCGCTAGATCCCGAACACCATAGATGTCCGTAAATGAAAGACCAGATCGGCCTGTTTTGTCGGCTTTCGAAGGAGAACCAGGCGCTTGGGACGCAGTCGCAGCCGCTGCTGCCGCTGCACCCGGAGGCCAAGGAGATGGAGGAGCGCAAGCGTGAACAAATTAAAGAACGCTTCACGTCGGACATGACGGACACTTCAACCCTTGCCGATCCCAAATGTGTTTGCCATGAGTGTTTGTGTTGGTGCGATTTGTCATGCGTTCACATGTGCTTGCTGGACAAGGATGGAGAAATCGAAGAAAGCGATGAGTCAGACAACGATGGCGAGATAGATGAGGGAGAAGACGAGCGACCTGTAGACACTCATCCGGAAGTCCAGGTACAGCTCCTGCAAGAGCAATGAGATCTGTTGCATAAAGTGCACGCAATGAGGGCATGGTGGGTCTGCAAGGTGGTTCCTCCTGCAGCTGCATCTGTGACACAGCCAGCCAAGGCGGCTGTCGAGGCATGTCTGCTGGCTTCCCATTAGTGACATGAGCGTAGATCAAGGCTGGCTTGAAAAGACGGGGCGGGGAGTCCGGGATGGGCCGGATGGGTGGGTCTCGCGGCTCGCGGGAAGCGCGGAAGGGTGGAACAGGCTTGGGGACCTGATAAACATTCCACGAACGAAGACTTGCAACAACAGAGCCTTGCCTCGTCGTTTGGGTCGTTTGCGTCGGGGCAGGCGGGGCTGGTGGCCGACACATGCGGCAAACCCTAAAGCCCTACACATGCACATGCTCCAGAATCTGCCTCCCTCCCTCCTTCACACTGATTTCACACCTCGCTTGTTTTGCCCATGGGTTGCATTGTTCTGCGCTTCTGCGAGTGACATGGGCAGCATTGCACAAGATTGAAGATCCCCATGGCATTCCTGGCCAGGAGAAGACAACAAACCATGGGGAAAGCTTCTTAAACCTCCGAGAGGCGTGCCGAGTTTTTAGAGATGCTCTCGCAAGTTGAGCGAGGGACATGTGAAATTTCGTGATCGCGGCATTGCGGTATAAGCCTTCTGGTTGTTCTTCGTGGCTGTTGTGGCTGTTGTGGCTGTTGTGGCTGTTGTGGCTGTTGTGGTTGTTGTGGTTGTGGTGGTGGTGGTGGTGGAGCTGGTGGTGCTGGTGCGGGTTCTGGTGGTGATGACAAGGAGCTATGGAGCCGAACGTCCTCGCAAGCAGCCATTCTCATGCAGTATGAGGCTGGGCGGGGTTCTGCCTTGCTGAAGCCGGAGGGCGAAGGGTGTTTTCTTTTTTTGTCTCACCCAGGCGCCGCTGCACCGACAGTACTTCCACAACAAGCCCCTCAGTGCAGCTCAATTGGATGCTTGGCGGGCCTACCTGGACTTTGAGGAGTTGGCAGCTGAGCTTCAAGTCTGTGATTTTGTGAGAGTGCATCCATGTGATGCCCGTAAACCCTAGGACTCTAGACTCCAGGACCCACTAGGACTGATGTCAGCCAGAGCAGGTCGCGCCGCCCGCGTGAGTGGCAGCGCCTTTGTGCTCTGTTCGAGCGCTGCCTGGTGCTCCTGCCAGATCTTGGGCAGAATGCGCATCACAACACCATCGCATCTGTTGAAAGCTTCACTTTCGGATTTTAACATCTTAAGCATACTGACACGCTTCAACAGATCGTCACGAACAACTACTTGGAGTTTTGGCTTCGATATGCTCGGGCTTTGCAAGCCATGGAGGCTTTCACCGGGGCGGTAGCTGAGCTTCAGAAGCAGAAAAGGGCAATTGGCGCCTTGAGCGGCTCTTCTTGATATGCAGGTAGAGCAGTCCGCTTCCGCGAAGCCAGAGGCTTCTTGCAGCCTGCTGCGAGGTGGGTCAAGTTGAGATACAGTAGCACTTTGCGACCATCTTCCGCTTCCCACCAGCTTCCAACAGCAAAGGTGCCTGCCTCAACGGCCGCTTGTCACGCCGGCCGGATGCGCTGGCGGCTTGGGCTGAACTGGAGGCCAACGATAGGATCAGCATCCCGTGGCGCCACAGAAAAACAGTTTTTGCAGGAGCAGTGTGGACGTTTACATCGTGCGAGTGCTTTACTTGATGCTGCCTTACAGACCTGTGGCAACTAGCTTACATCTCGCAGGGTCTTTCACAGAGTCTTGCACTCGTGAAATGAACAAATGAAGCATGGCCTCGACTCAGATCTAAGGCCAGAACTCCACTGAACTTGTGATACGAAGAGTGGCGTTGGAGATGCGCAGATGTGTTCCGGGCTTGGACGAACATGGGAGAAGATGAGGAGTTGCCGTTGCCATCACGTGTCACTTAAGGATGCCGCATCCGCCTTATCTCTGCTGGAGGGCTTCGTGTTGACGACGGTGGATCTAAAGTCTCGAGCATTCTTGAGTGTGCTGCCAAGACGAGTCTGAACTAGTTGAGGTATGTATTGGGAGCTTGTACCGGTTGCCTCAGTGGCCCAGGTCGGCGATACGCACGGCTCGCTGAGGCGAACAGAACAAACATAGTGCAAGCTACATGTGCCTTTGTAGGTGGTGCTTTGTGACGAATGCCTAAGCTCGGCGATATTTTCATCCGTTGAATCGCAATTGTTTGACGGTGCTTCTCGATAGACTCTGAGGACTGTCTGAGACAGGCCCACAAGGCTGCTGAGACGGGGCCCCAGCGTTGAGCGAATGAATCTGAATAGTGATTGAGTAAGTTTTGACTGTTCGTTGATGCTTTCTTCCAGGTTTCTGATGGATGCATGGATTGCCGGGTGTCGCGAATGTGGCTTGCTGCTGGAGCTCACGTCCCGCCGCATCGTTTTTGACGTAGTCCTTGTATGTCCAGGTTTGATGACATGCGCGGCACTCCTGCCAGGTCCCTGATCATGCGCACGGCGCCTGGCCGAGCGGAGGCACAGGACGCAGGCGCCGCAATGAGTTCGCATGCCTTTGCTATCTATGGAATCTATGGCTTCTTGCAGAGTTTTCTTCCCTGAGTTGCTCTGCAGGCCAGGCCAAGCTGTCGAGATGCATGGCCCTGTTCGAGGAGGTTTCGGTCAGTTTGAGAAGATCAGGGGACCTCAGATCTGAACCGTGAGGTGATTCATCCAGTGTCTTGGACAGGCTATCCACGATGCAGGAGTCAGTCAAGCCCTTGACCGCACGTCAGCTGCCGAAGAGGTCCGGCAGCCCTGCATCTCACCTAGCTCGAAGACATGTCAGCTATACTCAGGTCAGCCAGCTGTGGGCTTGCTATGTCGATTTTCTCCTAACTCATGGAGCTTCGATACAGATTCTGCAAAATGTCCAGGCGAGATCACTCACTGTGCTCATTTCACAGCCGCGTACGTCCGTGGCATGTCCTGACTCTGGCACCTGTATCATGACCACTCTTGAGGACAGGGCACGGAGCTTCCGGTGCCAGGCTGGATGCTGCACAGTGTGCCGGCCACTGCTCCAACACAGACTCCACCGCAACGCAGGCCACGTCTAGACCGTCAATGCCTACCACCCCTACAAAAAAGAAGCGAAGATCGTTTGATCTCAGCAAGCATCTTATGCGATCGGTGCCCCACTTCTTCTGCTCTTGCCTGTCGCTGCTTTTGAGGTCCAGAGAACACCTCGAGCGCAGCATGTAAGATGGCCGTGAATCAAAAGCAGGTGGAACTTTGCCAGCTGGGTTGCGGTCAGCACCTGTATATATCAGCGCAGCAAATTGCACGACGACCTGTACCTTGTGACCCTTTACAGGCGAGATGCGATACTGCGGGCTTGCAAGCACCTGTGCAGTCTGGTCAGAAGCCGAGGAAAGCGGTGTGTGCAACATGATGCAGGTCAGGGCAGAAGTGGCAGTGTCAGCAGCATGAGCCCGAAAGTAGCAGCATAAGCAGTAGCATGAGCATTGAGCAGCAGCAGCAGAAGAAGCAGCAGAAGAAGCAGAAGCAGCACAACCAGCAGAAGCAGGAGCCCGTACTGCAAGCAGTAGTGGCAGCAGCAGTAGTGGCAGCAGCAGTAGTGGCAGCAGCAGTAGTGGCAGCAGCAGTAGTGGCAGCAGCAGTAGTGGCAGCAGCAGTAGTGGCAGCAGCAGTAGTGGCAGCAGCAGCAGCAGCAGCAGCAGCAGCAGCCGCCGCCGGCACCAGCACCAGCACCGGCACTCGCACATTGTGGTTGTGTAACTCATCTCTCTCTCTCTCTCTCTCTCTCTCTGTCTCTTTCGATGTCTCCTTACTGAACTGCAAATCTGCCAACTGAGGCAGCAAAGCACCGAAACACGTTGTGCTAAGTGAAAGCGCAGTGACTGCGCATCACGGAGCAGTGTTAGGAGCGTGAATCCACATCGGACTGCAACATCACGGCAGATCTGGTAATTCAGTTGATGCTTTGGCTGGAATGCAGCCTGGACACAGGAAACACAGCAAGGGATGGTACTTGCCGGCGCATCCAGAGAGGAACGTGCCGCAAAATTCAAGGGACATCACGAGGCTCAGAATCGTGGATGGAAGGCCATGTGTCACCGTCCTTCCGGATGAACGCTGAAGTACGGCAGGGTGGAGAGCCAAAGCTGGCGCTCAGCTTGCGTTTGGCTGCATCTTTTGATTAGCGACGATTTCTCTAGCGCAAAACTGGCATAGCCAGGGCAATTGCATGTGGCGCGCTGTCTCACCAATGTGTCTGCACTGGCTGAGCAAAGCACTTGGCAGAACAAAGGCATTGTTCCTTATATCGGCCATTCATGAAATGCTTGGAAACAATTTCACTTCTCAGGCAGCGCAGACATCGCAATATGATCATGAAGCAGAATTCTAAAACATGCTCGTGTCCCGCAGACCGGCAGCTGCTTTGCTGCAACCGATGCTGCAGCCCTTGCTAATAACGACTTGTATCGGCTTGCAGGATCGATTTCTTGGAGAACATGCACCAGCAGGCTCTGCGGCAGCTGCGCAAGTCCAGAGAGGACCATGCCGAAGAAATTGTCAACATTACTGGTATTTGTCTCTCATGGCTAGAAGCCACCAGTAGACGTGCAGGAGCTTGCCCAAGCACAGCAGCAGCGTCTCCAGGAGGCTGTCATGTCGAGTTTCCATCACACTACGCGAGACTTCGCCACGTGGAAATCATGAGGAAGTCGGTTGGGTAGCTGGAACCATGACCGCCATGACCTATACATTATATGGGGACCTTGCAGAGCATCCCGAGCTTTTACTGCTTAAAGACAGGAAATCTGCACGTTTGCGGATTTTTAGTGGCCTTGAGTCATCGAGGCTGACAAAGTATTGGGCTTGGAGCAGCTCATCAGCGAACTGCAGGCCAGCTTAGGGCGAGCCGTGGCCATCGCTCGCCACTGTGACCTGTGCTTTCCAGACAGTCCAGACATGCCCATAACTCCAGCAAGGGTCGAATTTGCCATCGATGGTTAATGATGCTCATCGATAGTGCAGAGTATCCCTCTAAGTTATGTTCGGTCGAGCATCGAGGAAGGGGGTCTCGCACGCGGAACCACAATGAAAGAAGTTCCGGGATAGGTACATTTTGCACTCTCAACGGTTAAGTTCCGAAGCGTTAGGATGTCGAACCTGAAACAGGCGGTTGGCCTTTGCTCTCTTGGGAGCCAAAGTGCATCACTGCATCACAGCTCTTCAGAATGCAAGTAAGGCGGCACTTGTCCCAGGTGCACCGCTTCGAAGGCAGAAGCCACTCACAGTGGGAAGAGTGGCCTCAGCCTCAGCATTGTCATGCAAGAAAGAATGGGCTATCGTGTGGATGTGAGGCTCCGCCGCGCGCGTGGCATCCTTGAAGGGGGATGACCTGCTGATGTCTTGCTGATGGTCAAGCGAAAAGAAGCACGACATGGAGTTGTGGGCTTCTCATGCTTCTCGCTTGTTTATGGAAAGTCCTTTCATGCTGCAACATCCTGCATCGGCTTTGAACTTCTTCAGATCTCGAGCACAACTTGTCTTTGCCAGGCTGCTAAGTCTTGTCCTGAAATCTGGCACGACAAGAGGTTTGCCTGCCGCTTTCTCTAAGTTGCGTCGAACTCTCGTCCCGACCGTGCGCTGCCTCCAAGCTTGTTGCGCTTGTTCACGTGATGTGAAACTGGCCATTTTTGAGCTTCAAGTCTTTCACGAGCAAAAGCAGATGCACAGCATCAGATTGCGCATGTGCGACTGAACTCTGGTTTTCAGAAGCCCTCGGGAAGTTCAAGTCTCCAAGTCTCTAAGTGCCTTTAGCAGACAGGAGTAAGTCTCACAGATGCAAGGTGCCGGCAGGCAATGCGTGGATACGTGTGCTTTCATTTGTCCTGCTGGCCTCTTAATGATGGCGGCTTATGTTGTTGATCTGCTTGGCATATCTTGAGAGGAGAAATGTCTTCGATGGGCGTGATTACCGTGGACGTAATCAACGAGCAATATCGGCGGCTCGATCAGTGTCAAAGGACCATCTGCGTCATGTCCTTATGCATACAAGAGTCACCTGGACACAGTTCGGCCGGACCACGCCACAACATTCAGAGCCGTACTTGTGCCGCAGCGCGCCGGAACGATGAAAGCCCCGTACGCCCGTACGGTATTCAATTCTTTTTACCGTTCTTTTGTGCCACTTTCGGGGACTTCTACTTTCGAGCACACAAGGCACTTATAAGGCCTTCACAGGATCCACCGATGCTCCCACCAACAGTGTGGTGTGTCGGATACAGGCAGCTTTCGAGGGAATTTGGGGCATCGGGGGGGCATTGGTTGCATTCCACCGCTTCCCTTTTTCAGCTAGGTTGTCGCTTTGGGTTGACTCCAAGCCACATTGAGCAGCCAGGGTGCCGTCAGCATGCCGACACCATTTTCTTAAGCATGCCCCCCTGAGAGTTTCTTTTTGCCCCACCCTCGATATGGGGTTGAAACTCTCTCCTCGCTCGGTCTGCTCCTCGCCCATCACCCGTATCCCACCCAGACTATCCCCAGAGTGTCCCAGGAGGCCCAACCACAGAGTGTTCCTGGAGTTGCCCAACCACCCCGGAGTGTCCCTGGAGTGCCCAACCCCAGAGTGTCCCTGTAATGCCCAACAGAGTGTCCCTGGAGTGCCAAAAGACTCCAACTCTGTAGGGTGAGGATGTTCGAAATAGTTTTTTTAAATATGTTTTTGAGTTTTTGAGTTCATTCATTAATTATGACTATGAGGCAACTTGCAGTTGATCGCTTGAAGGTATGTCTAAGGAGAACAAAAGCACTGCCCCCATGCTAGGAGCAGCGACAAGAAATCAAAGAGGCCACTCCTGGGCCGAGCAACGTGTTCACATGTTTTGCCGAGCATGAGCTTCTTCTCTTTGAGCAGGCCTTCGACATCTTCGACTCAGAGAGGACTGGCAAGATGGACTATCACGAACTAAAGGTCGCATGAACCAATGTGATCTGTGTCTTTGCGTGCATTGCGCGTGTATGTGAGTCTGAAGGCGGCCCCCTCTCACGCGGGCGCACATGTCTTGTGACGCTTGCAGGTTGCTGTGCGAGCCATGGGCTTTGAAATCAAGAAGCCTGAAGCTCTCGAGCTGATGCAAAGGTGACTGAGCCTTCATCTCCATGTTCAGAATTTCTTTATTGCAAATGCTTTGCAAATGCTCGTGTTGCGCCGCCTCGGCAGCCCGGCCGGCCCAAATAGGGGTGTAGCATGCGCAACGAGCCTAGGGGGGTGCAAGCGGGGTCTCAAGGTGGGGAGCCCTTGAAAATTCCCAAGCACAAGAGCCTTCAGGGGTCCAGAATCCAGCAGAATGATGTAGAGTAGAATCGGTCGATGAAGCTGCCGTTCATCTCCCTGCCTTGTTGTCCGCAAGTCACATTGTACAGGATGTTTCCCAGTGCGTGTCGGCATGATGGAGCTTTGCACCTTCAGAGAGGGTGCGTGCCACTTCCTGGTTGACTGAGGTATGACCGGGAAGAGACTGGCCAGGTGGCGGCAATTGGCATGTTGGCGGAGCTTTTTCAGAGGAATTTCGTGGACGTTTTTCCAAAAGAAATGCTGCACGTTGTGCCCATGGCCCATACTAAGCCATACCGTAGCTCACAGCTTGGGGCTCTACTTGCTGGGAGGGCATTTCTCAAGTGTGGGGTGCAAAAATCAGGGTGGCAGATTCCAAAAAAGACACGCGCCTCCGGATGTTGCCCAGGTTACATTGGCTTCGAGGCTTTCGAGGAGATCATGATCCAACGCTATGCTGCGCAGGATCCCATGGATGAAATCCGCAAGGCCTTCGCGACTCGACAAGAGGGCATTGACAGTTTCTACGATCAGCAGTATTGCAAGCAGGAGCTGCCCAATGTTTACGAATCGGTGCGCAGAAGGCATGCCTTCCGCATTGCCATATGCCATCAACCTACAGCCAAACTTAGGACCGCCTGTATGATATAGTTGAGATAGTATGGCATGGGCAAGACCTGTTAACCTCTACAAGCGGCACCAACACCTGTCCACCACGCAGCGATGGTTCTGGTATGTGTCTTTTGCATTTCGAGTCCGTGTCGTTGCTCGCAAGTGCAGTCTTTCTGAATGCGAACACATCCATGCATCGAATTTCAGCATGCAGCGCACTGCCCAACTAGTTTCTTACCGAAGCACATTCAATTGGTTTCAAGAGCTTGATAGTAATTACTGCGAATCGCCGAGGAGCTGTTTGACGAAGACAAGCGTGGCCGGATCTCGTTCAGGACTTCCACGCGCGGCAAGTGCGATGCAAGTGCAGCCATTCCTTTTACAAGCACAATTCTGGCAGGAACTTGAAGCGCATTGCCCGAGAGCTTGGGGAGAAATTGACAGATGAGGAGCTGCGGGGAATGATCGATGTGTCTTGACCGCAGGCTCTGCGGCTACACAAAGACTTCCAGTGTGAGCGTGAGTTGGCATTCATGGCTCTTGCCTTGTTAAGGAGTTCGATTTGGATCAGGACGGATACTGGGCCATTCATTGGGCGTGTTAGGAGGTACTTGGCTGGTTGGTTTGTTCGTGACCGTGACTGGTCGAAGCATGCAGCTCAGGTGACATCAATGAAGAAGAGTTCATCAGCATCATGAAGCAGACATCCCTGTACTAGAGAATGGATTTGATCTGGCACAACCCAAAGAGGCTGCGTGTGTTTTCTGGGGCCACTGTTTTGCAGCGACATCTGCTGAGGCCAATCGCATGTTCGGGGGCTGGGAACTGGCGAAAAAAGTAATGATGTGATATGTGCATCATATGTATGTGCCACTTGAGACATCAGGAATCGTTTTCGAGATGTTAGCTGACGTTAGCTGTATCCCATCCACCTTGATTAGTAACTGGGGCGAGGCTCGCAGGGAGAGAGTCCTGCTAGAACAAATGCAGCACATGTCCTTGGATTTCCTTCGGAAAGGTGACTTGGCAAATCTTCTGCATGATGCACACATTTTCCACGTCCTTCCGTCAATTTCTGACTCCACCGTGATCAGAACAGTGTTTGATACATGTTAGATTACGGTAGGATTGGGCAAACGACAACATCTTAAGTCCGTCAACTCAGACCGAACCACCTGTACCATACTTTTCTAACCCAGATCTTTTCTGCAATCCGTTTTCTGGCTAGAGCCTCGTTGGTACTTCCACCATGGCCAGGCATGGCGACCTCCAGTATTGGCTGTACCAGCCGGAATGATGTCATGCACGTTTTTGTTGCAGGAATCGTCTTAACAAAGAATGGCAAGAAGTGAAGAGGACCCTTTTGACATGTTCCTCACTTTGTTCTAGCTTGAGAAAAGTTGCAGGGAAATGAAGTCGGAGTGTGGATGCGCACCACCAGCCACAGCAGCAGCAGCGGCAGCGGTAGGTACTTCTTCTACCAGGTACTGTTGGGCTGGGCAGTTCAGTATTATATAAGAGGTTGCAGTGGTCGAAGACCCTCAACACACACCTGCCTGTTGCATCTGGTATGACGAGGCACAAACTTGTATTATATGTTTTTGTCCAATTTTCATAACTCGTGCTTCTGTGCGGCATTTTTCGATAAGAGTTGTTCCGGCAACGAAGCCCGATGAAGGAATCCTGATCCAGATATTCAGTTGGAGCTGCGCCAAGCCCAGTGCTCGTCAGGAGTCATTCAGCGTTTGACCCTGATCAATCTTGGTAGACTTAACAACGCAGCCTTTGACCCAGGTTGATATTGGTAGACTTAACAACGTGCCTGCAACAACATGGAAGTGAGGGCTGGCGACAGCTTCGAGCAGTGGCACGCGACAATAAAGGGTCCGCAGGCTGCGTGTGTGAACATTTTGCTGGGGGATTTCAGCAGCTGTGGAGACTGTTCAGTGCGTTCAATGCGGAAGGACTCACCCTATGAGGGTGGGCACTTCAAGCTCGACATTGCCTGCACAGCCAACTACCCTTACGCTGCACCTCAGGCGAACGTCGCTTGTCCGTGTGCATTGTCTGATACGCTTGCCAATGAATTGAATTCGTGTTTTCTTCAAGGATCTGCAACGCTACGTAAAGATGACCTTGGTGCCGGTACTGTGGTTTAGACTACATGTGTGAAAGCGAGTAGTCACTCGTGCAGCACGCCCTTTGTGCTCATTTCTCAGTATCAGTATCACTGCTCGATTCTTTCTGCGGCCGATGTTGCTGCGCAGGTGAGCTTTGCAACTAAGATCTTCCACCCGAATGTCAACTACAATACTGGTGAGCCTGTGCGCCAAGACTCCACGTTCTAAGCGCGGAATGGTGTTGATGCAAATCCAATGGTGCGTGAGGCTCTGTCTAGACATCTTGAAAACCGATTGGAGTCCGGCGTGGACGTTGCAGTCGCTCATCTGGCCTAATTACAGTGTCGAACGTGCAAGCATTGCAAGCCGACCATCAAGATGAATCAATCGCTTCAATTGCTGAGGTATGTTTGTCGGGCTGTGATAGCGCTTTTGCCGATTGCCCAGCTGGTCTGCAACACAGACTAGGATATACAGGAGATCGCAAGGTTCCTTCGGAATTTGCTCTGCCTCTGTTGCAATTTAGAGTCTCCATCTGCTGCGTCGGCCTCAGGCGGGACCCGAACCCGGACAGTCCGCTGAACTGCGATGCCGGAAACCTCTTGAGCGCAGCCTGCATGCTTCAGCCAGGGCCTAGAGCATCGGCCACCGCAAACATGACAGGAAGCGGTGATCTAAGAGGATTTCAGTCGATGGCTCGAATGCCAGAGGCCAAGACTTTACCGTTTGCCTGGTTTAGCTTGACCCCCATGCAGTTCATGCAACGTCTGGTCGTGATGTCGCACGATGTCCTGATGTCCCTGCGTGAAGCTGAGGTACACAGTTGAGCATGCCATGACTTGATCGAGTGGCCTCTTGGCCACTGCTTCTAGTCATCTGTTTCACTTCGAAGGCTAGTCTTGAAAGACCGCAATCTGCAGAACGCACGTCTGCCGAACAAGGAGCGGAAGGTGTCACAGTGTGTCACTGGGGCCGAATCAATACTTGCATGGTTCATGCTGCGAGTTCGTTGACTGCACGAGGCCCGCCAAGAAAGCTAGGCCGAGGCCACGCCAGGTGTGATGAAAGTCTCCAATCCTGCGGCTCAAGACTGGATCTGAATTGATGCCTGATCAGAGTTCTTGACCCGATGTCGAATGGTGGCGCCAGGAGCGCAGATGAGAGATGATGAGTACATGTTCTGAATATGACGATGTAAGGGGGTCTCTCGCCTTGTGAGTGCAGGAGGCTTCACCAGCTCATCGAGAATCTGCAACACAAAACGCTCACGGATCAAAAGCGGACATGGACTCAAGTCGCCCGGCTCGTTTCGTTCAGCAGTCAATAACAGCCGCTCCACACAGTCGCACTTAGTCTCACAGCTGTTCTTTCATCCTGCCCTGGTGCTTGGGGTCGAGCAGCAAAACGGTGCCAGAGCCAAGGAAAGCCAGTCGATGATGTACAGCTGGAGAAGTAGCACACGCGGCAACAGCATAGATTTCTGAAGTTGTTTCTTGAGGGATACGTAACATACTGAACCTGTCGATCTCATGATTCAGGTAATGCTCAATTTGCAACTTCAACTTTGAAAGCGCTCGCACGACAGCACTTAACTTCTCTTGCTATCTACACGCTGACTCTTATGGCAGACCGAAGCGTTGAGACCAACATTGAGCCTTGGCAATGTTATTCCGACACTTTTCCTTCTGTAGAAGTAGCCTAAGATAAACGGCTCTCCCAGACTTAAGCTCTCCTACCCGAATACGGTCTGATTGAAAAGTTGTTCGACAGTAGGCTACTTTATCCAGCCGCAATTGGAAGACAGTGTGGCACAGGTACACTACACAACAGTTGTGTCTGCCCTTGCGCACAGATGCTTCTGGGAACTGGCGCTCAGCATCGTGCACCAGTTGCCACCTGGTGTCTCTGCGAATTCGTACACCTTCAACAGTTTAGCCAGCGCCTGCTCTGGTGGCAGTGAGTGGGCCTCGGCATTGCAAGTTCAGGAAGACATGCTCAATCTTGGGATTCTGCCGGACGGCGTTACAAGGAACGTGGTTCTCAGTGCATGCGAGAAGGGTGCTCAGTGGAGCATGGCCGTAAAGATGTGCGCGTTCAGGGTTTCCACAGGACAGGACCCTTCGCAAGCAACCATCAGCTTCAATTCTGCATTGGCTGCACTCCAAAATAGCCAGAGCTGGAAACATGCTTTGCTTGGTTTCAACACGATGCTTCCATCTCGTGCCTGCCCGGACGAGTACTCTTGCAGCACTTGCATCAACTCTTGTCAGCATTCATGGCAGCTGGCTGTCAGCGGCTTGGAGGAAGTGACCCTAGCAGGTTTGTGTCCGAACAACGTTGTGTACGGTGCCACTCTTAACTCGTGTGAGAAGAGTGGGGCATGGTCTTTGGCACTGGAACTGGCCGATGAAATCCTTGCAAGAAGGACACTTCCAAATCAGTACACTTTCAATTCTGCCATGAGTGCCGCCGACAAGGCAAGCCATTGGAAATACACAGTGGGGCTGTTTTCGCAGATGCCACACTACGCAGCTCATGATGTTGTCTCTTGCACCGCGTTGATTAGTGCATGCGGAAGTGGAAGTTGTTGGACTTCGGCCCTGGCACTGTTGCACACAATGCCTGAGCGCTCTATCCACCCGAACGCTGCAACTTACAACGCAGTACTGAAGGCATGCTGCTCCAATGGGCTTGACACAGCATTAATGGTTCTGGCATCCTTAGAAGACGTTCATGCGAACTTTCCCGACGTGCTGACTTACAACATTGTGATCAGTGCGTGCAGCACGGAAGGCTGGTCGGCATTTGTCGGCACGTCCCTGCTAATAGCAGCTTATGAGCCGCAGCAAGAACCGAAGCCAAGACATCAGGCTAAGTTCGGTAGAAAGGTAGAAAACGGTAGAAAAGTTCAAAGCGAAAGATCGTCCGCACTCCCGCTTGTAAGGAACGGAGGCAGAACGAAGAGGATCAAGGAACCGGCACAGCCACCACTGCCTTCTTGGAAGCGTTAAGACAACCTCGAGATGTGGGGCATAATTCGGGGATGTGCGTAACCTGCGGCATCAATGGCACAATCCCAGGTTCACAGCCGCGGATCATGGAGCCTCCATGAGCTTACAATGGCACATATTGCACCTGCCACAGTAAGGGGAAACTTGGGAGGGGAGGCCCAGTGGAAAGCAGCTGTTGTTGGGGTTCGCTTGCCAAGAGGCGATTGCCCAGCATCACTGTCCAACCCGGCCAACGAGCCAGCGAGAGGGAGGAGGGTGGTCGCCATTCGCGTGGTCTGTGCCGTAAGAGCATGCAAGAGCGAACGCCTTGCGAACAAAAGTTAGATTGTGGCTATGGCTCCTTCCAGTTTCTCAGAAGGCAGGCGTCCGCTCGCGGTGGGCCAGAGGCAGCTGGCCCGAAATTCTTAAAGCCCGCATGGAAAGGAGGAGAAGGTAGCATAAAATTAAGGTAGCGTGAGGGGCAGCATGAATAGAATATGACAACGTCTATATGCCTGCAGTTACTGCAAGGGGCATGGCAGCTGGGACTCCATTACCTTGGTGATATGTCGGCGAAAAGGCTCATTGCTGATGTGGCTGCTTGTCTGGAGCTAAAGTGTCATCAGAGCGGGCAGCATGTACATGCTAGCTGTTAGATTGCGGCACCACATACACCATACCCTCCGTGCCACAAATCACTCACGAACCACGCTATGCCTCATTCGACCTCCGACCTCGCACCTCAACAGCCTTACCGGGCCTCACCACTCGCCACCTTGCACCGCGTCCCACCACCACCTTCTTGCCACCAAACCTAGAGAACGGAGCCCAAACCTTAACCCGAAACCGAAAGTGGTAGACCACACCCCCGACCCTCGCCACCAATAGGTTCAAGGGCACCAAGAAAGCTTGAAACTCGCCACCAAATCTAGAAGAGAACACAACTTAGCCCGAAACAGAAAGTGTTAGACCACACCCCCAATCCTAAATCCAACATCCCCGTTCCCTTGAAGAAAAGGGGGTCTATGTATCCTTCCAGGCATCCCAAACTCCATGCCCCAAGCTCCCAGCCCGAAAGCCTACACACCCCCGTTTCCCTATGTCTCTGCCGTTTCGGCGTCAGCTGGGCGGCAACGCAGAGCGAAATGAAGGGGTAGTATTAGGCTCGAAAACTGCATTTGCACCTGTCGTCTGGTGATATCAGAGTTGAGCAGCTCGGAAAATTGCCTGGAGTCCGTGCTTTCCATGTTTGTCGTGCTGATTATGTGGTTCTTTTCGGCAGCGCGATCTTTGTTTGGTCGGATGTTTTGGTTTCCCATGGTTTTGTCGATATTTATCTACTTCACGTTTGTTGGTTCTGTTGCCAATGTACATGTCGGCCCCTTGCGCGAAAAATGATTGATCTTCCGGGCCCCTAAAGACCTAACCCCCAAAGTTCATCTCAAGCGTCTTCTCCTCCTCGCGAAAAGGAGAAGACATTTGAGTTGTAAACAACTGGCTCATGTCATCCTGTCACAACCATTGGTTCTGCGACTGAGATGCAGCTGACCTTGGAAGTCTCAAGGGTTAGCAACCCTCCTGAAACGATTGTAGCTGGGATCTTGACATCTCGAGGTTACTTACAACTCCGCTATCAGCGCTTGTGAGAAGCTGGGCCAATGGCAAGCTGCTTTGGACCTGATCGCACAGATGTCAAGCTGCACTGTGGTTCCAAACAGCATCACTCTAGGCGCAGCAATCAGCGCCACCGTGCAGTTAGGCAAATGGCGAGAAGCCAGCTGCTTGTATAGCATGTTGGCAGCATCAGAGGTACCAACCGTGATCGCATGTAATTCAATGCTGGCAGCTTTAGAGTCGTCCAGCCAGTGGCAACGGTCATTGAGCTTTCTACACTGCCTGGCTGACAGCCTTGTGCAAGCTGACACCATCACATACAGTGTGGTGCTTTCAGCCTGCCAGAAAAGCTTGCAGTGGCAGCACGTGTTGGAAGTCGTGCAGCTACTGCCAGCCCAATGCGCTTTGGATACTCGAGTGTACGCATCTGCTTTTGATGCTTGTGCCATGAGTGCACAAGCAAAAGATGCAGTCCGTCTTCTTGAGGCTTTGGCCCATGTTGTGCGGTTCTGATGTTAGAGCGGACCAAGATGTCCTATTCGCCCATGTGCTAGACGTGCAGAAACGAGGTCTGACAATGGAATTTGAGGTCATCAATAGGCCAATAGGGTAAGTAAGTGACGATGGTGGGCCTGTGGCAGCTGGATCAATGCTTAGCTGGTCTGCTATGTTGCCGTGTTGGCTCAGGTACCGTAGACGCATGGTGCAGCAGTTGTAGCACATGCCACTGCTGAGACAGAACCCCTCAGGCGACCGAGGAGGACCCTTCCCCCAAGTGCTTCATATACATTTTTTCAAGAAACTCGCTCTCTGTCCTTCAGACAAGAGTGGTTACTGGTGACCATCATCTAATCATGCATAGGCTGCATAGGTCATGACCTCAAAACAAACGGCTCGTCAGTAGATTTGTCGTCGGGGACACTTGCGCTGGGAACCATGGTTCTTGCCTTGGATGCTGCTGACATGCACAGGGATGATCTGAGACTTGTTCGTTGATCATAGGTATGTGGTGTATGTTGGATCGGGGGTGAAGCATCTTTCCAGGCCGCAGCCGAAAGACAAACACGCGATGGTCTGAACCTCTGGCCTTGCTTGGCAGCCGCACCGTCTCAATAAGATTAATAAGCTTCTCTGCTGGTCTTAGCGTCAGCCCTGATTCCCGTGCGTTACCATGGCTGCGGGCACGGACCTGTGCTCATGTCGCGTTGTTTAAGGTGACCGTTCTGGACCCGGGTGGGCTGATGCGCAGGCTGCTTTCTCAGCTCAGACCGACCCCAGAGCCAAGTGCGGCGTGCGGGAGAGCGTACTGCACCACAGACAACCCGTAACCAATTTGCCCCAAATGGTTTTGATTTTGTTCCCCGCATCTTTGTGTGGGGTTCTTACTTTTGGGGCTCTCCCGTCTGCTCCTCCTCCGCCTCCTTCTCCTCCTCATCCTCCTCCTCCCTCCTCACTGACTCACTCAGTCACGCACGGACTCATGCACCCACACATTACTCAGTCTCGCGTTGGCATGTGCGGCACAGGTGCCGTTTGTGCTGTGTTTGCCTGAAGCATTGAAGCTTAAGGCAGCTGTTGCCGAGCTTAGGATTCTCTTGCAGCCAACTGGCGCTGATCGCACCATATCGCACCCTGCCTGTCCTGTCGCTGCAAGTCAAAAAGATGTCGCTGAAAACCCGCTTGCCGGATGACAAAAGAACCTGAAACTCTTGAATGCCCTCAAGCCCGAAGCTGTCGCCATGACTCCCACGCCTGGATGCTCGCAAAAGTGCGGCGAAGGACACAGCTCGCACTCACTCACTCACTCACTCACTCACGCACTCACTCACTCACATTTACGCACTCACTCACTCACTCGCTCACTCACTCACTCACTCGTATTCACTTATACACTCTTTGCGAAAAGATAAAATACACTTTTGGGGTTGCACGGTCCTTTAATTTAGATGTGAGGCAGATGGTACGCAGCAGGTGCAACGGAGTCGGCAATGAATAGTCAAGTGGAGTTGGAAAGCAGGGCCATTGTGGGATTTGCGAGCCTTGAGCTAGTTTTGGCATCTCGTCATAGGGCGTTCAGAGAGTTCATTGGGATCACAGAAGGTCCATAGGGGTCCATAGGGCCCGTAGGAAGTCTACAGGCCTACAGGATCCTACAGGTCCATAGGGGTCCAGGCCGCGAGCCGATGCTGGTGTTCTTTTGCCACAAATGCCTTGGACCTGGGGTCTCGGCATGCCTCGGCAGATTTTGCTTCTGCTTGGGATTAACTGTTAACCGAGAGTTTGCAGGGGACGCTGGAGCTGCAGATTGCCAGCCGCCAAGCACAGAGAGTTGCGTCAAGGCGTTCTGAAAGGTTCTGAACTCATCTAACGCGTGAGTACGGTATGCTGACACTTGATGCGTTGCTGTTCACTGAATGGCGCTGGCATGCGCTGGCAAAGCAGCGTGTGGCTGACTGCAGGCTTCCAAATCAGGAATGCACTCCATGACAGAAGGTTACTTAGCGCGTAAGCTGTTTGCAAGCAGAAAAATTGCAGGAATCGGAAGAGTTTGGATTTCCGGACTTGCGCGGCTCAGGCGCACATGGAGACGCGACTACGAGCAGCAGTCACGGAGACGAAGCGGCACTGCATTTGACTTGATGACTCATTGATGACAGGAGGTTCCAAGCGAAGTTGTGTGCAGCCTCGTTTCGGCTTCAAGCGATGTCTCAGCGCATCAGCTGTGGCAGCTATGGCTGAGAGGGAGACGGAAGGTGTCAGGCTGCGCAATGAGAATCGGCACCGTGCGCCGGTGAGCTCAAGGACTGTGTCGAGAAAGTGAACGGGGCTCTGTTTGGTGTCATATGCCTCGGTGCTGCAGCTGCTGCATTCCATGGCCCTCAAATGGCCTCAGATGCCCACACTCACACATAGAGCACTCAGAGCACTCACGGTGTTTCTCGTGTTTCCTGTGCGCTTCGGCGTGGTAACGAGATGGGGTCGGGGCATGGTCGGGTAAATAAATCTATTTAGATTTGTTTTCTTTTTTTACTGTGTTTTTTGCATTTGCTTACTGTTGTCAATGCAGGGGAACTTTGTGGCTGTGATCTGGGCAGATGATGGCAGATGGTGGCGGAGGGTGCCATTCGTGCGGGGGCAGAGGGTGTTCGAGAACCCGCGAACTCTCGATTTCACTGTCAGCCAGTATACTGAAAGCGGTATTGCTCTGTATTTCAGTCCGGTCGGATCGTGAATCATATATATATATATATGTGTGTGTGTGTGTGTGTGTGTGTGTGTGTGTGCGCGCCGTGTCTCAGATGGCTCCTTGGGCAAAAGTCAATGCCGAGATCTGTCTTTTGGCTTTCGGGGCTTCCGGGCCTGGATCTTTGGGATCTTTGGGTCCGGTCGGGGAAATAGGAGTTTGACCAGTTGGTCACTGTGGAAATGGTCCTTGACAAAGTTGTGTCCTGTGAGATTGCAGGCAAACGGGAGCATTGACATGAGTGATGTGCCCATATGTGCCCAGCTGAGCATGTATCATCTCTGCAATTACTTCAGGAGCATACGACAAGAGTCTTCGACTGGACTTCGAGCTGATACGAATCGAACCGAGAGACTCTTGGCAAATAATGTTCGCACGTGCCGCAAGTGTGACTTGCACATGCATGAACGCATTATCCATCCGATGGCCCAACAGGGATTTTGCACTGTATGCCAATGATCCAGATCTTGGTCTACTTCTCGCAATGAGAGATTGCATGTGCAATAAAAGCAGGCCCAAGTCTCATCTTGCCATGCCGTTTACACGGTAATTAGTGTCATTGCCTGTGATTGTGTGGGAAGAATTATGTACTGTTTTCTTGTCTGTCGTTGCCAAGGCCCTAGTGCAGTAACCTATAAGTCGGCGCCGTTGTGACGACTGCGAAAGATATCTTTCAAGTTCTGGATCGAGCAGCGCCATGTATGTAGCGAGTCATCCTGAGCGCGCTTGTGTCCTTCATGCTTTGCATGCTCAGGAACCGCAAGGGAATAAAGACCTCAGGAGTTCATCCTTGACACCTCTTGCGTTGCACACTCAGGAGGGTTTTTGCCCAGCCTCGTCATAGCGGCGTACTTGAGGAGGCGCACACATGAGACTTGCGCCCAAGCCGCCTCACGCCTGTACAGCACATAGACCGGAAAGGCCGCTGCTGTCCATCTCGCTGTCTTATCCGGTGATCTTCGCCCTTGGCTTCGGATGCTCGCTATCATATTATGGATACTTAAGGTACTCGCCTCAGATACCTGCAGTGAAATACTGTGAGAATCGGGCCACACTGCCATACTATGCAGACGAGGCCTGAGCAGTTGCCAGATCCGTTACGAGAGCGGGCAAGGGTCGCCAGCAATACCTTCTTCAGAGCTTTTGATGAACCTTCCTCTGCAGTAATTTAACGTTGGGCATCAGGCCTCAAGATCTCACAAGCATGCTCAAACCGAGGAAATGATGTCATCCGCAGCTTGTCCTGTCCATCAGCTCGTTTCTCCAAAGCAGCATGGCACGTTGCTTCACAATTTGGCGTGTCGGATGTTTTCTGGTTCCATGGACATTCATTACCGAATCATTTTCAAACGGTTTTTGTCCTTTGTTAGTCATGGCTACGTACATTTTGAGGACACAGTTGAGAGTTTGCTTCGCACGACTTCGCGGATGAAGGACATATTGTGCTTACTTGTCGTAAAGAAGAAAAAGTACGAATTCATTGCTCCATGTGTGTGTACTTGCAGGAAGTACTTGATCTGCAAGCGCTGTCCAACGCAACGCTGGGCGACTACGTCAGCATGTGCTGCCTGTGCAACACACGTCATGGACACGACAGAGATGGGCAGTTCAGGGGTGATGCCCGGCTGCTGCAAAGGCCTTACTGACATCGTCAAGAATCGCACCTCTTTGGGAGTCAAGGACCTCCTTCCTGACTGGCAGGCACACTTTTCGCCCAACACTTGGACATACTTAAGAGTGTGATTAGACTTGGCACTGCTTCTCGTGCAAGTGCTAAGGGCCCCAGAGCCTTTCTTTGTCTCGCTCTCTTCGTTGCGTTTGCTCACTTCATTCGTAAAACTTACCTGTATTTCATTGCCTTAATCAAGGCTAAATTCAACAAGCTCCGGTGTCAGGCTTCCCATCAGAACTCTAGGCAAAAGGAAGAAGCCCTGACAAAGCGAAGCTGCTGATACTAGTGGCATCTGATGGCCATTCTTGGTGTCTGTGCTTTTGATGGGGTGAGTGGTGCTTTTTTCGTTTTCAGGTACCTGCCATCAGCCAAGTCTTGGGCAAGAGCGAGCGCGTTGGCATCCGGATGGCTCGGGAAGGCAAAGTGGCAAAGCATCCCGTGATCATGATTCCTGGGATCATCACGACTGGTTTGGAAGTTTGGGATGGAGAGGACTGCATCAAAAGTTACTTCAGGCAGAGGATTTGGGGAACCACGACCATGCTCCAAGCGATGGTTCGCGATCCGGACTGCTGGGTTCGACACATGTCCCTAAATACAACCACAGGTCTCGATCCTCTGCAACAGCCATTCTTCAACCGCACGATTCGCATTCGTCCATCTCAGGGATTCGAGAGCGCTGATTTCTTCATTGGCGGATACTGGCTATGGGGCTTGATGATTGAATCCCTCGCCGATATCGGTTACGACCAGAATTCCATGTACATGGCCTCCTTTGACTGGAGATTATCGTTCTCAGACATGGAGAAGAGAGATTGGTATCTCACCAGACTCATGCAACAGATCGAAACATTAGTCAGGATGAACCACGAGAAGGCAGCCATCGTGGCACATTCTATGGGAGGAAATCTATTCCACTATTTTATGCAATGGGTCACAGATCGAGTCCATCCGAACTGGGTGCACGATCATATTCAATCTGTAATCCTGATTTCATCTCCCCTTCTCGGCTTGCCCAAGGCGTATTTCTCACTTCTGACGGGTGACAACAGAGACTTTGCCACCATGGGTACTTTCAGTGCTGTTGTTGACCACTACTTTGGCAGCACGACGCGACGCAGTCTTTGGAGAAGCTGTTCTTCCTTGTCGATGATCATGCCGATTGGTGGAGACGCAGTCTGGGGTCAGCAGGTCACAGGCCTGCCACTGGTGCAGGTCTCCGGCAAGAATCTAACAGTTGAAGAAGCCTACGATTTGCTTGCAAGTGCAGACCAAGTTCCACACGATTTACAGCGGATTGAGGCCTGGCTCTTGCACGGAGTTCGCGCTTCTCAGCCCTTTGAGAAGCATGCACATGCTGCAAAGCCGTTTGAGAAAGAGACTTTGTGGGGGAATGTCCTGGCATCTGTGCTGCCTTTTGCACCGCAGATGAAAATGTTTGCGTTGTACGGTGTGGGAGTGCCAACCGAATATACTGGTGCTTTGGAAGTGCAAGGTGATGATGTGCAGCGTCCTAAGTACGGCATTGATCGGGATTCTCACACACCAAATGCAGGCTTCCTTCTTGGAGATGGTGACTACTCCTGCCCTGTTCTTTCTTTGGGGTTCATGTGCACAAAGGGCTGGAGAAGCGAAGCACGGAATCCGGCAAGGATACCTTGCACAGTGCGGGAATACAAGGACAAGTCAGGCAAGAGTATGATGACGGGTAGCCTACGCGGTGGACCCAGTTCCGGGGATCATGTCGACATACTAGGCAATGTTGAGCTGCTGGAAGACTTGATTTCACTAGTTAGCGGCGGATCACTTGAGACACGCATCGTCTCAGACTTGGAAAGAACTGCTCAACGCTGGAATGGCTGAGAATTGGCTTCCACATGAAGAGTTTCAACTTCATCTTGTTTGCTCGCCCACTGGGCAGGTGAAGCCAGAGCAGACGTAGTGCGCGCAGTCATGTGCAGAGAGTGGCGTACTAAGCAGCCTGCTTAGGAGCAACCTGACATTAACATTCTACGGCCATGGTGGGTCCTGCGCGTCCTGTTTCGACGACATGACATTTGACATTTGACTGACCATTCGTACCAAGGGACCCTGCAAGCGTCGCGTCGAGACGTATGGAATACCCGAACCCGCACCAGCTGGCAGTGCCGAAGTGGAGAGCCGCTAGAAGCAGCCACCCGTGAACCTGCACTCCGTCACTGCTGATCGCATGCCTCTACGCGAAGGATTAGCATCTGCCGAAACGGCATGGAAGTGGGGAGCGTGACGAGACCGAGACAAAAAGCATGAACTTTCTGCTTGCCAGAATGCTCTGACCTGCGGAGTTCTTTCGAAAAACTTCTTGCATATTCCTGCATGTTGGCACTTACAGTTCGCTGCGCTGCATGTAGCATGTGGCTGGGCAGGAGCTTCTTGAGCCGACAGTGCAGAAGATGACTGTTCTGGGATCCGAGGTTCGAGACTGTATTGCACGGTCATGAGTGCTATGAGGTAGGCACTGAGGTAGGCACAGTCAAAGGGCAGAAGCGGGTACCTCTGCCGAGTATCGGCACTGATCAAAGCTGCTAAGCCCAAGATTCGTGGGGGCGCTAGTTGTCTTGATGTGTGAAGGTTGCCTCAAGTGTCAAGAAAGTTCTGCTTGTCATCTTTATGCTCGCGGAAAGGTCGAGCACTTGAACACTTCAGTTGCGAGGCACATGAAGGAACTGTCCTGCCGGCACGAGTTTGCTGGGATGCCTGCGTCAGGTCTAGGGGATTGCACTGTTGCGCCCCTTTAGCAGCTTTAGCAGCTGTGATTGAGAGCTTGCTTACCCCCCCCTCCCACTCTCCGCAGTTCGGCTCAGAGAGCCGTGATTTGTATGTAGTAGTTTGTCACCAATGTGCAGCGGCTTCTCTACAAGCCATGGCCGGCATCAGCACAGATCGGATGCGCGAAGAAGTGCGGAAGCTGTTGGTGGGCGTCGATTTGAGAAGCACTTCGGTAGGCTCGGCTATCGATTGTCAATTGCACATGAGCAGACCCAGCAACAGTGCCGCAACACAGCACCAGAAGGGCCAAACTCTCATAAGAAGGGAAGCGACATGAAGAGACTCCTCATCAACCTCCAATGATATTGCTATTGTTGAATGCAAGATTAGGGCTGACGACTTGGATGAGAAGCCGACGTAGGTGTTTGTCCATGCGGGAACATGAATGATATTGTGATGCTTTGGCAAGCGGAACGCAAGCGCATGCGAGTCTTGTACGTTCAAGTCAAGGAGTAAAGTCGGGAGGGAGGGAGTGGCAGAGAAGAAGAGCAGAGCGAAACAAGGGCTACTGCAACAGTGGCAAAATTCAATGGTCATCAAGAAGAGCTGCCAAGACAGACATCAGCCCTACGACGAAGGCTGCGCAATGCCGCACAGAATTGCGCATAAAGAGCTGTTGAGAGTCGGTTACGATTCCACAGGCCACCTGCCAATGAAGGCCAGAACGTCGCGGCGAACAAAACAATCGGCCCAGTGCCCCAATCTGCGAACGACCAACGATGACCCGACATCATGCCGTGCCGAAGGCATAAGAAGATGTCAAAGCATCTCCCGACAATTTTGTTTTAAAAAAGAGCTAAAAAGGTTTCCGGCTCTTGGACTCGTGGTGACCTCAAACCTGGTCTTGGCAGCTCAGGATGCATTCTTGACCTCCAAACATCTCCAACCCAAACCCATAGCTGCCATAGCATCGCGACTGTTTCATCCTCCGTCATCCTGTGTCTGTGGTCCACAAGGCCAGCTACGTGCGTCATTGGAGAAGTCGCTCGGCGTTGCACCGGGTGCTTTGGACAGCCAGAAGGCACAAGCACGAGCTGACTTCTTGAGACTTCATGAGCAACTCTTCAGATGTTTATGTGCTTCGACATGAGTGTTTCAGGATGAAGTTCAGCGCATCTTCTTCTGCGAGATTGCTGAGCTCAACCCTGCCGAGCCTGATGAAGACAAGCGCACGGAACGAAAGGTGCGGCAATACAGTACTAGTAGCATCCAACGGACTCAGTCACATCTTGCAGGTGTGCGGGAAGCTTCACGTTGCGAACCAGTCTTCTCCCCTGCCAGTAGTAGAGACCCCAAACTCCCAAACTGTTTCGCTGCCTCCTGAGCAGCCCGTATCGATATCTAAGAATCTCACCTGGAATCTACAATTGGCGGCGGCTCTGTGCCTTTCATGTCTTTTGGCGTGTTAGCCAAACGTAGCATGTCCCTCTCATCACATCGTTGTTTTCCGTTCCTGGGTAGCACCTTCGCGCCATCTGGTCCAAGCACCTTTAGAACCTGACAGAGTCCCGCGCCCATCCGTACACAGCCTCGGTAGTGCAGGTATTGGCTATTCCTGAATCAGCCTTTCCTTAATAAGTTTTTTTTCTCTGCTTCTTGTGAGCCGGACGCTCTGCATCAGGACGACATGCCAAAGCCCGGAGGCGCTGGAACAAATGATGCTGTTTGTTGTTGCGTATTGCTGCGTGCGTGGATGCCAGCCTGCCAGATGCGATGGAAGATGAAAGCAAAGCTAAGGAGAAGAAACGGGAAGAGAAGACGCTTTGCAAGACTTGATTCGTCAGCAGTGGACATGGTTGCAGTGAGTCTGCTTGTTGGCAGCTTCAGGAAAAAGGCCAAAGACAAGAAAGACAAGAAAGAAAAGAAAGAAAAGAAGGACTCAAACAAGAAGCACGCTGATGCAAACCAGAACAAGAAAAGGCGAACGGCTGACGAAGGAAAAGGTGAGAATGCACCAGATGCTGCCGCTGCCGGTGTAACGGGCAGGCCTGGAAGCAGCGGTGACAAGATTTTGGTGGCCCCGAAGGAGGAGCTGCGGCAGCCACAGGAAGCAGAGGAAGCACAGGAAGCACAGGAAGCAGAGGAAGCAGAGGAAGCAGACGAAGACGGCCTGGAGGCTGAGGATGTCGATGACGAGATGCCGGAAAAGGCCCCGGCACCCCCTTTGGACGCTGCGTCAGGACTTCGCGGGCTTCCCGCTGCAGCGTCTGTTTCGACCATTCCCCAGCCAGTAAGGGCTTCAGCCATGGTCCTAAGTGGTTCTGAAGATGGCACCGTGCGCTTGTGGGACTTGGAACTGGAAACAAAGTGCATTCGTGTTTTGGAAGGTCACATGGGGACTGTCCACTCTTTGACCGTCAGCTGGGATACTTTTGAAGCCGTCAGTGGTGCAGATGATTCTTCCAAGCTTTGGAATCTAAAGCTAGGCGGCTGCCAAAAAACGATGACTGAGATTCCAGAAGGATGTACGGCAGTGGAAGCAGACTGGCGAGGTCGCCGGGCGTTAGCTGGATGCGGAGACGGCTCTCTGAGGGTCTGGTCCATGTCCACGGCAGAGCTTCAGACAACTCTGCAAGCACACCGTGGTGGCGTGTGGGCATTGCAGGCCGACTTCGAACATAAAAAGCTTGTCAGTGCTGGAGACGAAAACTTCAAAGTCTGGGACGTGAGTGATTGGACGTGCTTGCGCACGTCAGAAGGACATGCTGGCGGCTTGATGTGCGTCTCAGTAAACTGGACAAAGTCCCAGCTGCTTGCTGGAGCAGGGAGCTCGACCAAACGTCTGCAGCTTTGGAACCTTGACTCCGAAACTTGCCAGAAGTCAATGACATCAATATGGTTCCACAGCATCCACGGCCGACTGCAGCCCAGCCTAGGCCAAGGACTGCACCAAACCTTTTGTGAACCTGAGGCGCCTGGTGGTGAGAAGACAAGGACGGATGCTGAACCAGATGTACTCCAAGGCAGGGCAAGGCCGTTGGATTCCTGCTTGCATTCCACCTGGTCTCAGATGTCTCGGATGCAGGTCACCAGGATGTTGTGGCAGTGACTAGGATGCAGCGATTTCGCCGTGCCCCAAAGGTGCTCATCCAGAAAGCTTTGCTGCATTGCATCCGTGGAACAAGCTAAGGACCTGGCCGTGGATTGGAGCAGTGGCACTGCAGTCACAGCTGGCTGGGACGCGCAGCTGATCATGTGGAATCTGGAGAAGAGGGTGCCGATGCAGACACACGAATGCACCCTGGCAGGCTTCAGGCCTTTAGACCCCGTTTGTTGACATTTAGCGACATTGACAGTGACACGCGCCAGGCAAGTTTGGGCGCGTGCGATCATTGGCAGTTGATTTCAAGCTGCAGCAGGCCTTGTGACTGAAGTCCTTCCCAAGCCTTGAACTTAAAGAACCCGAGAGGACATCGTTAGACGAGGGTGCGTTCATATGTTCGGGTCAGGGTCCCGAAAAGGTTCCATTTTCGAAGAGGTCCTTAGTACCAGGGAAGTTGGGCCATGCCACTAAGGGAAATAGGAAGTGCCGACGGAGTTCTCAGCACGCGCGTACATGGCTGAGTCATTCGACACATGCAAGCTGTAAGCAAGGCGCTTTTTTTGCGTATGTAGTGCATGTAATGGGCATTGCTTCCTCAGCAGGCGCTCTGCGGCTCGAGCAATGGAAGTCGCGGCCCCCAGGACGGTTTGCGTTTGCGCAAGCTGCCTTCGACTCGCAGTCACAGCATTCGAGGCTGAACAAGGCTGATGGCTCAGCATGTGACCCAAATTGCGGCTGCAGCCCTAAGGTCTACATATCATGGACTTGCACAATGGGCTGACCCAAAGTACCCTGGAGGGCCACGGTGGTGCAGTCACAGCACTGAACGTGCAGCGAATGGTCGGGTGATGGGGCTGGAACCATTCAGTGTGTGCGATACATGGGGCATGCTGGCTAGTGACAACAAGCTTGCCATGTTGACGTTGCGATCCTGCCATTGCTGCATTCGAGTGCCAAGAATGAGCCACAACGAGTTTCTCGACAGCTCTGCTCGTGCTCGTGAAGAAGATGATGCCTCAAATCACGGAGTCTTCGGGGAGGTCTTGCCGGTCTTGACGGCCAAGGGTGGCAGGTCTGGTGACAGGTGTGTTGGCAAACTTCCGGCGTTTCAGTCGAGCACACCTTCATGCAACACAGCGAGTGGACATGGCCTGCTTAGATATGCCAGACATTGTGGCGAAACACATGCAACGTTCAATGCTCCGAGCCACGAAAGATGTCCGAGAAGGGTTGCACACTGGCGCACGTTGCGTGATGTAATGCAGTTTGTTGCAAGGTTGCAGGGGCTGCTTGGTGCAGGTGACACCCCGCGTTGGGCGTCAGGGGTTTGCAGTTGTCTTGGTAATGGCTCGCAAACCATGCGGAACCTGTACTTAAACAAAGGGATATGGACATGGATTGACTTAGGGGATATTGGGGGGGTCGAGGCTCACCTCTCCTTGGGCTCGACTACTCCAGGGCGCCACTCACCTTTAAAACGAACAGGTGGTGCGAGTTTTGCTCTCTTTTTTTGGGTAGTCAGCGGCAAAGTCATCCTGACTGAGGGGAAGAGAACCAACTGCAGGGGCTCCCCCTGAAATCCGAAGCCGAAACTCAAACTCCAACCTGCTCCGCTTGCACGCCGAGAGCATGAATCTGGATTCCGTGGGCCGTGGGAGGCAGCGACACTGCAGGGATTAGGAGAAGAAGGAAGGCTTTCAATGTCAAGCTTAAGTGGAGAAACAGAGCAGCCAACAAAACCGAAAACACGAATGTACGCGATCATGCATAACATCACTGGTACCATTTTGCTTCCAAATCCAAGCCTCCCCCCCATCTCTCTCCGTACGTACTCCTGGCAACGCATCACCGTGATATTGCTGCTTGCTCAAGAGCTGCCTGCAGCCTAGCAAGTGCACATAGATTTCTTCCTGCCCTAGTGGGCCCTGTCCGCCCTCAATAGGTCAAGTACTTTACCGTAGGAGTCGGACGTAGGAGTCTGATTTCTCACCCTTCAGCATCTTCGCTGTTACCTCGAACAATAGGCCCAATAGGCTTGAACGCTTGAGATCCTCGCCTCCCGGAACTCTCCATTTCAAAGCAGCAACAGCAACAGCGTGACTCCCACAGAACATCCCAAACCGAGTCTGATCTCATGGGAAGGCAGCAGCTACCTAATTTAGCCTGCGGTCATCGCAAAGCCGCGGGGCCCAATCTACTGACCAGGTGCTGCTCGTAGAGCAAAGCAGTGCTCCATTGCATGTTCCGAAGAGAAAGCGCAAAACGCAGTAAGTTTACTGGCAGATACACCTGGATCTTCAAGTGTGTCCACAGGACTCTCCCCAGGCATCGCCTGCAGGGCGAAATGGAGCGGTATGCATTGGCGCGTAACCTAAGGAGCAGCAAAACACAACAGCAAAAAACAGTGGCCTGATGGTGCCACTCGTGTCCCCCCCCCCCAAAGAGCTTGGTAATTAGTTGTTTTGTGCTCTCCCGGATCGCCGAGAGTCGTCAAGAAGGACCGGTGTAGGACCGAAAGAGGGGGGGTGGGCAACTGACTGCATTCGTGCACCACTAAGGAGACTTTGCATCTCAACCATGGGCCTTGAAGTGTTTCAAAGTTTAGTCCAGTAGACAGGTGAGGACAAAGAGGAAAACACCTAAGAAAAATATTTGTGGAAGATTCTCGGAGGATTTCGGGATCTTGCCCTCACAGGAGGGTTGGGGTGCGGGTCCTTGAAGGCGAGCCTGTCGCCTTCCGGAAAACTGAGTGCCACCAACACGGGTCGGCAGATTGAGTTGCTTCTCCGATCTTGTCGGTGACTGGCCGCTCGCCGCCAGGGACTCTCTGCATTTGGGACAGCTGCGTTTCCAGGAACAGGCCAGGGCATGCTAGGGTGCCTTTAGTCACCACGCTCAGCTATGTCAACCTCTTGCAGGTCGGTGCAGTAGCGCAGATAAAGGAGGAAATGGCTCGATGGGATAACCAGCGGAGGATTGCAGAGGCACGTGGGCTTGAGTTGATATGGGGCAGCCAGTGGGCAGCCAAACAGAAAGCCGCGTGCCCGAAGTACAACTTCATAGTCAGCAAAGCATGACATTGACCTTTCAACAGGACCCCCGCATGCTACCTTTGAAAGGAAGTCAGCTTACGCCCTTTATGCGCACGACTCTTGGTCTGTCCGCTTGTGGACCCTTGCACTTCAGCTGAGGATGTGGAGTAGATGGTGTTATCCGGGTGGTAGCCCCTCGCATGTTGAAGGTCAGCGCGCAGGCTTTCACTACTCGTATCTTGCAGCGCCGCCTCAAAGATGGACATCTCGACACCAAAGCCTCAGCAGAACCTGTTGTTTGGCTTGGGCTTTGTGCTCGATGCTTGGGGCGGGGGTGGGGGTGGGGTTCTAGTTCTAGTCAGTACTTCTAAAAGCTTCTGCACGCCGCCTCGGCGGGCTCGAGGAAAAGGCCACCAGCAGCTGACCAGTAAACCCTTGCAGCATCAGGAGGCATTGCAAAACCTTTAGCGCATTTTGTCTTTGCTCGTGTGCTTGGTGCTAAGTGAAAGTGAAGCACCCTGAGCGCACGCAAAAAGGAGCCACGTACCCAGCCATTGTTGAGACATGCTGAGACCGTTGTCAATAACACGAAAACGCGTGCAGAGCTGATCCCTGCAGTACGTGAGAGATACCCATGCTGCTGTTGTGACGTTCTTTTTGAAGGCACTGACTGACTGTCGAAATTGTCATGGTTCTTCCGTTCGTTCACAAGACCCCAAGAGGGTTTGCCTTCTTGGGTCGTGTTTCGTCTTCACATGGGCTTGCGAGCTTTCGTGTTCCATCTTCTCATGTCTCCCATGGGTCTGCCTCCACCAGGCCTCTATGGACGAGAAACTGGAAGCCATGCTTCAGAAGCTGGAAGCGCAACGCAAGACTTCCTTGTCGTTGTACCCATCGCCCTCCATGCTCTGTTTTTGTGCGTGCATCTGCCAGGGTTTGCCTTGGAGCAGAAGGAGTGCGGACCACAGATGTTAACCCGTTCACCCGTCGTGAGAATGAACTCGGCCTTCGCAAGCCATGCCAAGTCATCTCAGCTCAGATCCACGCTGCATCATATGCAGCGAAATCTGGAAAGGGTGGCCAATGAGGTGAATCGACTTGTCGAGGAGAGCCGAGGGTTCTCAAGCACAAACTATGAAATAAGCCAGTTTGCCGACATGACTTTTGCTGGGCGTGTCTTCTTGCCCCTGCCAGGACCAGGATGCAGTCCGAGATGTCTGTGAAGCTCGGGTCGTGCAATGCCCAGACGCGCATTCAGGCATCAAGTGACAAGGTTTGACGAAAATATCTCCGCATGCCTTGTTTAAGGACGAGCAGAGCAGACGATTCACTCAGTTTAAAGCTGAAACAGAAGCCGGTTGCCTACTAAAGCTGTCATGATTGCCAGCAAGGGCTGCATGGACTTTGCTTGATTCTCTTAAGGTCCGCTTTGCAAGTATGGAAAGGCAGCACAATGCGCTGAGTGATGAACTCTGGGGAGACGAGTTGGGATTGGCCAAGGTGCAGTGCCCGTAGCCAAAGTCTGTAGCCTTAATCTTTTTTGTGACTCCCAATGCAGCGACATTCCTGGATTAAGATCGCTGGAGAGCTGAAGAAGACGAATGCTACATTCGGCAAGCTCGAGGACTACTTCAGCTTAGGTTGCTCTTTCGTTTTTTGCTTTCATGTGCAAAGCCGGCAAAGCCGCGCCCTCTAATTTCGAGAATGTTTCTACATTTCTCACGCATGTTCTCAGAATGTGACACACTGAGAGGATGCAGTGTCAGCTTTGCAAGAAGGCAAAGCCGAAGCGGTTCAGCTGGAGAAGCTCCGGGCAGATGTGCCACGGGCGCTTTTGTTGAGAGACGCATTCTCGGATGCAAAGTTGACACTGAGTTGACATACTGAGTTGACACAGATTACGTCATTGCCAGGTGGCGAAGATGGTGCATGAAGCTAAAACATCAACTTCCCAGATGCGACAAACCGTTGGCGAGGCTATGTTTTGTCCTTTTCTGCTTCAGGGACAAGATGATGAACGATGTTCTGAGATCCTGTCTTTAGTCGGGCTTGTAGCACTCAGAGCTGAGAACAGTGCAGGGCCCCATTCTCAAGCTTGACCCCCTGAGGCCTTATGAAATCCTCAATGTTGTGACAAGCCCCCTGCCACAATTTTGCGCGGCCATCCATCATGCATGCTGCATTGCATTGAGAATTGCGAGAGGGGGAATATGGTGGAATGCTTCTGCAAGGTGGTCAATGACGTGCGCGAGCACTTTCGCACTGCATCAGAGACCATTGCATCGCACAATGCCAACTTTGTGAAGCAAGTTCGCGAAGAGTACCAGGTGCGGTCTGGTCGAGCCATGTCAAGCCCTGGTCTGCAAGATCTCGAGTGTGCAAGATCACTGCCCCGTCCCGAGGTGGAGCTGTCCAACTCTGCAAAGCTTCGGGAAGAGGCGTGCCAATGCGTGCCACGACATGCAGACCTGTTGCGATCTTTCCGTGGAGGGATCTGATGTAGTTTCCATCGCCCACACAAAGCCAGTTGCGCGTTCTGGAGATTTCTGGAGTTTTTCTAATGCAGGTGAAGAGCTTCATGAACAGGGCCACGCAGAGCGTGGAGAGCCTGGAGCTACGGGTAGACGAGGTGGCGTCCAAGGCCATCTGCCTCTGCAGCCTCTGCATGAGAAGAGTGCGACAGCAAAGGCGCCCACAAGCATACCGCATGGGGTTACCAGCATTTCATTGGTTTTCACAAGGACTCTCAGGGTCGGGGCTTGGAGAATCATGGAGAATCTTGCGGGTGAGAGGTTGAGGAGCAGGGGCTGAGGCTTCTGAAGACTAATGCCATGCTGCTATACTTGACATTGTTTTGATGTTGTTTATTTATCAATTTGTGTATGGCTAATTATTTATGTATCTGTTTATGATTATTTTGTGTTTTCATGTGTTTTCAGGGTTCGAGTCCGAGGCAGCTGGATGTGCAAGTACATGCTACTGGGCCCGTTTACCCATACAATCCTGAATCTGCACTTGCACTGAACCGCTCCGTGAAACCGATAGTTCTGTTGCGCGCGGCCGGTGCCATGAAGGGGGGAGGTCGAATCTCGTATGACCTACTTCACCCCCCCCCCCCCCGACTGGAATGTCGTAGTTTGGCAGCAGATATTATATACATCCACGTCACGATTGCTGACTGGTAGGCCAACGCGTTGGCTTCCGAAGCACGTGAAGAGCTGGAGGTGCGGCAGATCAGTACAGTAGTCATCTGCAGTCTCAAGCCCTTCTTATGGGGCAGCGCCGGATGAAGGGATAAGCGGCCGTCTTTGCAACTTTATGTGCAAAATCATGCCGGAAGGCGGTTCTCTTTCATTACTCTACACATCGCCTGAATTCCTCATCGGCGAACGGCCTCAGTGGATGCCTTGTGCTTGCAGGAGCTGAACAGAAGGAGGAAGAGGGACAAGACCTCTGCAGACAATGAGCTACCTGACAGCAAATCTGCCTCGGCAGTCTCGTTTGTGCTTATTTGCTTCAGCTACGCCCAGTATGTGCATGTTCCGCATGCATGAAGGCATTGAAGACACATGTAAGCGCAGACTTTATCATCACTATTCCGTCAGTGTTGCATGGCTTTTGTGTCAACTCTGGCCGCGCACAATGGTATAAACAAGAAGCATCCTTTTTCACATGGTTTTCAACAACGATTGTTTACGGACATCTCGGACTGGGGGGTTGTCGGACTACAAAGCTACACAGAACAGAGCCCAACCAGAGCATCCCAAGCAAAGGCGCCGCCACGTCCCACGCAGCCCTCGTAGAACATGGCCGGGAACGCGGAGCAAGCTGCATTGCGGCCGCGTTCCGCGACTGCAGCCCGAGTACGCCCGAGTACGCCCGAGTACGCCCGAGTAAGCCCGAGCACGCCCGAGTACGCCCGAGTAAGCCCGAGTACCCCCGAGTACGCCCGAGTACGCCGAGTATAGGAGGGTGCAGGTCCCTAGAGGGTTCAACCCTGCTCGCTTTCTCGCTGAAATTGTGGCTTTTCCTTCTCTTCTCCCCTCTTCTCGTTAGGGCGTCTCCCCTCCCCCCACCCTTTTGCCCCTTTCCGCTTTTTCTTTCTTTCCTCATGCTTCTGACATCTTCTGACTTACCCTCCTGTCTCCAAGTTCGCTGGTAAGCCTCCTCTTGAACTGTTCGTGGAGGGGGGCGATGACGTCTGCGGAGCCCAGTTTTAACCTTAGCAAAACAGCTCCAGGTAATTCATAGGGGATGCTGGCCCGAAAACACAGTGTTAGCACTCTATAGCCCCGCTGGGCTGTAAGTCCTGTGTGCTTGGCATTTAAGTTTTCGGGTTTAGGAGAGAGGGTAGACCCTTCGAAGGCTCATCTCCCGCGACGATGGCCTGCGAGCGGACTTTGTCTGCCTGCTCTACTAGATGATGCGGGGACTGAAGACTCTTCAAACTTCAGCCGCAAACCCCTCGACCTCACACCTGGCTTTCAAACCACCAGCCCTGCATCGAGTGAGGTGTAATATGGACTACGCCCGAGTACGCGCGAGCGCATACTCCGTCGCACCCGGTCAGGCCCCGTCACGGTCACACACGCTCACATGCGGTCATGTACCGGCGTGCCCGGTCATACCCGGTCACACCCGGGATATCCGGGCACACCCGGTCATACCCGGTCATACCCGGGCATACCCGGGCATACCCGGGCATACCCGGTCATACCCGGTCATACCCGGGCATACCCGGTCATACCCGGTCATACCCGGTCAGACCCGGTCAAACCCGGTCATACCCGGTCATACCCGGGCATACCCGGTCATACCCGGTCATACCCGGGCATACTGTCCCGTGGTTTTCCGCAGTCACTGTTTCGCGTCACAGTGGCAAGCTGCAACATCATGCCAAGCTGACGCACGGAACGAGAACAGCAGGATGTGCCGAGACTCATCATGTATATTGAGCATCCCACAATGAGACGATCGAAGCGTAGGGACATATGCAAGCACGGCAGCCAGCACAGGAAGCCGAAATAGTCAGGCCATGTCAGACCCATGGCGGGTGACAGACGCACAGCTGCATTAACACATCGGCAACAACTCAGACGCGGCACCCGAAAACCTCTAGAATGCGAAAGGCCCGACAGGTAGCGCTACGTGACGCTACATCCTTCATCCGCATCCCAGCGTCCCAGCATAAAGTTCAGCATAGAGGCATCAGTCGCGTAGCCACCGGGCCGCTCTTACGCCAAGGCTGAAGGCATTGAAGAAGAGACTTGGTGGAGTTTTTGACAACTCAGATGCCCGGCACCTTGGTAGAGTTGTTTGATGCCCTCGCGCTCCCATTGGATTCAGGTGATACACACCTGTGCAACAAGCATCAAGTGCACTTGCGAATAAGGCGGTGCTTCGCGGAATCGAGCACATTTACTCTGTGTTAGAGCCTGAGCCGATGTCACAGTCACTGTGAGTGATTCTTCAGATTCAGAGGCTGCAGCCAGTCCTGGAGAGTGAGCTGATGCAATGCGCCGCTTGCCCAGATTAGAAGTGAAAGCCTCGTTTCAAAAAGCGCAGTCTGAAAGGCTCTCGAGAAGCAGGATTCCGTGGATCGCGACAGAATCTCGCTGATGGGAGCAGGCTGCTTAAAAGGAACAGTGTCGAAGGCATTGATTCGGTAGTGAAATTTCCACACTGTCCTTGCACCGCATCGTGTTCAGCCTGAGGTGAAAGATGACGAGACCGCAACTAAGTCAGACAAGATCACCTTCCGGGTAAGTTGTTTATTCCATGTGGGTTTGCCAACACGGCAACAAAGCCAAAGGCTGACGCTGGCTCGCACCACACACACTGAACCGCAACGACCCAGACCAGAGTGCTGGGGACCTGGCACTGACTTGACCATAGGTTTGCTAGTTCCATCTATGTCTTCAAAGGTTCTCAGGTTCCGCATGGTTTCGCTGCGTGTCAGTTGGGTAGAGGAATGTCGAGGGGGATGAGAGATGCCTTTTGCAGAATTGCCCGGTCAGTTACCAATGACCTGCGCTCTCCTGCTAGTCATCAATGAGCATCCAGCCGTGACTTGGGGACGGCGCTTGCAGTACTAAGCTTGTACTACAAATCAATGAAAATCCAGCCGGCTCACGCGGACGGCAGTTCCAGTAGTAAGCTTGTCCGACAAATCAGGGAACATCGAGCCGGCTCACGGGGACGGCTGTTCCAGTACAAGCTTGTATTACAAATCAAGTACAATGCAGCCGGCTCACGGGGCGGCGGTTCCAGTAGTACGCTTGTACTACAAGTCGATGAAAATCCAGCCGGCGCACGGGGACTGGGGTTCCAGTAATGAGTAAGCTTGTACTACAAACCAATGAAACTCCAGCCGGCTCACAGGGACGGCGGTTCCAGTAGCAAGCTTGTACTACAAATCAACGAAATTCCTGTTCTAAGGCATGAAGCTGTACACGGCAAGCAAGAAAAAGGATAACCCTAGAACACATGAATAGATTTACACCGGCTTTTTTATCAACCCCATCGGTCCTTATCGCACGCCGTCCACCACAACGCACTGCGTGTCTATCGTACATCCCCGTGCGCCGTTTCTTCTCGTGTCGCCAAGCAGTAGGCAGGACCTGCTTGTGAGATTGAGGCCGCGTAACAACAGCGCCGGCTACCCAGAGGGCTCAGGGCATTGCGACGACAGATTCGTGGCACTGCCGTTGCCTTTGGCAACGATGTGGTGGACGATGTGGCTTTGCTGCTGTGGCAATGCCCTTGGTTGCCCTTGTTGCCTTGGTAGACAACATCCGGGGTCTCCGCCAAGGCCCGGAGGCATGAAGCCGTCCAAAATGGATGCCAGCCACGGGCTGCCGCAGGCTGCGAGGGCACAGTGTTTATCGCATCCGCTCACTAAAGCGAACCGAGGCACAGAAGCCGGTGGTCAGGGTTGACAATCGCTGCGTCTCTTGCAGCGGACAGGCACCAGCGGCACGGAGTCTTACAGCCAGCTTACTGCTGATTTTCATGCAAAAGACATCCTGGAAGGCTCCTCTGGTGTTGGCTGCCTTCAAGATGGCTTGCCTGCATTATGCGTTTGTGGCCTAGCTGCCATGGTTCCACATCCGAGTTGCTGCTCGAAATTCTGAGATAGTATAATTTACAGTATAATAGCATCTCATTGCATCTCCGTTTTTCTTTTCAAGGCCTTCGCCGATCGACTATCGAGGTGCTGCCGTAGAGCGCTATGAACTCCTGGACCGCCGAGAGCAGCTGCTGCCGTGCCCTCAACTGTTTAATTTTAACGCTACGCGACCCGCCTCGGCCCGGCGCAGCGCATCCGCGTGAGCATGGTGATTCCGCAGCGCCCAAGTCGCTGGACCCAAGCAATAAGGGTTGGGTTTAGGGTTTAGGGTTCCGGGTTTATGGTTTATGGTTTGGGGTTTAGGGTTGAGGGTTAGTTTAGGATTGAGGGCTTCATGCTTTGGGGTTTAGGGTTTTTTTGGGTTTAGGGTTCAAGAGACGGTTCGGCTTGGATTGGGGGTGGGGGGGGGGGGGTGGGGGGGGGGGGGGTGGGGGGGGGGGGTGGGGGGTGGGGGGGGGGGGGGGGTGGGGGGTTGGGGGGGTTGGGGGGGGAAAAGGGGGGGGGCCCTGCTGGGAGGGGCTTCAACTGCCTCTGGTCCTAACAAACCGTCCGCTTGCGGACCCCGGTTTCCCAGGGGGGGTACCCATTTGAGGCAAAAAAAGGGGTCCGAAAATTGGCTTTGGGGGTGCCTGTTCTGACAACCTATACACCTCCGGCCCGAGGCCTCGGCGGACTTGATCTTAACATCGCTTCCGACTCCGAATTGACAACCCCAAGGCTCACAGCCAACAGGTCGTTGCTTCAAGGGCCAAGCGCTTTTGACGGTCCAGGCGTGGCACTTGAGCAGCTTGAGTCTGTTGCTTGGAAGGGGAGGTTATGCATGTTTGTTTATCCGACATGCTTCGAACATTTCTACACAGCCTGATGGAGCAGAAGTTGCCCAAACCATCAGTTCTACATTGTACTACTTCTCTCTTCCTTCCAAGCTTAGATGAGCAATGAAGAGCAGAAGGAACGATGCATGACAATGTTGTTGGAAGTTGTGCCCCGTTGCAGAGAGAGCGAAGCTGACATTGCAAGAAATCCGTGTGCATGGACGGGTTCGCATTTTTAATCAAGTCAAGGAAAGTGTGGGGGGAACCTTCAATCTGTTTAAGCTGCTGTTATGACAAACACGGTTCCTGCGATCTGGTGTCGGCGCCCAGCCTGGACAACAATGTCCAACGATCGTGCCCAGCAGTAGAACTAGGGTCTTGAACGGTGCTAAGACATCCTGGCACCGTGCAAGATGCAAAGCATGCAGACCGAAGCAACAAGCCTTCAACCTTTTCAGAAAGCAAGGGAGCTGTGCAACGGGTTCAATCGGCTCCATCCTGCCGCGCCAGCCAAAAACCCATGCTTGCGCAATCGCTGCAGGGGCCCTTCGCATGTATATCGCATGTGATGGACCCCCTTTCCCTTTGAGAAGCACAGTTTTCAAAGGAGATTCCAGTGCAGGTGACGAAAAACTTTCCCCACGACCTCGAGGCAAGGGAGAGAAGTAGAGCAGATCAGGCAGGCAGTCAGACGGTCGATAATTGACTACGGGTCGTACTCCATGTCCAGATGTTTCGACACCAACTGGTACATAACCTTGCACTATTGATGAGTCACCCCAGGGAGTGTTAAGTGCTTTGCTTCCAAGGCTCAGTAGTTCGGCTTCTTCAAGATTCAAGCCCCCCAACCCTCGGGCATGAGCCAATTCCATGGTTAGACTATTTTATCAGTAGTTGCATCTGTCTAATGCAACATTACAGTAGAACGTTGCAGCACCTGAGTCTTCGGTGAGGACTGCATCCAGATGGAGTCCGCGTTTGACTCACAAGATGTTTGCCGGTCTGCGTGGGAGCCTGAAGCCAGCTCAATATGAATTCTGGAACAGCAAGGTTTTTAAGGTTATTGGTGCTTCAAAAAACGAAATCCTCCACTCTGCGAGTTATTTGCTCGTTTAGCTGGTGCTGCTCCCAAATAGCTCTCTTGACAAGTTCCGAGCGTCGTAGGATGTGCGAAGGGCTGACGGGGCTTGTGCTGTACATCTTTGCAACTTCTTTTGCGCGCCATGAGCAACCGAAAGATCGGACCGACCCCGGCATTTGTTGCTGTCTCCCCATTTCGTGGGCCCCCCAGAAACCCAAGTTCAGCAGACGATAAAGACGATAATGTTTGCAAGGGGATTCGGTCGCACAGCACACTGAAGACGAATTTGGCCTCCGGAGACAAAATTCGGCCCGAAGATGAAATTCGTCACCTCTCGGCCCCGAAGATGGGATCAGATTCTTCGAGATTCTCCAGATTGATGACTCTTCAAAGACAAGACCAGGTCCAGAAGAGAAATTTGACCCCACCCGATTAGACGAAGTTCGGCACAGAAGACGACGAAATTCGACCCGAAGATGAAGTCCGGCCCCGCACGCGAAGTTCGGCCCCGAAGATGGATGAAGTTCGGCCCGGAAACCATTCGGTCCCGAAGACAGAACTCTGTTTCAACGATGGCATTCGGCCCGAAGACGAATCAAGCCACCTTTCATCGTTCTCGAAACACACCCACTCGTTCAACTGGCAGGTCAATATGGTGATCCTCTGGGCGACCTAACACTGGAGCCCCCAAGGACAAGGAGACGGATTGTGATCTGGATAATGAATCACGCCCTCAGGGCCAAGCTCCAAGGCTCAGCCTTGTAGAGCAGATTGAGCTTGTGCAGATGAGATGAGATTGTGCATCTATTGCATCCCCTCCTTAATTTTCTTGATTATGCATTATGCACGAGATTTGACCTCCATCCTGCATCTCATTCGGAGCAGCGCTTGCTCCTCGAAAATGTTGTGCACGATGGATGCCCAGAGCAAGTCAGCAGGACGTTGAGAGCACGACATAAGGCATCGGATGGTTGTCTCGTCCCAGCAGGGGTACTGCAGAACATGAGACATTGTTGACACCTTTGTGCTAGAATGAAGCTGATTCGGAATGCCGTCTTTTCGTGGCAAATTCAGCCGCCGATTGCAACACAGAGCTGCAGTTCCGGCACCTGCATGAGGGACATGGGAGACAGCCGGTCGAGTCGAGAAAGTGGCCGGCGGCCGGCATGTTGGCATTATGGAATGTAAATGCATCGTCTAATATCGTCTAGCACCCTGGCGCACTAGAGCTCAAGACTGGCTGTGCTGCTGGAGCCAAAATGCGCGATGCCGAGGCTTGCTTTAAGGCGCGAGTCGAGTGTTGCCGCGTGTTGCTGCTGTTCGTGCTGCTGGCACAGTTGGTTCTCGCCATTGTCAGCCGAGCAGCGGGCTGAACAAGATGGAGGTATGTGTCATTTTGATTTCTACTTTACTGATGTACTTGTAGGAAGCTATAGTAATTATTATCGTAAATTGTGTTCTTCGTGCTCGTGGTTTGCTGTGTTCGGTCTGCACAGGTACAATGCCGTCCTCTCCAGTGTGCCTGCCTGTCATTCATGACATATTACAGGTTTTCAAAGCATAGAACCAGCACGTGTGTGCGGTCGCTTTGTTTCTAAGACTCTTTAAGAGTCTCTGGCAGAGTCTCTGGGTTGTCTTTGGGCTTCTGACTCACTTGTGAACATTACCAGCATTGTTGAAATTGAAGAAGTTGCGGGGCCCAAGGGCTATTGCATGGTTTGGACCAACAGGCCCATGCAGATCTTCACATGTTTGTACTTTCAGCAGAATTGCCAGCTCGCTTCGACTATCTCATCCATGCTTAGCCTTTATGATGAATGACATCATCTAAGTGCTGGACCCCTCACACATTGCTCGATGTTTCTGCATCTTCCAGTATACTGTGGCCGACAGGTGAGCTTTTAATGTCTCGAAGTGGAACCTGTTACTACATCATCATACCCAATCATCATACCCAGGCATACACTGGCAGACAGTGCGGCAAGACAGCCCCGTCAAGCAAAAGCGATTCGTTTCCGGTTTTAGATTTACCATTGATCATGTCATGTACTTATTGATTGGCGCAAAACAATTCCTAAATCATCTCGGAGCACTGTGGCTTCGGAGGGCCAAAGATTTGGGTCCAGCAGATTGCGGGAGGTTGACGATAGCTTGGGCACAGCGCTTGGCCACAGCGGCGAGCTGGAGAAGCCGGCTCGCTCCTGCATCACGTGGGTGCACAACGCGTAAACGGACGCGGGACCCGATTTCATCCTGCCGGGCGCAGCACTTTGAGGCTTTGCATATTTTTTTGATCATTGCTGTGGGTGTGGGGCTGTATCATGTTCCAGTGCAGGTGCACTTTCCAAACGCGATGCAAGGCATTGGGGACATCGACAATCAACAGGCCTGGTTCCTTCTAGGTGGTTTCCAACGGTTTCAAGAGACAGGTTTTCCCTCACCTGCTTTGTCATGCTGTGCAACTGAATGTACTGTAGCAGGTTGTGTGACGAGGTCATATATGATGACTATGGTTCGTCGAGTATCTCAAGTTCATGTTGCTCCCTAAAATTTTCCCCAAGCCCTAAACCGTAAACCCTAAACCCCCCAACAAGAGTGGAGTGGCGCAGAGTCACGAGTTTCAACCTCAAACTCCCGTGAGGTGAATGCAGAGGAACCCTTTTTCTCTCAGACCCTTCCAACGGGGATTCCAGCTTCTAGCTATACAGTAAGATGAACAAAACCATGCAGGGCATTCTTTGAAAAAGAAGTATGTATATATGTAGTGTATAATTATATGTATATTTAAATAATGCATGTATGCAGGTATGAGAGAGCAGCCTTTAGGGTCTCTTTGACGCTTATCTTACATCAAATACAAGAAATATATTGAATAAATCCAAAATTATTAAATATCTTAATGATTTCAATTATTTTAAATGTTATATAATTTTAGTTATGTTAATTATTTAAAAATCTGCCCCCCCTCCCCCCCCCCCCCCCCTGCCTCCCCCCCTGCCCCCCTGCCTCCCCCCCCTGCCTCCCCCCCTCCCCCCCTGCCTCCCCCCCTGCCTCCCCCCCTGCCTCCCCCCCTGCTGCCTCCCCCCCTGCCTCCTCCTCCCCCCCTCCCTCCCCCCCTCCCCCTCCCCCCCCCCTCCCCTCCCTTCCCCCTCCCCTCCCCCTTCCCCCGCCCCCTCCCCCCCGTCCCACCCCATTTAGGATCCCCCTCCCCCCATTTCGCCGGGATTCGGTGTTGTCTCAAAAAATGTGAAGGGTAAAATCTGCCTGGATCTACGCGCCACGGTTTTTCCCCAAACAGTGCTTGCACAATGGGGTCCTTGCGTTCAGAGTAAAGGAATTGGTTGCCGGCCGCAACGGTGCACGCGGCGGTGGGGCCGGGCCTTGGTTTCGATGCGTTTCGATGCTCCCGCTGCGGTTTAGCGCGAATTCCGTTGCGTTTCGATGCTCCCGCTGTGGTTTCGCGTGAATTCCGGCCTCTCGTGGCCTCTTCAGGCCTTTATGGCCTCTTCTGGGAGGGCCTTAGGTTGCCGGCCGCAACGGCGCACGCGGTGGGGCGGGGCCTTCGTTTCGACGCTCCCGCTGTGGTTTCGCGTGAATTGTTGCGTTTCGATGCTCCTGCTGTGGTTTCGCGTGAATTCCGGCCTCTTCTGGCTTGCTCCAGCCTCTTCTAGCGTCTTCTGGGGGGCCACTTATAGGTTGCGGGCCGTAACGGCGCGCGCGGTGGCGCGGGCCTTCGTTTCGACGCTCCCGCTGTGGTTTCGCGCGAATTCCGTTGCGTTTCGATGCTCCCGCTGTGGTTTCGCGCGACTTCCGTTGCGTTTCGATGCTCCCGCTGTGCGCGCGAATTCCGTTGCGTTGTTTTCAAAAAACCTCTAAGCCAAGCTTAGACAATTTCCTGACTATTATCCTATTCTCCGAAAATAGACTATGTAAATTATGTAAGATGATGTCGTTTATTTGATAAAATAGGCTCTATCCTATATGATCATAAACCTCATCCTATTTGACTCAATAGCCTTGGACTATTTGACGAAACAGTCTTGAACACTCTGTCCAAGTGGAAGTAAAAGACTTGCTATCGACCCTTTTTGGTGAGAAACGAAGAAAAGTCATATGTTGTAGCATGTTTTCTCGAATAAACTTCTACAGAACCTAAACCCTGAACCCTAAGCCTTATAAACTAATCAAAGGTCCAAACGGGTTTTTGGTTTGGGGTTTAAGGTTTAGGGTTCAGGGTTCAAGATTTGTTGCTTAGGGTTTAAGCATGTTTAAGCTTTAGGGCTTCGTGTGTAGGGTTTAGGGTTTAGTTATTAGGGCTTAGTGTTCATTGTTCAACTTTTACGGAGTTGCTCCCAAAAGACAAATCGCAAGAAACGTCCCCCTAAGGTTTTGGAAGAGTTTATGCTTTCAAAAGACGAATCGCAAGCACCATCCCCCTCCCTCCCCTCCGCTCCGCTGCGCTCCCTGTTTTATTTAAGGCGTATTCTCTAAAAGCCTCTCGGTTAAGGTTTTAAGGTTTTAAAGAGAAGCCTCGAAACCCTATATATATATGGTTAAGTGATTAAGCCTAAACCCTTAACCTTCAAACTCTACAGGGTTACATAAGGTTGAAAGGTTTAGTGTTTAAGATTTAGGCTGCTAAACCTATGCCGGCAATTAAACCTAGACCCTTAACCTTTAAACTTGACCCTAACACCATAGAACCTAAAGCCATTGAGTTTGCACCTTAAGGGTTTATGGTATAGGCATTCAAACCTTAACCCTAAACCCTTTAGGGTCAGAACCCTAAAACACTATAGGGTTCAAAGGTGCTGAGGGTATGCATGCCCAGGTCTTAGGTCTTTAAACCATCAAACCTTATCGGGTTTAAAGGTGTAGGGTTTTCCGGGTTTATCTCCAAA